TTTCTTGTGGTAATTGAGAGAGATGTTGGGGTTGTTAGGGCAGTCGGTGAAGTGATTTTGGAGGGTGGGAGGGAGGGAAAGAGGAGGAGTTATACTATTTGTTTGTACTAACTGGCTGGTATTGTGAGTTTAACATTTGACTTTTGAGTTTGTGAGGGTTTGTGAGGTCTGGGAGGTTTTGGTGAAGTTTTGGTATGAGGTATTGTGACTATATACATTTGGGTTTGGACTTAGATCGGGGTGTAGTTTATGGTATGTATTAGGTAACCTAGTTATTGTGTATAGCTGGAGATCTTGGGAGATTCGTAGTGTGCTTTCATAGAGGAGATGTGTAAGGGGTGGGAAGAAGCTGAGGGGAGAGGGTGAGGGCGGTTTATTAGTGTTATGATGGGGGAAGTGAAGATAGGAGGTAGGAGATGGGGAATGGGAGATTTTTCTCAAGAGTTTTAATTGTTACGATGGTAACAGCTGACTTGTTTCCGTAAGCTTGGGCCATGTGCAAATCGGTTTCGATTCGCTCAATTTACTATGAGATTTCGGTCACCCTAAGAACTCATATGCACGCACCATCAGAGCATATAAACAAGTATGCTGGATCACTCAGGATCACTGGTGATCCAAGGAGCATGAAGATCTATATATTCAATATGAATTTCCTTTTGTAGAACTTCGTGCTCAAGATCAATCATTTAGTATACTCTACTATTAGTTACGAATTGTTACGTGACGGTTGTTATCCCACTAGTGGCTCACGTGCACTAGCCCTGTATATAAAGACCTTCTTACTTAGAATCTTCTTAGTTCTTTAGTTTTAGATTCTAAGTAATTGAATTGACTCCGTTTACGACTTTTCCGTCACACGAATTGCATATCATTATTGTCATTACTTTAAGTCCCTGCTTGACGCCTAGTTATAAACTACCTCGAGAGCCTAGAGCACTTCCACGTGATCTAGACGGCAAACCTCGTAACAGTACAGGGTCCTGATATGTACAGGGTCCTGATAAACCACGTTAAATCTTAACTTTTATATAAATTAAATTAAATTAAATTATATTATATTATATTATATTATATTATATTATATTATATTATATTATATTATATTATATTATATTATATTATATTATATTATATTATATTATATTATATTATATTATATTATATTATATTATATTATATTATATTATATTATATTATATTATATTATATTATATTATATTTTGAAATATTTAATTAAATATTAAAAAATATATATATCAAAACTTTAAATTTTATAAGTATATATATAACATTTTTTATTTTATATCTTAATGTAAGATATGTTTATATATACTATATATTTGAAATGTATGACAAAATCGGACTTCCCTCGGTTTGGACTTCCAATAGTTTATTCTCAGCTGGTATGGATGAGCACCCTAAACATTTTAGAGGATGAATCTTATATGAAATCACTGGTGATATAATGTTGGAGTCGGACAAAATTCGCCACGTTATGGTATAATGAAGCTTTTCATCGTATGTATTTAAGTGGGAAGATAGATAACTTGGATATATAGGGAAATGATTGAGTTGGATCATCATATAGGGAATGTATCCGTGAACCTTTGGACGTTCTGCAGTTTTTTTTGTTCTTCGGTCTTGTTGAATACATCAAGTCAAGCTGATCTACTCTTACTTCCTACCAAGATTCTATGAGCTTATATGAGAAACAGGCAGGTGGTCTAGACTTTTCGTCTAGCGCAAACTGGAAAAATGAGAACACATACAAACATGGATCGCTTGATACATAAAAGCTGAAGTTAAAGAGAAGATGCGGGAACCCGAGTCAGACGGAAAGGAAAATAAGAAAAGCTGATAAATATGCCTTACCCTAGGTAGAGAAATTAGCTGGTTTAATAAGTAAGCATCCTACTGGTGTAAACCTATTCCTGTTCTCTTACATCGATAGACACTAGCAATGAATGCAAACATATCCATACCTACCTATATACAACAACATCCGATAACATATATGATATACTATTACCAGAAGCAGGAGACGAAGTTAATATTTAGCTTAAGATGAAATGTCCCATTGCCAAGGAATATGGCGTGTTTGTACTATGTAGTACCATAGGCTCAAAACAGAATAGAATGGAATCAAACGAATATTCTCCGAGTATGTGTACCTACTACCCAAGAACCAACGAGGTGGCTTCAAGGGGTTGACTCCAATGGAGAGTTTCAGATGTAATGTTTGAAGCTAGTTTGTTAACTTGTTACCGTGGTATCCTTGTGTTTGTTATCTCTACCTTGATAGATCAACAGTGTTATTGTATGGATCGGTATGATGTTGAGGGCTGTCTATCACCCTGCTGACATGTTGTAACTGTAGGCTTTTGGGCCCGGGACGGGATGAAAGAATGGTAAGCATCTTTAGACGGCGAAGGTTTGGAGTGTAGGGGTAGATAGAAATGTGAGATGCTTAATTGGAGAGATTAGGTTTTTGTTGAGATGGCGAGATGCAAATCATTCATTCTCACGTATTTTGAATGAGGGGTCTGATATGAAAATGCATAGATAGCTCATTTGAGTAATGTAAACGAAGAAGTTCGGTGCATTATCACGAGTGTGTCAAACAGAGACTTTTGATATTTAGTGAGGTAAGCATTGATATAGATTGGATAAATGTCTGTGTCCGCATTTTCACAGTTTTATCGATATTCCACAACTTGACCGTAACTCATCCGTATATTACACGACTGCCGAGTCTTCTTGGAAAATTAAGCTTTGGGTTAGGTTGTTTCGTATTATATCTTTCGGATTTGGTGGAAAATAGATTGCGATGTGCGGTTTTCGTGGGAATGATGAAGTCATTGATGAGTGTGATCAACATGTTTTCTTCCGTATTGGGTGTTCTTGTCCATTACCCCTGAAGCAAACCTTAATGTCACCTTGACACTGACATTGACAATTTGACAATGAGGATAATTACTGTTACTCGGGATAGATGGATGCGAATGCCTGTTTACCTTGAACTTGAACACTATACAGTATCGAGTACGAGTTTCAGTATCTTGATTGTTGTTACCTCTTCCAATGAATTCTCATAGGATTACGAAGTACTGTGTAGGAACCTAGTAGATCCTCCCGAATGGTTACGCGGCTTTCTAAGCTTGCGCATACTTCGTATGTTGATTCTGCATGTCTAGGTAGTAGGTAGGGGTTTGAGGATTTGAGGATTTACGACGACGCTTCTTGTAGGTGGGGGATAACAAACATACTTTGATAGAAGGTAGAAATAGGAAGGAGAAGAAGGTTCCATAATCCATTGGAGGAGCGGAGAAACGTGGTCCGAATATTGGATTGGAAATGCCGTTTATTAGTGGAGACATGCACCGGTACCTGCCCAGATGATGGGAGATCTGTCCATGATAAAATCCATCATCCTGCATTGCATTGGTTGGGATGTTGAGGGATTTTCCCACTTTACGAGATACCGGTACAAATTGAAGATTGAAGATTGAAGATTCAGGATACACGATACAAATGGATAATTGAAACATTCCGTCTTCCTCGAGTAGATACTTGGTAGGTAATGTTTCGCTTACGTGCTGTTCTGTTCTGTTCTGTGCCATTGAACTTTGACATCTATCTGGATACCAAGAATCAGGTAAATACCTAGTAACTGATATTGAGATACAGGAACAGACACCATCTACTCATCTTTTGCATTTGCCTTTCCTATTATTGCTTTGAACCTCATCCTCAATATTAGTCTCTCCTCAGAAGCCTCTCCTCACACGTCTAATACGTCTAATCCGTCTAACACGTAACACTCATGGCTTACCACAATACAATACGATAATGAAACTCGTTGGTGAGAACTTAATTCTCTCAGCCTCCTTCACATTGCGTATGTTGCATATGTTAAGTTGTAGAAGATTTATTAGCCCTCGCTCTCACCCCGCCCCTTCTCTATTTTTGGGTTCAGCTATTCTTCGCTTCCACCACTTTGCTCCGTGCTAGGGTGTGGTGCTTAACTAATAACGATTAACTACAGGGATGATTCGTCACTGAATTCGGTCCATTCCTACCGTTTTAGTGTCAAGCTTTTCCCTGAAGCTGGGTTTACCTACGCACGCTACAGGCCTTATTGTCGCTGTTCATGGTTATGATGATAATCTAGGGAAGTACCAAACAATACTTAACTATATTATATAGAACTCCCTCGCTGTGCAAAAAATAGTGGTAGATGAATAAAATCAGAGACAGAGGACAGAGAAGGATCAAAACGTTCTCATTTCTCCATTCAAAGAATTTTGGTTAAAAGAACTGAGCAAAAGGGTTCACTTGGCTCATTTTATTTCGGAAAAGGATCAACAAAGGTTGATCAATTACAACATCCATCCATCCATCATCCATCCATTGATTCATTCTGAATACTTAATTGTCTGGCAATTAACCATCATTGAAACTGGTACGAGAAATATATATCCATCTTACTTTCCGCCCCAGTACTCCTTATTCTTACCGATTTCTCTTCCTCCTTTTCATACAATCAAATCACTCAAACTTTCCGTCCACTAGCAAATTACAAATATCCCACTTTCAACTGGTAAATCGAGGCTCATCTTTTCTTTTATTCTAGTCGCATATCTGTTGGTTCCGCACTCCATTATCAAACACGCCTATGTGCGTTGCCATCTTGGCATTGCCTTGAATCACCCAGAATTTATTTTTCTGGAGTTCGACCTATTCAGCGACGAGAGCCTCCCTATGAGAAAATTCTACCGTACAATACTAATCAATAATCGGATAAGTGTCAAACTCGCTAGGGGAGACAGAGTATCGTGTACAAATTCACTCGGCAGACAGAAAATCTGCGAATTGCGCAAAGATGTTGACCTTTAGGAGAGCTCTGATAGCTGCGGCTTTCTTCCTAACTATGGTATTTCTCATCACACGAACACACAACCCACCTACATCAAACGATATATTATTACAAGATAAAAGCATACCAAAATCGGAGGAGAAGGATGGAGTTGATTCAAAAACAAAACCTGGCTCATCAGCTTCGACGAATGCGGTTCCACCCGCACCAAGGAAGAGGCCTCAAGCTTCTCAAGCACTATTACAAGATTTATCAAGAGCACCTTTGAGGGAAAAGCTCGCATATCAATTTCCATACGACGTAGAGACTAAGTTCCCAGCATACATTTGGCAGACATGGAAATATACCCCAGCATCTGGAGATTTTGGAGAGAACTTTCGCCCTGCAGAAGCAAGTTGGTCAGAAAAACACCCGGGATTCGTACATGAGGTCATTACCGATTCAGTCGCAGTTCATCTATTAAAACATTTGTATGCCTCTCTGCCAGAAGTTCTAGACGCTTACAATTCGTTGCCCTTGCCTGTTTTAAAGGCCGACTTCTTTCGATACTTAATTCTACTAGCCAGAGGTGGTATTTACTCCGATATCGATACTCATGCATTGAAACCTGCTTCGGAATGGCTTCCTGAGAGTGTGCCACGCGAAGCTATTGGACTAATCGTGGGTATTGAGGCAGATCCAGATCGCCCAGATTGGGCAGAATGGTACTCGCGAAGAATTCAATTCTGTCAATGGACAATTCAATCGAAACCAGGGCACCCTGTACTCCGCGAAATTGTTGCCAACATTACCGAACAGACTCTTAGCATGAAGGAGAGCGGAACCCTCAAGCACTTCAATGATAAGAATGTTGTGGAATTCACCGGTCCGGCTTTGTGGACAGATACTATTTTCGATTTCTTGAATGACGAGAGGTATTTCGATATGACTACAAGCAAGGGAAATATTACATGGAGAGAGTTCACAGGCATTCAATCTGCAAAGAAAGTTGGAGATGTGGTTGTCTTGCCTATTACAAGTTTCAGTCCTGGAGTGCAGCAAATGGGCTCGAAGGACTATGATGATCCCATGGCTTTTGTGAAGCATGAATTCGAAGGTTTGTCTAATAAATCTATTATCAACGTTTAAGCCAACTAACATCAAACATTAGGTACCTGGAAACCTGAGAACGAACGACATATCGGGATAGTTACTAGGTAGTTCAACACCGCTTCTCCGACAACAAATACTTTTTTTATAAAATCATTGAGCACATAGCACATACCCTAGTCGAATTTTGAGCGAGCATCAAATGCATGAGCGGCATACTGACGAGCACACCGGGAGGCTTTCTTTTTTGTTTGATGGGAAAACATAGAATGGCTGGACTGAAATGCCTTTAACGTTGGCTTTTATTCTCTTAGCATGGAGTTTTATTTGATATCCGGGACATTGGGATAAAGTTTCATTCTTGTTTGGATGGTTGAAGGGATCGAAGGGGGGAATAGGTGTTTGTGGAAGCATGCCGCCGAATTTTTATGTTTGATTGCAATGTCAAAAGCAGAAGACATGAATTTTCAAGAGCTGAAATTTGTGTATTGTTGGATTTTTTTTGTAATTCTGGATTTCCTTGGGAGATGGGGGTGATGGGATAGATGGCGGGTTTACTAAAGCAATGTTTGAAATTGCAAAGGATAGGAGGGAAATATCCTTTAATGGGTATTTATATAGAAGAATGCGGAGACAGATGAAGGATCCACGATGGTCACGGTGGTCACGGTGGCCACGATAGTGGAATTGTATATATACCATAGTAGCATGGATAAGGAAAAGGAATGAATAAGTCGATGATCAACAAACATATCTGTCCATGGGTAATGAATGAATGTACTTGATATGCGTCATGTTATGTTTGGTAAATACGACCAAGCTAAGCAGGGTTCGACTTTAAAGGGTTCCGGAAAAGTAGGAAACTGTTCTGATTCGCTTGGAATGATTAATAATCTAACAAATTTGGCCCTCCATTTCTGAAGGAGCCTCACAATCATCTCAGTTAACGGTCGTTATGATGCTAAATTTAAGCTTCCCCCTAGCTCGATTGAATTACCAAATAATACATAGCCAAGACTCAGGGTAGGTATAGTATTCAGTGAATTTTCCAACAAATACACACCAGTACCTCACTAATAAATATGGATCTTGTTGGTCCAACATTCATTCGAGAGCGGAAAGGTAGCGCGGGCGTACCCCGCATATTTGGACCGAGGACTTGTACGTAGGTACTTGTTGTACTTTTGTACTTTTGTGGAACACCATTACTCAATGCTACATACATATAGCCACATGTGTACGAGTACCATGAGCTTAAAGCTTAGTTAGGTCTTTACTTGAGAGTAAGTGATTTTCTCTCTTATTGGAATATAGGATTTGTACGTGATATGTAGATATGGCTGCTAGAATCGGTATTGTGGGTGCGAAAATGGGTTTGGGAGGGAGTGCTGGAATGAGGGGTTGGAGGTGCGGACATGGTTTGAGGATTAGGTTGAGGGGTGAGATGAGGGTGAGAAGTTTGGGATGCGGAGGGGGAGTTGGAATTGGAATTGGAGGCAGGATTGGAGTTGGGTTTAGAGGCCTGTTGCACATTCAAAGGAGAGGTCTTCTGACGGAAAGTTATAGTGTTGGACCTACGGAGGTAACTGCAATACCTTTCTTTCCCTTCTCTTATTCTAATATCCTGTCACCTATTTCCACCTTCTCTGTGGCTCTCACATCACCAAGCAAGCCATCTGCTAACCACCGACTCTCCCCCAGCCGCCACTCCTTCAGCATACTATTCCGCAGCATTTTCGCAGTATCGTCGACACGCACGGCTCCAACTTTGCGCTCATATCTCGATCCCAAAATACAAAACTTACATATCGAGAATTGGATGAGAAGAGTAATGTGATAGCACATGGCTTGAGAACTCTGGGGGTTAAGAAGGGAGATAGAGTGGCCGTTAGTCTGGGGAATGGATGGGAGTTTGGGGCAATCACTTATGCGGTTTGGAAATTAGGAGCTGTGTTGGTGAGTAGGCTTTGATGAGAGATAACTTTTTTGGAAGGGCAGATGGCTCTGGAAGATGGGTATGCTAATTATTGTTTGGGTAGGTACCTTTGAATCCAGCATTCAACACGAAACAAGTCGTCTCAGCATTAAACCATTTGAAGGCTTCACACCTGATCATTGGCCATGAGACACCTTTACCATTTAAACCACCCAGGGACAACACACCTTTACTGAAAGATATCATTGGGGATCTCGAGCAACCCTCACATGTTTTGAAAAGCGAAGCTGTACCAAGTTTACAGGGTGTTGTTCTAGTGAACAATTCAACTGATAATCCTGCAAGTTTCCCAGCTACTACAGATTTCAAAGCTATCATGTCGATGTTTGAATCGGAGAAAGAAAAGGAAGTTATTCCCGATGAAATTTTACATAAAGATGATGTGATTAATATTCAATTCACATCAGGCACAACTTCAACCCCTAAAGCAGCTTGTTTAACCCATCATTCAATACTCAACAATGGCTATTTTATTGGCTCTCGTATGGCTCTTACAGAATCCGATATAGTCTGTTGTCCGCCTCCCTTATTTCACTGTTTTGGTTCTGTACTCGGTTACATGGCGACGGCAACTCGTGGCAGTACAATATTATTTCCCTCCCCCGCCTTCGACCCTTCGGCCACTCTTCTAAGTATTCAAGAAAACAAAGCCACAGCTCTCTATGGAGTCGCGACCATGTTTCTAGCCGAACTCGAACTTCTCTCTAATGGTACCATTCCTCACACCGGTTTCGAGCATCTACGCACAGGTACTGCATCCGGTTCCTCTGTCCCTAAAACATTGATGGAAAAACTTCATAAACAGTTAAATCTTACTGGTTTGACAATTTGTTATGGAATGACGGAAACAAGCCCTGTCTCCTGTATGACTACTCCCGTTGATCCGATGGAAAAGCGACTTGATAGCGTGGGAAGGGTATTACCTCATGTATCCGTTAAAATCATCTCGCCATCTGATCCTAATAAGATTTTGGAAATAGGTAAACGAGGTGAATTGGTCGTCTCGGGATATTTGGTCATGAAAGAATATTATGCAGATCCAATTCGTACTAAAGAAGCATTAATCCCAGACAGTAATGGGAAGATTTGGATGAAGACAGGTGATGAAGCGAGTATGGATGAAGAAGGATATGTGAAGATTACAGGGAGAATTAAAGATTTGATTATACGTGGAGGAGAAAATATACATCCATTAGAGATTGAAGACTGTATCTTTGGCATGGAAGATGTGAGGGAGGTTAGTGTTGTAGGTGTTCCGGATGACAAATATGGAGAAGTGGTTTGTGCATGGATTGTGACTAGGAAGGGAGTGAGTCGAGGGCCAGATGATGCGGGAGTGGGTAATGATCTCATGAGTTGGGGAGAATATGAGAAATGTATAGCCAAGGGGAATAACATCAAGGATTCTAAGAGTTCTGCAGTAGAAGCAGAAATCAAGGATGAGACGGGACTGGACGGCAAGATTAGACCAATTCTCACGAAAGAAGCAATTCAGCATCATGTGAGGACGCGTCTTAGTGGACATTTGGTTCCGAAGTATGTTTTTTGGGTTGATGAGTATCCGAAGACTGCTAGTGGGAAGATTCAGAAGTTTAAATTGAGTGAGAGGGCGGAGTGGATTGTTAAGGGTGGGAGGATTTAGGTGCGGTGGGGTTAGGTGGGGTGGGGTTAGATGAGTGTGGATTTGATGGGGGCGTGTTTATGGGTGGAAGTGAGGGGGTAGGGGGGAATGAGGTTGTTGGGGGGGATTATTTTGGTTGTGATAAGATCGGAAAAAGTAGAAAGAAGGGTGGAGAGAATTTAGGGATTTTGAGGAAGGATTTTAGGGAGGGAAAGAAGGGCAGAGGAGATGGAAGATGGAAGGGACTGAGATGTGCTGAAGACATGCAGAGACACACACACACACAGAGAAAGATAGAATGACACGATGATTGATCAACAAAGCGCTTAGCTAGACTAAATCCATGAAATTACTACTTCACATTACATCGCCTATATCCATTATTAGTTTTTATCACCATAGCTGGCATAGCATAAATTATATCACGTTCATGATCACGATCCCTGCCAGGAAAGAATATAAATATACCTTGTATAGTAACAAGTGTAAATCCTAAAGCTAAGTCTAGTACCCTACTTTCCGGCCACCCCCTAATTCCGGCTACCTTTTTGTTACGGGGTTTGCCGTCCAGATCACGTGGAAGTGCTCTAGGCTCTCGAAGTGGTTTATAACTAAGCGTCAAGCAGGGACTTAAGTAATGACAATAATGATATGCGATTCGTAACTAATAGTAGAGTATACTAAATGATTGATCTTGAGCACGAAGCTCTATACGAAGGAAATTCGTCCTGACTATATAGACCTTCATGCTATGGACCTAAGAATATGTTGGACCTTTATTTTTCGTGCATATTGTGTAGGGTTCATCACGTGATTGAATCACGTGGCAATGGGCTTGTGGAGTCCGACGTAACAGGGGAGGGGGTTGATGATTTTGATTTTGGATTGATGATTTTGAGTATTTGAATAGATAGGTAGATACATGATAATTATTAAGTTAGGTTAGGTTTGATGAATGGGATGGGATATAACAAGAAGAGAGATGAAAGATAGTCAGTTGGGTGGTGGAAAGAAGGCTTGGAAGGGAGGGATTTTGAGAGGGACGAAGGAAGGGATTTGGGAGGGATTTTGGGAGGGATTTTGAGAGAGGGGGATTGGGGAAAGAAGATTGATTAAAACGAGACAAAAATTTGAAAAAACCATCCTAACCATAGCATAAACAAATAAACAAACAAATATATCAACACCAAGAATCCAAGAGTCCAACCAATACATCCAAGAATCTTCGATATTAAAAGAAATGAGACAAGGTATTTACAGAAAATCACACACACACACACACACACACAAATAATAAAGATCATGAACAATATGATATGACATAATATGATACGACATAATTCATCCCAACCAAGAAATCTCACTACAGTACCATGAAAATGACAATAAAAATCTGCTTCTATCTATGTATATGCTCACATATATGATTCCATATCATGATATTCCTCCCCTCCCGCCAATTTCTCTCTTCTTCTTCTCCTTCTTCTATTCGACAACCAGGTAGTAAAGATTGGATAGATAGATAGATAGATGGATGAATAAAATGACCTCATGAATATGCATGCATGCATACCTTTCTTTGCAGAAGCATATTCGAACAAAAGATCGAAAAATACTCCATTTCGATCAATAACAACTCGTAATACTCCATGGAGCAAGCAGCCTCGTAATATTTAACCGTACTCAAATGATGTGTGCGGCGGCATATCTAGATAGATGCCCAATACTCCGATGATTTGAAGATCATCTCCTAGTAGAGCCGAAAAGCCGCCGTGACTTGATTAGATTTCAATTTTGACTACTGTAGATATTTATTACCCGATATATCGATAGAGAGATATCAGGTTTGTCTAAATATAACTTAGGCAATGAATGAATGGTATGATGTATTCTATTCTCCAAGTACAAGTTCTTGATATTGTGTATTGACAATTGTGACGAAGGAATAACATGTCCATATGACTACCCTCATATTGGAGCTATCGGAATAGAAGTTATTTGATGTGATTGAGCCACTCCAGTCTTGAATCCATTGGCGGAACTTTCGCTGCTAGTAATAGTGGCAGGAAGTTCATGAATAGTTGCCGAAGCTTCGATAATAGTCGTTTTAGAGGTGAATGTAGTGGAAGTTGGGTCTAAGCATCGTCCAAACCACCCATAACTCCTACAAGATGTCGAGGTGATTGTTGTTGTCGATGTAAACGTCGTGCTTGCACTGGTTTTATCTAGACACCCCCACCAACCAGGAGTTTTGCAAGTTTCGGTTCGAGTCCTTGGTTTGGATGTTGTACTAGCTGTAGTACTTGAAGAAGTAGAGTGAGGTCCTTTTTCTCTTTTCCAATTGAAGCAATCGACACATTCGGTGTCGGAAACACATGTAGGAGCTTTATCATATTTCTTGTAGACATTTCTGATGGAGGCTCTGATTCCATGAGTTGATAGAGATACACTCCAACCAAAATCTGCAACGACATCATATACGCATCGTAATCCTGCATGACACGTCGACTCGAGGGCATAACCAGCAAAAGCACAAAGTGATGTAGCTCCATTGCATGTACCCATATATACGGGATCAGCAGTGTGCCCGAAATTCCAAATACCTACATTATCACGAGCTTCAGAAGCAGAGCTGTACCCGGGTGGAGTAGGAAGAGCCAATCGAGAAATTGCTAATGCTTGAGGGACCGACTCAAAGGTCAGCACAGGATGGCCAAAAGTCAATGCAACGAGAGTAGTGACAAGTCCTCCAAGAGAATGACCTGTCAACCAGACATCGGCATTGGGATATTCCTCTGTAATGTTTCCATATAGTTCCACAGCAGCTTGATAATAACGATTTGGCTTCTTCAATGCCTTGGAAACACAAATCTCGTTGCATGTATATGTTGCCGTCATACAATCACATACTTTTCGTAGACCCCATCCACCTTGTCCACAGCAACATCCAGCAAACAGATTATCATTTTCTTTATCATTTGTAGTTGTCTCGGCCCCATCAAATACAGCTGAAGTTGTACCCTTCAGCGCGATAACGATGGTGGTATTTGTATTGTCGGCATAAACATGACCCCGCAGACCATCTGATTCCCATCCAATAGATGATGAAAGATTAAAAGGAGGTTTTATATCTTCCCACTGAGGATCATCGGGAGTTCGTTGATATGTGTTTGCTGCCATGACTGCGAAATTGACCACAGTAGATTTGTCCGTCACATCCGGCGCTGAAACATCATCAACAGACCATGCTGATGCGGGAAGATCGGTAGGCCATTGATTGAAAGTTTCTATATCCTGCACACCTCGCTTTCGAAGCCTGTGAATGCCTATTGGAGCTGTGGGAACGGTAAATGGACCAATATCGGATTCGCTATCGCTGCCTTCGAGAGTCGCTTTCTTTATCTTCTCGGGACTGATTCTGAGACGTCGATGCAATTCGGGATATTCTTTAGTTCCATGATGGTACACGCTTCGCAGAGTGAGCGTTCGACTCTGAGTGATGACCGTACCACCTTCTAGAATTCGGGATGGTGGCGATGTCCATTGTTTGAATGGAGCTTGAACTGATTGTAGGAATGGCACCTGAAGCTTTTCAGCCCAATAATTACTCCATCCTGATACCAAAAGAAAAGAAGAAAATAATGGGATTAGACACAAGGAAAATAGAAGCATCACGAATTACTAAAGTATGATGCATGTAAAGCGTTTAATGGATATTTGTTGAAGGTTGATAGCAAGCCCACTGGTAGGTGGCTCCCAAGTAAACAAGTAATGGATTGCATTGCGACATTCTAGGTGAGCCTCGGTAACTACCCCGGATATCAAAAGGGTACACATCGAACAAATCCATGGGATTTCAATTCTTCGATACCATTTGCATTATATAAACATCAGTAATAAATATTTAATTTTATTATCGCCATTATATAGATATTCTCAAATTGAATAAGCTCAAACATATATTTTGTTTATAAATATTAAGATTCATTATCTAAATCTTCTCATCTCAATAACGTTCCGATCACCGATCACAAATCTTCTACCATTTCCACACCTCCTACGTAGCTGTAAATAACAACTCTCTTTAAAAGATATAACTCTCAAGCTCACCTCAAGGCTAACACTGCAAGAAGCATCAGCTTATCGTCAGCTTATCATCTCAACCAATTCCATATCATGCATGACACAGCAGACATGCCATACACCCATCTCTTCGCCAACAAATTTTATACAATCCGAATATAAACCTTGGGTTTTCCCTTATTCATTCATTCCCTGAATATTGCAGGAAGCTGCAATTGTAACCGCTGTTCATGTTAGTACACGCCAGCCATTTATCTATCATCACTATATCATAGCAAAAGAATTAACGATTGAAGACGTTGAAAACGTGAAATGAGAAGTAGCGAGTAGGAAGTAATAAGCAGTGATGGCGTAACAGCATCTAAATTTATGCCACGTATGCCAATTCCAGCAAGAGTGAAATAATTATGTACCGGCTGACCACACCACACCATGTCATCCATCAACCGACCAACCAGATTTCCATGCGTATTATGTTTGCTCACAACTAAAAACGAAAACAGATATGTCCTTGAAACCTCCGTCAACCAAATTCAGCTCCATCTCTCAATCGTACAACTCAAGTTCGCAACATGCGAAGGAGTATTGAAAAGAAATAATAGACTCTTTCCACCATGAACTAGCGAAGACCATCCTTTCCCTAGGTAAACCACATTTCTGAAAGACTTTTGTTCTAACATGCGATGTCCTAATGGTGCCTTGCAAAAGCAAAAGAAAGCGTATAATGAAGATGTTGGCTCAAACGGACCGACCAGTATGATTCCATGGTTAGATCATCCGGATTCAGGAGCAGTTATAAAACCAGCTAGCAAAACACCACCGTATTGCATGTCCAGCATGGGAATAATTTTCGAGACATCGAATGACGGCCAAAGTGGTATCCTGGACTTGAGACCATGCAAGAAACGGATGTGAGGAGGCTGAAAGCGCGGCAAGATAGTATGTCAGCACCCTGTAAGATGTATGATGGAACTCCATGAGACTGGGCGGTGAGTGAATTTGATTGATGCCGATTAATCCTTGATACACACCTGAATAGGCCGAATGCAGTGGAGAAAATGTCGACAACAGGTCCAATGGGCTCGAACATCCGAAATCCAAGAAACGGTAGGCCGCAAGGTATCAATCCAGGTCCATATGAGAGAGGTGCCAATCCAGAGGAGGTTCCAAAACCGGGTGGTTTGACTATACCTGTGCTGCAAAGCCATGTTTTGTGAGTCAGTGATGAAAATCCATGGTCGGGTTTTGACCAAGAAGGAATCCATGATAAAGGTAGGTGGGGCATTGTTTGAAGTGGTTTGGATTGTCCTTTGAATGGGTGAAGTCGATGTATATACAAACTCCTCTATCATGCTGCCTGAACCCAGACCTGAATGCTCTAATGAGTATTGAGATACTAACCAAATCATAAAACGTGGTGAAGAAGAAACCAGCCGGTGAGGCTTCCGGAAATTTGGGTCCAGGCAGCAGGTACGAGGGATGGTATCCTAAGATAATCCAGAAACTTTCAAGGAAACATAAACTCATAATGCGCCCCAACGGTCTGCGTATGCAAAAACTGATGCAACTGACAGATGAAAAATGCAAGCAAGCAAAAAACACATCCATTATCCTCATTTGGCCCGTCGCATCCCATAAAGCCGGGTATAGCTGCTCTGCACGTGCAAAGCTCATGATAAAACATCCGCGGTAATTCTCCGATAATACATTCCGACATCGGTCCAGTTGGTAGTAGTCTAGCGTAGGGTATGATAGAAAACCCTGGTAATATAAAGATCATACCTCGTGTCACAAGATGCCAAACCTATTGCAATCTTGGATTTTTATTAAGATACCGATGAGGCTGTAAAGTACCCTTTGTCTAGTTTGGATCCATGTTATAGGAGGGCTCCAAGGCTTCCTTTGAGTGGTCCAGTGTTCCAGTAAATCCAGGGAAAAAGCAATAAAAAACGCCAGAACAGTAAAAAAGTCCGGCGAGGAAACAGAATCGCAAAAATCAACTACATTCCAAAGGGAACATTAATTCCTGCGGCGTTGGTGATGTCTGTCACGGTCATCCCTACTGTCCCGGTCACGCGTCCTTTGAGGTGCCGATGAAGTGGCGGTGCCACTTCGTCCAGAAGGCATTGGCTGAGAGTATGATACTGTTTCCTGGTATGAGCCTGGTTCGGTATATCCGGCATCTTGCATCTGGTAATCTGGAGTTTCCGGGTATGCTCTGGTGTCGTAAACCTCCGGGGTGGATTCATAATTGCCTGATGGAGCAGCTAAATAGTTAGATTACATTCGTTTGCGAGAACAGAGACAATGAAGAAAATGGATGCACTTTGGCGTACGCACCACGACTACTATAATAAGGATCTGTTGGTGCATGTGACGCATATGCTGAAGTTGATGCAGTTGGTCCAGACTGGGAATAGTACTGCGGTGCAGGTGCTTGGTACGATGTACTGGATGGGTATTGAACTGCCTGAGTCCTAGGAACGGACTGAGGAACAGATCCGCCACGGCCAGCAGGTTCAACAGCATAATTGGATCCGTGAACATAACTCCTGGTGTCCTGAGTGGGATATCCTTGGGGAGATGGAGCATACTGTTGTGATGGTGGCTGGGTATAGCCATCATTCTGGTAACTTGTAGGCTGACTGTAGCCCGCCGAGTAACCCTGGCCACTTGGTTGATATGATTGGGAACTGGGCACAGCAGCCGATGGTGAATTGTACATCCCTTGTTGTGCAGCAGGTCGAGGCTGCTGTGTTGCATCCATTCGAGCAATGGATTGATCTAGTGCATTTGAACTTCTGTAGTCCACTACTATAGGGGTGTTAGACTTTCGAACCATCTCGTTCGAATCCCTTAAAGAGATACCATTTGTAGGGTACTGTGCAGAAGATCTAGCAAGTCGCTCAGCTCGCCAATCTGCAGATGCCTGTTTCAAATCAAATATCATGGCCTACCCCAAGAATTCATCAGCGGGAATCACTCAATCGATAGGAGCGCGACATTACATTTGTAAGATTCCTGTAAGCTGTGATCACGTATACAGGTTTAAGTTGTTTTGTTCTCGGGTCCTGTAGGTGAAGCCATTAGTTTTTCATCGACATCTCACGAAGGTACGGGCAATGACTTACTTCCACGTCGCCCGGTTTGACGAGAGCATCGTTACCAAGATACCGGCAGATGTCAGCCGTGATAACTTCTCTGTCGATACCTTCAGCGTCGATAACAAACTGGCCTGTTCTTCCAGCAGATGGGTGTGTTGGTTGCGGTTGCGAGCGGGAAGCTCTGTCTCTATCGTCACGTCGCGACATGATGGTAATCCAGGAAAGAAGTTGGTAGAAGAGAAAGAGAATAACCAAAGATGGAGAGATTTGGCAATGCAAGTCACACAGGTCAGCCTAGGGAACAACTGTGGTACCACACAAAATAACCGGCGACAAATTGGGGAGTCAGAAAATGGTCCAGAAGAAATCCTGTATGGAGTAAGTGGAAAACTTTTCTCTCAATATCCGGGGGGTTTTTGAGCGGGAGCCTCGAGAAAGAAGTAATCCTATGGAAGTAAGAAGAAAACCGGTTGGTCCTGAGTAACTTGGAAAGGCGTGTGAGAAGAGGGTGTGAGAGTGAAAAGGTCCTGTCCAATCCAGATGTGTGGTAACGCAGAGACGCGGAAGCAGGTTAATGTCGTGTGAATGTGAAGTTCGTACTCCAAAAGAGAGGCAACGAATAAGGTGAGCCTCTTGGATGAATAGTAACCGGGATGTTTCTGGGATATTTCTCTGAGCTGGCGTTTTTATTTTTATTTTTTTTTTTCTCCTTGTGTGCTGATGGTCTTGTTTTTGAAGACACAAGAAAAGGATTGAGCAGAGAAGACGGTGAATGGAAGAGTGGAAGAAGTGGCAAAGCGAGGAGAGGCTGGGGTGGTCTTTTTAGCCCCTGTAGCTGAATATCCGTTTAGGTATGGTGCAATGGTTTCAATGGCCGCTTTTATACTCTGACACCCAACCAGCTCAAGTGGTTGAATTGATTGAATAATAACCGGCTTGTGAAATTTTGTGGATACTTGAAAGGTTCGGTGATGTTTTGTGATGGATGGGATGGATTTATGCTTATTTCTGTTTTGGGACAGGAAAAAAAGCTTTTTCAAATGATTTTTTTTATTATGGATGATGTGATGACGCCTCTGACAATCGAGAAAACATCAAATATCGAAATATCGGATTATCGACTTGATAAGGAAGGAGATGAAGAAGACGAGGAGGGAAAGAAGAAGCGCAGGGAGTCTTTTCTCTTTCTTGGATTATTTTAAAGGCAATCAATATTTGATGCGATCGATGGATTGATGCAATCAAAAATACCAAATTCTTGTTATTGTTATTGCACGTAGTCAGATAAGGCTAACTAACTAACTGTAAGTGGGAATGACGAACGGTAGGTGTAATGCAAATCGAATGTGGGAGGAGTGCGAGCGAGCCTGCTTTTTGGATATCTTCAAGGTTACCAGTAAACTTTTCGTAAATTCGTATCGGAAGGGGGAGACTTGATCAACAAAAGAAGCCGACAAGTCCTGGCGTGAGTATGTCGATAGTTCGATAAGGTAAGGTTCAAGATAGCGAGCGCAACAACGATAACAGATAGGACGGCTTGAATGAAAGTGAGTAGATGGGTTCAAGTACTAAGCAGGCACGAGTGCAGAATATTGATGTAGGATTTTAGATGTAGAGATAAACAGATATGCCTCCTTATAGATTGGTGCAAGTAGGGAGTCAAACTTAATCATGAAAATTATAGATTAATAAATCTTCGCATTGTTCAAGTTTCAAGAGTCTTTCATATCTTCACACCCAAAGTGCAATGAAAATTGAAGACATAAGTCATTAAAAAACTCAAAACAAAACCTTCTTCATGTTAAGGGCATTCTTTGGGAGTACTTATTAGAAAACTTCTCAAACAATTGACATCTCACCCTATCATCACCCCATCAATCCATCAACCCATCACAATTTTGAATCTTTCAAGCCTGAACTATTGGGTCAATCCAGGTTCAAATCCGTCTATCACAATACAGTTTCATCGTGATTCGGTCCTACGACCTACGACCCAACGTAATAAGTTCTGGGTTCTGGGGAATATGGCCTCGCCGACTTTGCCAGAAAGTGGAACTTCTTTCCTTGCCACTACAGCGGAAAAGTGTGGGAAGAGATGGTACAGTGGTGTGTATGAGTGATCGAGGATGACGCGTGAGTACATGAGAGGGGAATATCCATCCTGTAATGAGCGACGCCGAGGTTCCCATTTGACCACATTCTCCGTTTATTGCAGTCAGGTCAGATTCTTCTTGTCAAATCTGTATCGAAAGCTTTCACCTACCTTGACCTTACATGAATATGCTATGTTATGCCTACCCACAGATGTTGTGCGCAGGACGTATTGTAATGTCACATCAATATCTCAATCTGCCAGTTAGAGGAACACAATTGTAGATGTGACATTCGCCCACCGATACCGAATCTCGAATTGCACAACAGAACAGCTTTCAACCGAACAGGAACTGGTGATTGTGAAGGGATCCAGGAAAGTGAAAGGCAGCCAGTGATTCCTGCAGTTTTGTGGGCAAGGTTGTGGTCTTGGTCTTGGTACTCCGGTGGTCTGTGATTTTTTTTGTGGCGCGAAATCAATCGGGTTGGGTATTGATGCATCCCAGCCTAACGCAGCCAAATGATGCCTAATCCATAAACCTCATGTACAGGTTCACAGCCATTAAAATCTCATTTTCATGCGTCCATTGAGAAGCCATCATACACTTTTAAACATGGATTAATCTAAGGCATGTTGACAACAAACTCATGCGGCTGGCGTTTGTAGATTGTGTAGACCTACCGATAATCCGACAATAAATATATTTGTGTTGTTTTAGTTCTTCTCACAAGCACAAAGCTCTGGATGCCTCTGCGTCTTACTGTATATGTACAGTTGATGATGTACTTTGCCGATCAGAATGTCTGACGGGAGGCGAAAGACTCAGATGTGGTAGGGCTAGTGGCATGTCTCCATCTCATCCATATACCATTGCTTCACACCTAGGTGAGACAACTATTGTTCTTGATGCTTTCCATATCGCGCATGACCCTCCTGAAGATCCAAGTACGAGAGTCGCTTGCAAAATCTGATAGTCTGGATCCATGGCAAACCTGCCAATTATTTGTAGGGCGAGAGTCACGGCCGGGTGGCTGGCTCCAGCTGAACCTCTAGAAGGAATTACAGTGCAGAAGTGATCATTGTTGCGTTACTCGTACCTTCGACAGAACAAAAGAAGATTCCGCAGATTCCACTGTCCAACGACACTTATTCTGCAAAGATTGTATTTGTACTTCCGGACAACATATTGCATCCAAGGATGGGCAATCCAGGTGAGCACACTGCTCCAGTCGCACAATGTATCGGAACATGGTTCGCTCATAAACTAGCCGTCTTTCGGGGTCCGTAAGGTCGGCCCATCAGCGCGACTGTTTAAAATCTCGGCGGCAGCATGCAATATGAAAAGTATCGTGTGGCACATCAGGATAGGGCGAGAGCGCTGTCGGTGAGAGTAGTTTCATTTTTTAATCATCCAAATGTCAATTTACTTTGGCCTTTCTCCGGTCGGCCTCCACGACCATTGCCTCGTTTCTTTGATGCGACACCCCTTTTGTTGCCGGAGGAAGTGGCAGGAGCTGGTGATGTACGCCTCAAACGATCCTCGTCCTGGAGATCTTTGGCAAAATGCCAATCTTGATGGCTCTGAAATGCCTCCGCGCAATCCAGAGCCTGATTGCAGCGGCTGCATAAAAATTCTGTGATCTGTGGTTGTTTTAAGGCCGAGAGGCCGATTGATACTTCTGAATTTCTGCTCGCCTCATCCCCCTGGGTTGAAAATGCAGCCTTGGAATCTACGGTGGGGGATGAAGACCCCTTTTCCTCACATATCATGCGTGATCCGGGTAAACTCTGCTCACCGCCAAAATCATCGTCGTACTCCTCAATACTATCTGGCTTGACGAAGAATTTTTGGATTCCTGCATCGCCTGCACGTCGTCTCTTTTCGGATCTCTCCGCAGATAAAATGGCGGTCGCGTCTCGCAAAACTGCCTTCTTCATAGTTTTGGCTTCGTCTCCTTTGACTAAAAACGCCCCAATACCCATATTACCGCTCACGCCATCCTCAAAACCCCCAACACTTAGACTCAAATTTGAACATGGCCATACTCTCCCATCAAGCATGATTTGGTTTAGAAGGGTCTTGGCTAGTTCGAAAAGGAGCGTCTCATTCATCTTCTTTCCTTGCGGTATGGGTGCTTGTCGGGATTTGGTTTGGGCACCATGTCTGTGATGCAAATTGATTGTCTTGGGTCGTCTCTTGTTCTCTAGAACTCCCTCTTCTACTAAACGGGAATGTATGTCCGCCACGAAAATGCGGAGCCATCTGTTAGCCTGCTCGGGGGTGTTGATGCTAGGTCGGAATGATTTTGCAGACAACATTGACTTTATTTGAGTTCGTGAGTTGACATCACTGGTGTCATTTCCTCGAATAACATTGTGGACCCATGTCCCGGTTTCTTCTCCTAATTTCTGCTTCAGATGCTCCATGGGAACAAGCAAAAGATCGTTGACCATATCTGTATTAAATAGTTTGACGACTTCCTCGCCTGTCTTACCTCCAAGATTTCTAATCTTTGTGAATTTGAAGCCTGACAGAAATTGCTGAACAGCCCGATTTCGAATGACTGTCTGTTGATTTGGCTTCTTATGTCCGGAACCCAGTTTGGAAAGCATTTTGTTTTGAGCAATGCCGGCAGAACAAGTATATTTGAGTTTCTCACGTATTGCGGCCCGGACTGTACGTACGATTTCAGAACCAATAAGCATTGCTATATCATCCCAATCAGGATCATCAGTTTCTGTCTCATCTGTATCTAGATCTACCAGTGCATCCGCCTTCCAGTCAAGAACAGTCGTGGGAGGTAAAGGCAGTTGTTCTGTCAAATCGTCATAAGGAGCGGGGCCTTGCAGCTCTGGATATCTCTCCAAAAGGATCGCATGAACTTGGGAGGAGAGATCCATGAAAACCTCATCTACACTAGCTTTCTCCACCCTCTGCAGATCGTTGGGAACACAATCTTTTATACACGCTAGTATCCGTCTTGACTCGAGTCTGTAAGGATCCAAAGAAACCTTATGTATAGCAATGTTCTTAAACGCATCGTCATGGTAGGCCCATTTCTCGTCACCTTCGCGCCAGGTCGCAACATGTTGACATATGAGATCCGGACAGAGCTTTTTGGCTTCCGTGATATTTATATGGCGATTGAGACCGAATGCCCTCGCTGGATAATTGATAGCTATGAGCCCTTGCCTGTATTGAACCCGTGTATTAGCTTTACTCTACCTTTAAAAGACATAACTGCCAACCATTATGAAAGAAAGAATCCTTACCATTGTTGCACCGCTAATGGTTTTTCCTCCTCGATTCCTAATCTTACCATCTCAACCTGTGCATAAAATGCATCAAGGTCAAGATGTGCGATCACTCTCAGAGGGCATGATGTAGCAGAAACAGCCAATTGTGCAAGCTGTCTGTATGTAAACTGACTCTTCTTGCGGCGCGACGGTGAGACTTGAAGAGGGGAAGACTGCATGAAGGGTTGCGAAGAAGACATGGCTTCAGGTTTCCTTTTCGATAAAAATGTTTGTGTGCTGTAGATTGCTATTCCCTTGCCATAGTTTGTCTAAACGATCCGAATAATTAGTTGCGATGTCGTGAAGAATTGCACACCGTATTTTGAATATTCAGTTCAAAACTGAAGAATGAAGTAGCTTTCGCCAAGAAATCGTTCGGCTTTGGAGAGGCGATATTCCATTTGTGTTCCAGTAGATATCAAGGTATGGCTTCGCCGTCGCGAGTATGGTGAAATGATTCCGAGTCCTACCTTGGGTACGAAGTAGAGCAATCAGCTCAATCGCTTGTTGAATAGATTGATTGACTGTAACTGCCAAGCAAACTGTCCTATGAAGGAGAAGTTGATCTTGAATATCTTATGCTCATATATACCGAAGCAGTCAATAGAGAGCACAAATGCGATCCTGACTGATAAGGACGCGTTGGAGTTTGCTTTTTTGTAATGGGAGACGTGATTGCCCGATGTACCGCGCCCCGACCATGAAGCCTCGGGAAACACTGAAGTCATAGCATAGCTTGGTATGCAACTGTGCAACCACCTTGTTGCGAGCTCATACTTTTTTATTTATTTTTTGTAGCTACAGAAACCTCTATTTTAATTGTTTGATTAAATTCAGCTGGACCCATATTCAATTAATCAATCATCTGAAAATAATTATATTGTTTCTACCAAATCCTCGGCTCATTTTGCTCTATATCTTACTACCTTAATTGTTGTTTTGCGTAGCACGTACACATTGAGGCCGCATATGGTTGAAATTTCTGAGGTCCATGAAGCAAGAATGGTCTTTCTTCTTGACAAGTTACACTGCATCCCAGTAAAGAGGAAGATTTAGGCTAATTATCAGCTCAGCATTTGTGAATAAACAAGTTCTCATGTAACCATCGGCCGGTGTACCTTCCTTGATAGTCGAGCATCTAAGTCCATGTTTATATTCTCAATCTCCTTTTGACAGCCGGTTCTACAAGGCATTTTGCGATTAGGAAGTGATTAACTTCAAGGGGATCAGAAGTTCATGGGCCAATGGAAAGCTTGGCTAAATTTAAGATCTTCATGCATTCTTTCTAAAGTTTCTGCACTTTTGAGTTAGGGTCAACGGCGTTGCGCTAACTAATGACATGCAGGATGGATTGGAAGGTACCTTGAGAGGACATATCGGACTTACCGAAGACGTGCTTGATGGATTGCAAGGGAGGTCGACTTGGAACAGGATGTAACATCGATCGGCATATTATTTGTTAGCATTTCAATGTTGATGATGTTCTGTATGGTAAAGACTTACAACAAGACCTCGGGGCTGTGATGGGTGGCTTTGGAGAATAACTATGAGGACTAGACTGGTTGTAATGACGGGTACACAAACAGTCTCGCAATGCATGGGAGCGTTTCGGGATTGGTGATGTATTAGTTTTTGTGGACGCGCTATCAAATTCCTGCGGAATAAGGCTCTGTTGTATTAAGACGTAGGTAGAAGAAGTCTTAGAAGAGTTAGACTAAAGGTGAATCAACTGACAATTCCATTTGAGTCTTTCATTCAGAGTCCCGGAGGAGAATCTGATGACTATCGACCTTATCATGACTGATTCCACAATCCTTATCACACTGAGATCATTAATTTTGAGTTTCCTGCCACCTACTTATGCCTGTCATCATGGATTTGGCATGAATTGAGATTACTCTAAAGCAGATAACCTTGGGTGCTACCTGTTTCTGTCATGTTTATGTTAAGATAACTAGTATAGTTGCATAATCCATGCAGCTTATCTCTCAAAATACTTGCAGCTTAAGGGCGGCTCCAAGAGGATGGTACGGCAGAACAAGGCAATGCTACCTGGTACGGCGATGATGCAGTCAGAACAAGACTATTGTGTCATATCCAAGCGTATTGACAAAATTTCAGACAACAGACCACTTCAAATGGATTCCCGTAACGAACGGACTTCGGGATGTACTAAGCCCTTCTTTCGACCCAAATCCCACGCAACTTTTTAGGACACTGCGAGTGCCCATTATCCACCGCTTAGTTGTTTGATGAGCTTCCCTGTAACTGCGAGAATGGTCTCGTTTCATCGAAGCCGTAGGCCAGGAGTACTTGGTGCCACACGAGCCGGTAGGATATGCCTGATTCTGATAGGTTGGCTCCCAGAGGAATCTGGAAAGAGTGATGTCTCGCGGACAGAGCTTCCTCAACGACGAACCTGCAAACCTCCAATGCGTCGCCGCGACATACCACGGGGAAGACTATATATTGACAGTAGCTGTTCCACTTTTCAGCAATGCTTTGGGAGAATCACCAGGGCTAGTCGCTAGGAATGACGGATGCCTTGAGGGGCGGTTATGTCCGAGTGAGATTTTGGAACATTGGCGATAGGGCATCAGAAAGGTAAACATTCTTGCTTGGTATTCGGAGCAGCGATTCTTCGAAGTGATCAATCGCGCTCGTTTCTCGAAGTGGCTTGAATAAAAATCACTACCTCTCAAACAAAGGAAGACAAAATTAAGACGCAGCTGATCTCTCCATGCATCAAACTCTCCCAGCCCAAACATTTGCTTACTGCTCAGCAAAAAGAGTGAAATTTGCCGACAAGGAAATAATCAAGACTTGAGGTATTCGACTCTTGAGACCACTCCCATCACTGAAACACATACTGACGGTCCAGATTCTCAATTTTTGCACACACAGCAACAAAATACCCCGGCATAAACGGATGGTGGATATGCTGCCAATGCCCATTGCCCGCGGAAAATTGACTGCAGTAGGTAGGCTTGGTGCTGTCCCGATTGCGCGCACCCCTATTGTACCTCTTGCTCTGTTCCTCAACAATAAGGATGGAAACAGATGCATCACGTCATCGAATATGCTAGTCCGAGGAATTTGGATCGGGAATGATTAATTGATAGGAATGATGTGATGCAGAGTTGTGGCGGGAGGGAGGCGACTTGCAAGATGCAACGACTGTAGATGGAGTTTCTTCTGGGATGTGCTGTTTCATCAGGAATATGAGCTCATTTTAAAAGTGTTGCTTCTCTACGACGTTTACCGATGCTGGGTTTCCATTGAAGTTGGTAATAGGGGTCATATAGACAGTTGGCGTGGAAGGGTTTGCTTAGGGGCGTTAAAAATCATTTCTTCCTTTATCCTGCATATTCCAAAGATCACTAGTTTTTCATGTAAAAGTATCATGCTCGAGGGTCATTGTGTTCATTGCTGTCACATCGGCACGAAGATCCACGGCTGGAATCGAGCTGTGATAGGTGTAGCTGGATTGTAGTCGATCCATACCCTCAGGCGTAATCTCCAACTTTATACATCAGAACATCTGGCTTTTCATGGTGAATTAGATTAAGTATTAACTCCTAACAAGTTCCTGCCTGTCTGGTAATCAAACTCGATAATTTCTCAACATCGTCAAGCCTAACGAGAAGTTGCTGGAAGGTCTGGCGGTTGAACCATGTACCATGTTTCGAATTGGATTCAGCCTCAATGTTGACGAAGTTTGTGCCATTTTTAGTACCCACAAACTCTCTCACTGAGAGCCCTTGAAACTGTGCATGGTGTCCTGCCGTCGCAAGCTTCGGAAGCTCTGACATCTTGGTCGCCGTAAGTACGGGTGCCCGAAGCAAAGCATTGGTTGGAAGTCCGTCGGGAATCATGGAATCGAAGGCATATTGGCATACAGCTGGATCTTGCGCTAATGGTGTCAACTATCTCGAGAATCCCTATACCGATTCTGCAACATCCATTCGACGTCCTCGGTTGTCAGACAAGACAAGATAGGGCATGGACCAGTTGCGTCCCGTGAAACATATTCTCATTGTACGTAATCCAGCTTTTTAAAAATGGGACTAAGCTAGTCATATATTAATATCTGTGTTAGGATCTGTGACAGATGCGAGAGGCGAGCTTTTTGGTTCATACCACCTGTTAGTATACTAACAAACCGGCGAAGGCGAAAAAAAGATCATACTATAATACCTTCGCATAAGTCGACGATCAACGAGAGCTGTCTCGACAAATGGGAATCCGCTAGAGCTTGCAATCATTGAACAGATGTGATCGCGATGCGCAAGATTATAGATGGTGGAGACAATGAACTGAGGTGGAGGTATCGCTGTAGGTTAAGTACTCTCGAGACTCAACAAGCTTGAGGATATAGCCCTCTGTTGGCATACCTTTTCTAATCTGAAATTACATTAATGATTACATGTAGGTAGTGATTCTATATACTGGTATGGAAATCCATCCAACGCCGATCCGATATATTGCAAGTGCTGGTTTCAAAACATATCTCTGCTTCATGTCACAGGGCCTTCTTTTAAGTTTATTAAGTGTGTATGAATCTAGGCTATGTATGTCGAGTATTGCGGGAGCGAAGGTCTCCTAGTTCTGTTTCATTCGTGTTTCGTCCAATGTCTTCATATTTCGGGCGCCCAGGCAGATTAGCTTGGCCTTCCTTGAGTTGCTTCGGCTTCCTTCGTCGCCGACGTCTTTCAGGACGTACCTCATTAGGTGGAATGAAACAGACTGACGCTCGAAGGCGATCCACAGATGGACCAATCGAGAATTGACTTTCTGTATTTTCGTGGTTACAGCAAGGACTTCTCTTTATGGGGAGAAACCAGTCCATAAAATGTTCTCCCATGACTGACTTCCAATTTAATAGAGCAGATCCAAGATCCCAAGGATTATCCCCGGGAGACATTTCAAGTATTGCAAAAGTGCGCACAGCCTTTTGGTCTCTACTCAGTCGTTCAGAGTTTTCTATATGTGGTTGGAGCTCGCCAATTGTCGATGTTTCGACATTTTGCGATGGTGGGAAAGTGCTTAACGAATTATCAACAATGACGTCTATTGATTCTGACCGCGAATCTCTGACATGGAAATTCTCATGCGCTGGATCAATTGCTGCATTGATAGGGACTTCCGTAACGCCGGCCATTCGTCTTGCGTCCTGCGGTGGAATTGGTTTGGATAATCGGTCGTGCCTGATAGTCTTCACGTACGGCCGATTTATCTGACTGCCGTCCAAGGGGGGTGGAGTATCCAAGGGATACGTGATCTCGGGATACGTTTGTGTTGTGGTGGCCGTCATACTGATTTCAGCCAATCTTTGAGGCGAGGGCTTTAGTATTGCTAGTCTATGGATCTTTCCGAATCTACTGATGTCTTCGACTTGTGTCGAATTGTCAACAGCCAGTCTCGCGGATGTACTGAACATCGTCCCAGTGAATAAGCCAAAGAAGGCAGCTCTGTATACTTATGGTCAGCAACAATTATGTCAAGATGACTACTGGCTTACAATGCGAGAACGGCAATGAACTGATGGTTGACAGAAATGCCCTGATGACAAAATCAGTCAATGTTAGCAACGTCCCATTTTTTATCTCCACAGCTGCCGAACAGAATAGTGAGGAAAATAAATCGTCAATTCTATCAAGGGTATTCGGGCGGTATTGGCAAAATAATGTATGGAAAACAGTCATACCTGAGTGCCACGCTGCTGATTAATGTATATTGCCATCACTACAAGGGTATTTATACAAAACAAGGCAGCATATCCAACAAATTGGATGAAGAACTTGAAATTATTCTCGCCAATAGGACCTCCTACCCTGAAATTTGTTAGCCACAAGGATGCGAAGAACGGCGGTGGACATACCACGGGCAATAATGATCCATTTTGTATATACATCTTCCCACAACACTACAGTGATGCTGACGATCCAATTTCCATATGCAACACTCAGAACACCATCTAGGTTTTCCATCCCTTTCCGCGCAAAAGACATCTTTTGTGTAAAATAATTCGAGACCAGGAGAATCTGGGTCATCTTTAGACGCATCAAGATTCCCTGAAGTGTATTCTTCTCCACCAATATCATCTTTTTGTTTTTTTCGAGGCTGACTTCTTGTAGCGCCGACTCCCAGTGGCGCGTAGGGAGGATCGAAGGTCGTCATATACACCACTCGGAAAAAAGACGAGCCCATGAGGATGAACAACAGAAAATATATAACCAGTATAGGCACCGCGGCTTTCGTATTTTTCTGTTCGACCAAAAGGTAATTCACTGAACAGCGACATGTTAGCAAGCTGATGAGTCTAGATCGCAATGTTCTGCTCCTTACCACAAAGAATGGCGACTACAACATACGTTGAATATCCAACCACGCCGGCGAGTACGAAAGGTATGAACCGCGCAGTCCATATATTCGCGGCACGCCTATTGCGTTCGATATCGCTGTGCAACATGACTAAACAGTCGTTGGCATGAATGCCAATGGGAAGAGCTATGTCCGAACCTGCAATAACGATTCATTACAACAAGTATTTGAGTATGTTTTTCAGCGAAGGTATCGTAACTCTTATTGATATTGAGTAAGCAAACATCTCTTTCATGGTAAGGTACAGAGTACAGAAAAGTGGAGATAGTTTTGGATCATGTAATGTGTTTATGGATCTTCAAATTACAGAATGATATCAAGATTGAGGATTGAGGAATGAGGATTGATGATTCAAATAAATGTTTCCAAGATTCCGATTTCCAACATTGAGAGATTGCAGGTTGTCGCTTTTGAACGAATTGATATTAGATTGATCCACTGTGTATTTAAAGCGATTTAATTATTACTGTAAGCTGGTAACCTTATTTTCACTAACCTTAATTTGACCCGAGAACACGTGATGGCATCAATTGGTCGCCGCATTTGTCAGCAGACCACATGAATTGTATTGACAAAATCTCTACATACATCTATCAATATCTGCACACGAAGCCTCTTAAGTCGACTGAATCCTATAGTTGACGCTAAAAAGCTAAATTCTCCGTTGCTCTTATAATGTTATCGATAGGGCTCTTTTTATCGCCGCATCCAAGACTGGAAAAATGGGCCCCTAGGTAGGTAGATGTTCGCTTCAATCTCCACAAAGTTGCCTGGAACATATCACACTGAGCATCCCTCGAATTATGTCATTCATCCTATCTTAGGTGCCTTGATAGAATAATCATCATCGGCTGCGGCGATCAAATTGAGCCTAGAAGCATCAGAATAGCTTCAACTCACTTCATGTTGGCAGCAAATATCTTACTGAAATGGCATCAACCGCCTTTAGCGAAGTAAAAGATACACAAGCATTGAATATTCCTCGTTACGTTTGTTGTTAGCTCGTCTGGACGTACTCCATCAGCAAACCTCACGCATGAGCAAATCCGTCTTGGTTATCATCCCGACGTGACCTTCCTCCACACCATTTTATACTCAAATCCCTGACTTCATCCGACGACCAGAGTCACATTAACATGGATAATACACACTAGGAGGGGACCCCAACATGTTGTGAATGTCGACGAGGCTGCTCAGTAGAGTTGAGCCGCAAACGATTTCCAATCCTTATATAACGGTCATGAGAAGATCTGAGGCTGTTGACATCTGAAGATGCCTCGAACAGAATCGAAGCAGGCGGTTCATCAGAACATTCCATGCGTCGGTTGTCGCCTCTCCGACACACCATTTGCAATTTGTGTCTCGGTTGAAGTACGTAAATTGATTTCATGGCCTAGTCTTATCGCGTATATTAGACAGTGGGCTGCCCCATTTTCTCAACCATTTTCTCAACCATCTCGAGAATCTACTGCGATTTTGTTCCCACCACAAGAAGATCTTGAATCTTCTAAAGCACACTGAAGCCTATACTCTTCTATGGTTACCTATGATTTGTACCACCGAATATAAAGTATTGCTTATACCCATCCATCATGCTCGATGGAAAATTCATCTGTATCCTCACTAACTGCCTATAGTTCCTACGGGCGATACTAGATCTACCCCCTTTTAGTGATTTGATAACAATAAGAATGTAGCTCGATCGAAGAGTTCTGGTCTTGACTGTGCCATTGGAGTTATCCGTGGCTACTCTACCTCATGTCAGATCCATGAATTGTCGTATTTTGAAGCTATGCTACTGACTGATTTTGGCTCGTTTCTACCATTTTATTGTGCTTCAAAAGCTTCGTCAATGATACCGCCTCTATCTGGAGCGTGCTGTCTTGAGGGGCTGGAATACTACAGGCAGTGACCGAAGGATCAAATATATGCTTTGATCGCACTAATACCTTGAAGCTCATCGGGTTATCCTACACGCCCCTCGGACAAATATCCCGATCTTTAGGTAATTCTAACTTTAAGGAGGCCTGAACCTTAAAGCTTCCACACATATCTTCACACCATTTTCATCGTCTTGTTCTTTGACCCCAATCCCATTTATTGGACTTGGCTTCACTCTGTCCTGAACATCCTAGGCGTTCCATTCTCGACTCATCATCCGTATTAAGAGATGCTTTGCAGCCACGATAAGGTTGTGATTGGCGCTACATTCACAGCTGGATTGCCGAGGATTAGCGGTCTTAACTTCTGGGTGTACATGGCAACTGGTGGATGCTCCGTGTGGACAGCCCTTCTGCAATCAGGTCTGGCATATTAGCAACGATTATTCCGTATGAGAGGGCCATGATCTCGACCAGCAATGATTACAACTCCACTGCACGAATGATTATCTCGAGTACGAATGATCATATCCTCACATCTATACAACATCAAAACTCCGTCTTCATTTTTGCGGTGGTTATTCTTAACTCAACTCAATATTTTTAATCCTCATTGACTGGGTTCTGGTCTTTTTCTTTGGGGCCCAAAAAGGGCTCGTTCGCGGATGTTCAACATTTCAAACAGAACCGTTTTTCACCGAGCTCGGATTTAGATTGCCTAGGGAAAAGTCCGCCCTAGGCATACAGCGACACATGTACGCTAGCATGGCCCGCTTTTTGAGCGTCATGCCTAAATCGGGCTATGTGGGCGGAGATGGAATATGAGCTAATGCAGGTACAACCTCCTGCTGCAGCCTTGTTGATCAATCACACACTCTAATTGAGTGTAAATTTATCCGGGCCCTGATTTCATGAACAGGGAATGAAGCTTCTTTCCGGATGTGATCGCTAATCACTATTTTTTATTCCCGCCTTATTCTCTCGAGCGATTTATAGAGAATAAAGCGTCATATCCTTCGAAGTGTCTAGGTAACCGTGCACTAAGGGCTTAAGACTCACCGAGAACTTCGTCGAAACGAGAAGCCCTCATTCAGCGCCTCCAGCAAGACTTGTCCCCATCATTGCAAGATGCCCATATATTGGTTCATCACAATTTGACAAGCGTATGAGAAATCTTGCAGAACGGATCCCATCTCTTTCCAGCTCACCGCGATCAGAAAGATTTTTATTCTCTGTGACTTAGCTGCTAGGGTCTAAAAGTGCTAAGCCTACTATTCTGAACATGATTTCGATGGCTCGGCACACCGAGAGCTTCGGTGAAGGCTTTTGGGCGAGGTATCATTCTACATAAATAAATATTGATACTCCTCTGCCTGGCCTTTTCTCTACAGTATCATCGCTCTGCATCTCATACAACCACAACCTCAAATCCTTACGAAATCTCACACTCGAAGATAAAGCAATTCCCCCCATATCTGCCTTGTCAGACTATTACCTCCTTTCCCCTTCTCCCTCGATACAACCGACCTTTTGCTTTCGAAATGCCTGCTCAATCAGCTCCAAAAGCCGATGTATGGGTGTGGTCTTGTTGTGCGTGCCGTGATGCTAGGCATAACTATAAATCATCGGGAATGACCACGCAAATTCCGGGCTGCCCGGAATGTGGCCATCTGCGGTGTTCTAATTGTCTTGTGCAATGCGTCAAAGTCGGATCCCACCACTATGACTGAGTATGTCAATATCTACATATCTATTGGAGTTTCATTTCAGTTCTAACGTATCGTCTAGTCAACAAACTCCTTCGATAACTTCGTCTGTTCTGGCCTACTGCATATGAGGTGTATCTGGGGATTTAGTACTGGCTTTCGATAAAATGAATTGAGGAGGTTCGAGGTACATTTGTGTTAAAATTTTTTGTGCAGAGAGTTTATGGTTTTCAATTGTTGGCTGCATTTTATCATGTCATGACATTTCTGGAAATGTGGCATCAGATTGGATTATAGATTTTACAGCTTTGCGTCATTCGTTTTTCATATAGAGCTTTCTTAAAAGAAGGTTTCACATTTCATATCATACAGTCAAACAAAATTTAAAACTTTGTTTACACATATCTCCATGCAAGCCCGTGTCGTCTGCATCAAAGATTGCTTGATGGTCACAGTGCATCGTCATACAATGGCATCGATAATAGCTAAAGTTGCATGCATCGCGTTTTCATCTTTGTCCTGGCGTGTATCTCGCAAATATGTCTTGGTTGAGCTTAGTTCTTTCATGACAGAGCTCTGCCTCTTTATATCTTCGTACACAAAATCTCGCTATGTAATGGGAGTCGTTTCGGCTTTGTTAGCATGATTCCGAGTGACCGTACCATAAAGCTTTCCTCCTCACGGGCACCAAGGCAAAAGGAATAGATTCAAAGCAAATTCATCTACTGCCTTGAAAGTGGTCTATTACCAAAATTTTATCTGCCTCGTCATATTCTTGGCTGTACACGCCCGGAAAGATCATTTGTTGGAACATGGCTTCTTCTTTCAGAGTATCACTTCCATCCCAATCGCGCTATTTTGGAGGGCAGAATTGGGCAATGATCAGTATTCCCAGTTACCTCGGAGGATTTCAGAAGCTGCAAAACCTCTCTGTTGAACAATAGATACTACTCTTCAGATATTTAACTTTGCTTATACTGCCCACGATTTTTTTAATCTCTCGATATCTTTCTTTTTTAACAATTCGAGCACATCGCACTTTTACAATGAATTATCAATTACTTCCACTCGCCAGTAAAAGTGGCTTCATATCGCCATCGCAGACTGGCCATGGATTAAGTCATACCAATTACTCGCAACAAACATTCCAGTCACAGTAATTGCAACTATGGCAGGAAACGTAGCGAAAACCTCGCAAGCGAGCCACGGGGCACATGTCATGGGGTGTGATTCTGCTGTTACTGCGGTTTGAACAGTGATGGGGCTTTGACGGCTGTCATGCATATGTACTGTACGCCTATGCACAGTACGATCTGTGGATATGAAATATGTCAGAACTGTACCACTGAACAGGTGAAAATACGAGAGGGAACTTAAGTGAGTAATATTCTGAACCCATGGAGCTATTGGAGAACGAATTGGAACCTAATGCAAATGCAGGTATACATCCCGGTATCTTGATAAAATTTGTGCGGATTCTGAGAGAGGGATTACTAGTGGAGAATTACTTCTCGGTGGGATGATAGCGCTTATATCGGTTTCAACCCCTCCCGTTTTCCTCATCCACCGTGATATTTGCAATTGCGCATGGATTTATTTTTTTGGTTTGCAAAGCGCCGCGCATTGCATATGATGTCGCCTTTGGTTCACAATTGATGATCGTTTTCGCATATTAGACTTCAGCTTCCTTCTCCGGATTGTTGGTTGGGCCAGGGTCTAGCGAGAAAGGACAAGGATTCAGGTGCTGATGGATTACACTTTCGATCTTTTTTTAATACTGCTCTAAAGGTGCCTAAATTAGGCGATATGAATAGAGAACGACCAGTCCATCTCTTTTTGTCTTGATAAAAGTCTAAGCAATGCTTACATTACTTCTTTGGTTCAACGATAGTATGCAAACAAGACCGACAGTCCAATCATCTGGTAGCAAGACTTGGTACTCCTCTTCGGTGTCTACGTACAGATGAAACCACAGTGCAGTTCGTCCATTGTCTCGATTCGGCGAAGCACATATAGCCCACAGCTAGGTGTTCCGCAAGGTTACCCGCCCCCGTGAAGCGGATGCCGGCAGTGCATACAAAACTTCCGCTGACTTGTGAGTGTGACGGGTGTCTTACACTTTGTTTCCACTCACTCTGCGTGCTCTACATTAGGCTTTCATGAAGATATCCTCAAATCAGCATGTATTACCTCAGTCACTGGAACCTTGGTGGAAGAACCGAATCAATATTGAGGATCAAGGGCTGGGCCCCCTTTCTGCTGACATATACACGTTTGATAATTGGTCATTTGTTTCTATGTCGGAGACATACAGCCATTCTCCAAGACATCGCTAGCATGATAAGATACACCGAAACTGGACAATAAATCCACCTTGCAAAGCGTGGCTGGCTGGGGCAAATCACGGCATTGTAGGGCATATTCAGCTTTAAAGCCCCGCCTACGGTGAGATAATTGAGTAAAGAATGCTTCATCTAATGTCAGGAACTGTGGTAGCACAGCATGTTGATGATGATATTGGCACGGGGATTTATGGAAGTGGGGTATTTCTATGTATGTTTCACTCAGCCAGCACACAACCACGTGTTGCGGCTCTTACGAGACTCTCTCCAATGGCATTGTCCAAATGCCATTTATCAATATTCGAGATGTGCGATATCGTCATCATGGAATTGTTGTGCTTAGATAAAGCCTTTAGCATCACCCTACTTCCGGGACGCCTCCGACCATCCCCAACAATGCACTTCCTACTTCAACCCTCAAAACCCGCAGCAATCATTTCTTGTCATTGAAACACTATTCCAATGTGTAAATCTCATCTACAGTGAGGACATTGTTACTGTCTGCCCAGATACTCAGTTTCGCCTGATCATATCGTTCATTTATAACGATGTGCCTTATGATTGTTTTACTGTGCCCGTCCACTTACTGAACTACAAAAACTTTTTTGTCGCCATGACCTGCTACACAAAGTCATCATTTCAGGGCTGTAGGATTCCCAACACTACATACACGGCTCACTTCAGCCTTATGCAACGGCAGTGCTGCTCCTGTTTTTCCTTTCCTTTTTGTGTTTTCAAATATTCATTCAAAGAAGGTTTTGCCGCGAAAGGAACCAGACCAGAATGCGTCCCTCTCTCGGAAGACCCGCTTTAGCGGCCTTTGTTGGGGTTGGCCGCGACCCCAACATCGGTATATTGTATTAGACTCGGTTCTTATTTTAACATACAGTACTTGGAATCTATCCTTCGATATTAACGGTACATCAAACGCTACGGAATCCTTCATGCTAACATTAACTTATCTTAGAACGTTCAAAGGGTAGTATATAGAAGGAGCAGGCGTGGCAATCACAAGTATTTAGGGCGATTGTTGTCGCGAAACTGGAGGGCGCCAAATAGTAAAAGCTTTTCATGCAGGTGAATTTCATGCTAGCGATTATGGTAAAACCCATATCTTCGCCCACAAATGCCTTGCATACTCGCGATCTCGTCCAATAGGAACTGCTAGACAATGATGTAAGGGTTTTCCATCATCTCGCCCAAAATACTGGTATCACATCACATCTCTAGATTGCGGCTGTAGATATGAAAGTAAAAAGTAAAATATCTAATGATATATTGATAGTCGATGAGGGATGCCGACATCAACTTCATGAAGCGTTACAAAGTCCTGTGGAGGCAGGCTACTCAGAAACTTTCTCTCTGTCCACCTTCAGGATTCGCTGTGTTACGGTTGGAAGGAAATATTGGATGACTGCATGTCGAGAGTTGATACCAGTTTTGAGGCACAAGAGGAGACAACGTAGACGGAATTATACGATTCAATCCATGCAATCATACTTGGTTAGATACAGGATCATGATTTTCTCGGCAAAATATCTCAAATTATATCTATAATATATTTATGAGATGTATATATATATATAGGTATATTGAGATATCTATAAAAAGAAATGTAAAATTCTCTATTCCTGCTTTACATTTCTAATTTGGGATTGATTGATTGAATTGGTGTGATGAGTAATCGATCTGAGAGGGAAATTTTGATCACGTGTATGACGAATCTTTTCAAGGATTCATCATCGATCGAGGAGATTTGGTTAAAACACCAATTCAAAGCATTTCTTTATTCTTGCTACTTGAGAGATGACAAAATCATACGATTAAAACATGATGGGAATAGCATCACTTTTTTGTTACACTAGGTAAAATATCATGAGAATAATATGGTCAATGGAATTCGAATAAAAGATAAATTCATCTTACTATGATGATCTTCTCAACCGGTTTGCGGTAAATCTAGGCTTTTATCGGATGAAACTGTTAACCCAGCCCAAACTAAAACGTCATGATAACCCCCACTATCCAAGGTGTATTCTAGGCACAGTTAGTGAGAGAGAGAGAACGCGCGAAACTAAGGCAAGACACTACACTCCACCACATTCCTCAAATTTCACCATAGATCAATACTGTACCTGAAGGTATCCTCCACAAAAATCAATTGACCAGATACGGAAACGGGGACTGGATTTAACCTATCAATTGCTATACAAAGAACATACATCCTATTCTGCACTGGCCCTTGCTCGAAATACTGTTGTCGATCGCAAAGCTCGGTCTCAAGTCGTCGCATAATACAAAGTGTTGGTATATCCATAGGAATTTCCTCTCAACACTGGCCTCACCGTCCCTCTCGAAAACAAGTATCTTAAGGTTTGCGACAACCGCATGGCTACTGTAGTCAGTTGCTCCTAGTAAGCCCGCGAAGGAAGTTCTCAATAAGAGGCGCAACGACATTCTTCTCCTGGCACCCTCGCTCATAATGGCTGAAACCACGACGGCTGCGGCTGAAGAAAGACAATTCGTGGCTCATTTCAGTCAGAAGCAGCATGTTTCCTCCCCGAAAGAGATCCAGCAAAATTCAAGGGATAAAGAATTGGGAGCAAGTTCAGGGAGTTTGAGTGTGCGAGATTTTGAATTGGTGAGAACGTTAGGAACTGGTAAAGTTTCCCTGCAGATGATATGTGTTGTGCTGTGTAGCTTAATGACGGAGCCTGCATTAAGTATGCTAATTTATTTTGCTTGAATAGGCACATTCGCTCGCGTGTACGATATTCACCCCAATGATCTCGCTTGAATATTTCTGATTTGATACCGTGTAGCTGGCTTGCACGTCTTGCGAACCCCGCAGAAGAGGATCGCGATAAGGTCTTCGCGCTGAAGGTCCTACGGAAAGTCGAAGGTAGTATCTATCTATAAAAATGGGGCCGGTTCCATTTACTGACAATGTCTAGTCATCAAACTTAAACAGGTTGATCATGTCAATCATGAGCGTTCGGTTCTTGCAGATGTTGCTGGCCATCCTTTCATTACTACATTAATTACTTCTTTTGCTGATCACGACTCATTGTATATGCTAGTAAGTTCATCAGATCCTCCCAAATCCTTCTATCTCCATTTTCCATTACCAATCAGACCCCAGGGGCTTTGTCTTAAGTATTGAACTAACTTTTGTTTCTACTAAGCTCGACTACTGCCCTGGAGGTGAAGTATTTTCTTATTTACGAAAAGCCAAACGATTCGACGAGAACACAGCACGATTTTATGCCGCCGAGATAGTTTTGATCCTTGAATTTTTACATGAGCGGGAGGGGGTTGCATATAGAGATATGAAACCAGAGAACCTGTTATTGGATGCTGAGGGACATATAAAGCTGGTTGATTTTGGATTTGCAAAACGTTTGGGAAACAGTAAGCTGCCTCACTTCGAGGACTGTGTCGGCCGTTTATTAACAATAGTGAAGGGGAAACATATACCTTGTGTGGTACACCAGAGTATCTTGCGCCAGAGGTTATTCAATCGAAAGGCCATACAACAGCTGTTGACTGGTGGGCTTTGGGTATATTGATTTACGAATTCTTGACGGGATATCCACCGTTTTGGCACTCGAACCCAATAGAGATTTACAAGCAGTACGTATCTCACTATCTTTTCCCTACTGTCTCGCATCAATTTACACATCATCTAACACAAGATTCGGCTAGAATTGTTACCAAGCCAGTCTCTTTCCCTGCTGAACCTGCTATTTCATCTGCCGCGAAAGACATCATTCGCCAATTTTGCACGGTCGATCGATCACATCGTCTCGGAAATATATCTGGTGGCGCAGCACGAGTTAAAGATCATCCATTTTTTCAGGGAGTGATCTGGGAAGATGTATATTACAGGAAATATCGTGGTCCGATTATACCCCCTTTGAGATATCCAGGCGATGCTCAAAATTTTGATTTATATCCCGATGAAAAAGAAGGAAGAGAACCATACACAGAGGAGCTCGCGGCAAAATGGGACGATTGTTTCAAGGAATTTTAGATTATTGCCCAAATGTGGGTTCATACATGAAGGGCAAGGTATTACTCGGCGAATGTTGGGGCGAGGATGGGATTGGTGTATGGCTGTATCAATGGATTGGTTTGCGGTCTTAGATACTGCAAATGGCGTTCTTGGGTGCGATACAGGGTCGGTTAAAGAGAGGTCGGTTACAGAGAATCAGGGGGCATATCAGACATCGCTTGTACACTTTCTTGTGGGGATGGAATTAAATCCTGGTATATATGGACGAGTTTTTTTCAAGCTTGAACTTTTAGGGCTAATCAAGCTCAGAGAGGCTTAAAGACTTTATCAATCAGATCTTTGATATTCCCATATGAAATGTGGAATTTTCGTTTTCGAAGTGGTGTTAATTTTACTCTGTGCAAATCCGCTAGTGAATACTCTTTTCGCATCTAGATCCGATCTCTAAGCGATGTGCCGCTGCTCCATACCAAGACTCCCGCCTCAACTTGCTTGTGGAAATCATGGTGAATGAATAGCACACGGACACTCGGAAAATAGATAGGATACAACTAACTGTTGGTGCGGAGTACGTGGAACCTCAATCTCAAATTCTCAATCATGTATATATAGGACATAGGTACGTACATAGGTACGTAGTATATAATAGCAACTCTGGATATATATAATTTCCACTCGATGCATTCACGGAATCCGCTCTGCATTTTGTAGACTTCCATTTTCTCATCTCAATCTCATCTCAATCTCAATCCCAAGAACAAGAACCAGCAATCCAGTCCGGAAATAAATATTATCTATACCTACACAATAATGGAGTTCCTCTCCCTCTCTTCCTCGCTCTTTATTGTGTGCCTCACTTGCGCGCTATCTTCTCAGCTGTTATCGTATCTGCGCTTGTGGTGGTATAATTCCCATGCGGATGTTCCGCTCGTAGGAAATTCGTGGTGGGATATTTTGACGTGGAGGGGTTTATCCGGGAAGGAACTTTTGGTTGATGCTTATCGGAAGGTGAGTGGGATATTCTTATTTCTTTTTCTTATTATTATTTTTTCCATCTCCCTAGTTTTTTGGAGGGTGTTTTGATGATGAGTAAAGATGACTGTTAAAAAAAGTGTTTCTGGAGTAATTTCATGGAAAGGGAATATATTCCGTATGGAAAATACTAGGTATATTATATTGTGAAATAAGTGGCTAATTTGAAATGGATAAATAAATAGTACTCGAAAAATGGAAAGGCTTTTCGAATGAATGGGTCTTTAGGTCCTCAGTGGGCGTTGCCTACTTCTGTTTTTGCGCAGGCGGGGAAGATGGGGACCGCGGATTTGGATCCTTATGAGGCGAATGAAGATGTATGTTTTGTTTTCTCCTTTTTTGTGGTTTATTTTATATCCTCATGTTGTTGATATGATGTGAGGATTGATGATTTCATCATGATGCAATTGGATGATTTGATTCGACCCGATCTATGGACTGCAGGAAGAAGTCCACAGACAGATTGTAAGAATAATAAATTAATATACATATAACAAAAAATAGTTCCTTCTAATCCGACCCTTCCTCTCAACCGAAAGCGAAGACCTAATCCCCTTCATCACCAAATTAACCCGCTGCATCCCCGAAATCATCCCGCTCCTCCTCTCCGAAACCACAACTGCTTTTCGGCAAAACTTCGCTCCGGGACATCATTCTACGGAAAAGGATCACGAGGGTTGGACTCATACTTGTTTGTATGCTCATGTTAATGTTTCGCTTGCGCGTATCGTGAGTCGGTTTTTGTGTGGAGAGAAATATTCGGCTGATGAGGCGTGGGTGGATAATGTGGCGACGTTTGCGAGGGGGATTTTTTTTTCCGGCATGTTGCTTAGGAGGTTGCCGAGGTGGTGTCATCAGTTTGTGGCGCCGTGGATGGGGACTTCGAGACAGGTTGCTGTGATTGAGAGGGGGGTGACGGGGGATGTACTGGCCTTGGTTAGGGGGGATGTTAAGGGTGAGAGTTATGAGACTGGGGTTTTACTGCCTATGTTGGTGGAGGATGTGAGGGGGAAGAAAAAATTCGTGGGGAAGGCAGATGGGGAGTTGGTGTGGGGTGTTCATAATAGGATTTGTAGGTTTTTTTTTGCGACGGTTGATACAACGACGCTTACGTTTACGCATGTGCTTTATGATGTTATTGGACATCGTAAGAAGTTGTATGTGGAACCTATGAGGAAGGAAATTAGAGATGTATGGAAGAAATTTGGAGGGGTGTGGAATAGAGAGAGTCTGGGGGAATTGAAGAGTTTGGATGCATTTATGAGGGAAAGTCAGAGATTACATCCGTTGGGTTATACATTGGGAAGTAGAAAGGTAGCGAGGAGAGAGGGATTGGATTTTGTTAGTAAAAGCGAGGATGGGGAAAAAATCATTCATATTCCTTTTGGGGAGAGGATCGAGGGTTTAGCTTGGGCTATTCATCAGGATGATGTTCATTATGATGATCCGGAGGTGTTTAATGGCTTTAGGACTAGGGATGAGAGTATTGCGTGCTCGAATCCTAGCGAGACTTTTATGAGTTTTGGATATGGTATGTTTGGCTATTTCTTCTTGTCTTTTTTTCTTCCCGACTTCAAATTTACATGCCATGGGCAAGGAAATGGGTCAATTGTCTGTGCATTCGAGGAACAGAAATAATTACTAACGAGGTGTCAGGTCGTCACGCATGTCCAGGTCGATATGTAGCTCTCACGATGGAAAAAATCATGTTGATTGAATTTCTCATGAACTATGACTGGAAAGAGATAGATAGGTTGAAGGATTGGTCGTTTGGATGGAATAATATCCCGGATATGGCTAGTAAAGTTCATATTAGAAGGTTGAGCGAAGAAGAGGTGAAGAAGTTGTGGGAATAGGTTTTAGATTTAGACTTGGTGCGGATGGTGCATGGTGGTGGTTGTTTTTGTATTGTGGTGTCTGTTCAATTTAGGGGGGTTATATAAGATGGATCGGCTCCAACTTATCTTGTTCTGCTTTATGCTTTTTACTTTTTACCTTTGCTTCTTAAAATACACATTTATGAATCAGGTGATCATTAGCCCATTCTTGTCATATAGCAAAACTCGATACTCAATGCACATACAAGTGAGTATACTATTCCTACCATAGCCACCAACCACTTCGCAATCATGAAAGCCAACAAGTCCTCCAACAAGATGATTTCATGACTTACCTCCTGGGATTTCTAATCTAAAAGAACACGCGATTATTCCACCAACACTAATGGTCACTAAGAAATCTTCGTCGAGACAACCTTAAGTCACAGACAGTATTCTAAAACCCTAGTTCTACTAGGTAGATACAAAACTATCAATCAATCCCCCCCCACCAAATTCCCCAATCTAAACACATTATTGAATCTTGTTTTATAAAATCAATAAACATTCCTAATACAATCTCCTGGTTTTTCCACACTTTGGTTACTTTTCAAGTACCTAGCCTTACGTTTGATGGTTGTAGGTTTCAAGTCTAAGATTATATATGTATGTTGCGTGGATGGATATGTAATCTTATGTGTATATGTTTGAAGACTCGGTGATGTTCTCTTATCAAGTAGGTTTTACTGATGTGTAAATCATGGGAATATAAATTTTATTTTACGTTGAGATTACACTTTCGAGGATATGAATTGAATGAATTTTAAGGGAATAGATTCTTATGTGTAAATAAATCTTCAAATTAGCCTCTAAAGCTCATACATCTACTACATCAACCATATCCATTCCATCATCAACCCCGATTTTTTTCCTTTCCCATTCCCTCATCCCCAGCCCATCCTATCCATCAACCTAACCTCCCACCCGAATCAAACCCTCACAATCCCAAAAAACTCCGCCATCTTAAAGGCACCTACATACTGCGGCGCCCATTCCTTCAACGCCGCCAAAATGAGCTGATCCCTCGTCAACCCGTGTTCCTTTTGCAATTTTTTCAATTTCTTCTTGCTATCTTCTGGTAGATATTTTATGAGTTTTTCATAGGCGTCGATTTGTTTCTTGGTGGCTTTTATGTCGGTGGTGGGGACTTCGAAGGTGGTTGAGGAGGAGGAGGAGGAGGGGGTGCGGGGTTTTAGGGGGGAGTGTGTGCGGTGTTGGAGGAGATGTGGTGGGAGGGAGGGCATGGTTAGAGGAGAGGGATGTGGGTTATGGAGATGCTAGCTAGGTGTGTAGAGTTAGGGGTGGTGGTGAATGGGGAGGATTGTGGTTGGTAATTGTGAATGATGATTTGATTTTAGTAGGATTAATGAAAGATGATAACATATGTTAAGAAAAGAGTGAATGGATGTATGAGTACCTAGGTACCTAGATAAATAAAAGTTCAGGAACGCTATTCCGTACAAATTCTTAATTGCGTACTAGAGAGTTTGTCAACCACACTTGGCAGTTGGTTTGTTCATTCCTTTCATACATCTTTACAGCACACCAAGAGATTCATTATAGATATGAAAAGAACAGTGCCACAGCGAAAAGGTTGCTGGACCTCAGAAAAGTCCTATTGCGTTGGTTGTTTGTCCAAGTTGGGAGAACTCAGGCCACAAAGATGGTCAAACTTTTGCGGCGTCTAAAAAATATACTGACCGACCAACTTCAATTCCAATCCCAATTACAATCTCTGGCCGCGTCCATTCTGCTTATTTCATAATGAGCTTGGCAAAAGACTCCGACTGGTTTCTGGTTGTAGTGTGAAGTAATTTCTATAGTACAATTGTGTGGTTAGGACTTGAGATTGTAACATCAGCCGATAACCAACGGAATAGAGGTAGTTGATATAAGAGAATTGCACTGTCCACAACCATTTACTCGAAATTGGATAATAAAAGAAAAGGACATATAGATATCTGCATTAATTCCAAAACGCCAATACATGTCATTTCCAAAATGACAGGGGAATAGTAATGACACAGTAAAAAGTTGCTTGTAACCACGTTTGACAGGATTTAAAACGGAATATATAAAAAAAAGAATGGAAACACTCACTGCAATCATTCCTCCTACAAACTAAACTCCAACCTATTTCCAGCAAAATCCCTCGCGAAGAACCTAATCGGGTATTCCACCCCCTTCGCACCTAGATAAGAACAGTCACGATCAAGCATTCCAAAATCCACTCCACAACATCTCTTTCTCGTCATCGCATGCCAAAAACAATACTTCCCTTTACCAAAAAAATAAAAACGGCAATCAAATACTCACCACTATCAACTTCTCCCGGCTTATCAGCCTCTCTCGGTCTCGCCTCTCCCGCCTCCTCACTCTCAAAAAAAGTCCAAATTTTCTTCTGTAACTCTATCAGAGCCTCTGAACTCGCTACCTTAAAACAAGGATGACGAGAAGATTTTGGTTCTGAGGGGGATCCAGAGTCTGAGATGTGGATTTGCTGTCCTTGGGGTGTTATGTCGAACCTTTTGGGGACGGTTAGTGGGATGTGGGTAGATGTGGATATTGGACAGATAAATAATTGAGGGGAGTATAGAATACTGTAATGGGTAGAAGGAAGAGGAAGAAAAGAGTATTTACCAAGCAAGATGATCCTTCTGTAAGACTGGCACCGGAACCGATGTAAATCCCAACACTTCGTCGTAAAACTTCTTTGCTAGATGGAGAGTGCCAGGTAGCACCGTAAGGTTTACATGAGCGATCCCTGTGATGAGCATCTTGGATATCCGAATTGTAACCTTGAATTCAAAACTTTTAACTCTTGAACTCTTGAATTGTTTTGAAGTAGAACGTAGTTCATAGGTTGTATTTATTTGCTGATTTGATTTGCGATACTAACGGATAAAATAAATCCTAAGGAGAGGTCATGGTGGGGGTGGATCTCGTGAAAAGCGTGGGAAACCAATGAGGGGTCTAGCTAGCTTTTACATCCTCTACTGCGTAAAATACATCTTCATCCCTAGAAATCACGCAATCTAAATGAACACTAATATTTTCCCTGATCACATATACTAATCCTATTTGAACAGTAAATACAACGAGTAGATTAGATGAAGACAGTCAATATTAAGGTTCACGGATTCTCTCATGATCTTCAAAGACGATAACCTTATATGATTAAACCAAACCATTTTGACTTTCGGATTTGTATTCCTTTAGCTAATGTGCCTACTCATATAAATCCAAACTCCAGCTCCTACTCCAACTCCGAACAAAAAAACTAAAAAAAAAAAAAAAACTAAGATCCCATCAATAGCCACAGACCTCGAATATCAACAGAATATTGCTTTTCTTTTTTCCCCAGACCAAAAGCGTATATTCTGCGATTCTTCGAAAATATGCTCATTTATATCGCTCCATGTCTTTAAGCCTCATCAGGATTATCTGAGTTTAGTCTTCTTTCCCGGCGCCGCCTTTCCGCACTTTTTTGATATTGCGTTGATGTGTCATCCCCATCCAAACGTGTCTGTTTGAGACTATTGGCGAGCGAGTTAACCGAACCCTCTTTTACATAACCTCCTCTTACGGAACCATCTCTTATAGAAGGCTCTCTTAAAGACCCTTCTTTTATAGAACCCCCTCTTATAGAAGGCTCTCTTAAGGAATCCCCTCTTGCAGAACCTCCTCTTACGGAACCATCTCTTATAGAAGGCTCTCTTATAGAAGGCTCTCTTAAAGAAGGCTCTCTTAGAGGACCCCCCCTTTCAGACCCCCCTCTTTCAGAACCCCCTCTTTCAGACCCCCCTCTTTCAGAACCCCCTCTTATGGAACCCTCTCTTAAAGAACGCTCTCTGACAGAATGTTCTTTTATAGAAGCCTCTCTTGAAGAATCGTCTCTAAAAGAATGCTCTCTCAAAGAAACCTCTCTTTCAGACCCCACCCCTTTCAGACCCACCCCTTTCAGACCCCCCTCTTATAGAACCCGTCTCTTATAGAAGGCTCTCTTAGAGAACCCCCCCTTTCAGAACCCCCTCTTTGAGAACCTCCTCTTTCAGAAGCCCCCCTTTCGGAACCCCCTCTCAATGAGCTCTCTCTTAAAGTACCTAGCCTGTCAGAAGGCGCAATACTACGTGTATCGTTGGAAGGTTTTCTCCGAGGATCCTCAGACTCCGAATCATAATTAGACCTGCTTCCTTTATCACGCTGCGAGCGACCAGATTCTCTGGTCCTCGACCGCTCACGATATGGCGCCTTGCTTTTTTCTCGATCCTCTGTGTCACTATCTTGAGGGGGATAATTTCTATCTTTCTGATCCCTACTGCGAAGGGAATCTTCCTTATATCGATGATCCCTATCACTAGAACGACGTGATTTTCCACGATCTTTATCTTCACGATCTCTCTCTCGATGACCATCCCCAGATCTGTGAGGTCTCCTATCACCAGAGTTTACGGTGCCGTTGTTGACAATAATAGTTGGTTTCAGAGTAACATTAATAAGAGCCCGTCTCTCTTGCCCTCTCGTTATAGTGACAGTACGTCTTTCATAGGAGCCATGATCATTGCCGGAACGACGCGAGCCTGATTTCTCTGTCTTCCTACTGCTCGAAGGAGTGGATTCTACCATTAGAACCTGCTTACGCTTTCTATCCTTGTTTTCGTATACTTCGAGAGATTCTTCGCTTTCCTCCCCACCTGAAATCACTATAACCGACTTGGTCTTTTTGTAGTCATAACCTTTTAGATCGTCGGGTTTAAGTTCATTCACGAAAATGTAGTCATCGATACGGGATGAGAACGCCGGCATTGCTGTTGGGAAGCCAATTAGGCGGAGTATTGGCAGGAAGGTAGTGGAAAGAAATGATATTCTAAATATACGAGAGCTTATTATGATCGGAATCCGATTGTAGGTTAATTGTGAGTTGAACGTTGCAGTTGTAGGTTGATGATGATTTCTATGATACCAAGAACAGCATACCACCTTAAATAGTCGAAAGTACCAACAAGTTCCCAGCTCCAACGCAGATATTGGACCAGTGCACCAAACAATTGAAAATATTGAGCCGGCCTAGACGCGTCTCTTCCGGATGACTTACAACCGATGAATATTAGAATCCCCCTTCAGAAGGTTTCTTATTGGTGGAAATGCACATAATAAGGTCGCGTTGGCGTAGCTAAATGGTCAAACTGAATTGACGAGCAACATGTTTGAGGCCTCATACCAGTGAAAGACCATTTAATTGAAATACAGGAGAAGGTTACTGGTTGCGGTCGTGAATGACCAGACTAGGGCGGGAAAGGAGTTGTAGAAAACGGAAAAGCAAAAGAGGCATGCAAATACAACTTAAAAGATCATAAAATCAATTACGATTTCTCAAACAGCTCCATCAGACTTCCATTAAAGCATTTTGAAGGCTTGAAGTATCTTGATTTTTTCTTCGAGGCGGCACCTCTCAGCATCCAGGTCGAGCTAGCATTTGAGCATTGTTCATGCTCACCGAATAATTATCCTATGCATCCTCATTCTATCCCCCATACAATTTCTCCCACATACTGAGGAGAGAAAAGAAGTAATGTACCACCCGAACCAAGTAGATGTCTTTCGATGCCTTGGAGTGTAATACTGTGAGTGAATCGAAATCTAGCCAACTCCTAACAGGCCTCAAGACCACCGTGAGTGTTAAAGGCTATTACTATCAATTCCTTCTCGAGGTATGACCGACCATCTTATCAGCAATCAAGCGCTCGAGCTCCTCATTGCATTCTGATACTTTCTGAAGGTCAGCGTGTAACCAATCTGACTTGGAGATCGTCATCGGAACAAACGCTTCGGGAAAGTACCTCATTTACCTGCTAGACTATGCTCTCCGCCCAGTGGTCCGCCTTTTCCAGAGAACTTGGATTAGCAATGGAATTAAATTTCCCTAGGCAGGCCAAAGATTTCACAACGAAGAGCACAGAATTCAGAGGTTATATTAAGATTGTGTGCCCTTTCTCATACCCGGTGATAAACATAGTTAAGTTGCGATGGTCCATCTGGGATGCAATTCAACTTCCAAAAGCATGCAGTCTCAGGGCAGAGCGCACCTTGGTTGGTGGTTTTTAGGCCGCTCTTTGTGGTTCACTAGTACTGTTCTTATCAAGTATCGAAGATACTCTTTCTACTACCCGAAATGCTTCAAGATCTTTGTATCAATCTACCAGGGAAACTACATTATGGGGCCAAAGATCGAATGTCAAACGAAACAAAAGTGAGTAAAAAGTGATAGATATCTATCTCTCTCTATTCTCTACTGCTCATTTGTGGTGCTCTTGTATGTGCATTCTAGGCATTTACAAACATTCATTTACGGAAATTTGAAAATACCACTATGTATTGCATGAAACGAGACGTACAACGAGATGAAGACATCAGAGAAGCAGGAAAACTGACAAAAGAAGAAACAGCTGCAAATCGTGGGGACTTGGTCAACTGCCCAAGACGTTGAATTTGGATACTAGGCAGAATTCAAAGCCGGCCGTTGACGCCCTTCATTGCAACTATGAATGAAACAAGACCCTTTAGATCTCCACTTCAATTCAGAAAGATCCAGTGATGGCGTCGGCCATATCAAGAGGACGTAATCCTGATTATTCCTCACTAAGAATAAACCTGCTCTTCGGTGAAAAAAGATGACCAAAAGGTAACCTTCAATGTTTCTTTTCAATTAGGACCATCAAAACATTCACAAACAAAACTAAATTGAAAATAATGACATAAAAAAACCTAATTACGATTTAGAACAATGCAGTGGTCATCACCTCATCCACATTTGGATGTAAGGTTAGCTAGCCTCAGTGGCCCAAGCTCCAAAATTTATCTACACACATCAGCCCTCTTCAGCCCAACACAAACAATAAGCTTCCTCAGCACTCACCCCATCCAAACCAAACCAACACAACCCTCAATCCATCCATCCATCCAACAACAACCATGGACCCTCAAGACACCCAGGAAACATCCATCAAAAAGCGAGGACCCAAACCTCTCCAATCCTCCAACCGCAAGACCCAATACCTAATCCTCTACAACTTTGTCTCCTCACTCCTCTGGCTTGTCGTCCTAGGCCGAGTGCTCCTCCTAGTACCACTCGTTGGTTTCGGCCGCCTATATCCCGGGGTCGGCCAATTCGTAAAATGGACACAGACAGTTGCACTTCTAGAAGTTGTACATGCAGCGATTGGTTTGTTTTCCTCTCATCTACATTCCATGTGCGGCTGAGAAAATGTTATGCTAATATTGGATATCGATAGGAGTTGTCCGGGCCCCTGTTAGCACAACCAGTATGCAAGTAGCCAGTCGCTTGCTTCTCGTTTGGTTTATTGTGAATCCATTTCCTTGGGTTGCGAAGAGTGCGGGATATTCATCTATGCTTATTGCGTGGAGTGTTACGGAAGTTATTCGCTACTCCTACTTTGTTATTACGCTCAGCGGCTACAAACCAGCTATCGTTACTTGGTTTCGATACAATACCTTTTTCGTTCTATATCCTTTGGGGATTAGCAGCGAGTGTTGGTTGATATATAAATCTATTGAGCCTGCCGTGGATGTGTATGGATCGCTGTATGCTTTAGCTTTGAAGTTGATTCTCCTAATTTATATTCCTGGTATGTTGTGTATAGTGATTGTGTTGGTTAGATGGATGCTAATGAATACGTAGGATCTTATATTTTGTTCACGCACATGATCAAGCAAAGGAGTAAAGTTTTCCGAGCTCAGCGAGAGGCATCGAAAAACGAATAAAGCTTCACATCAGGATAGATCAAAGATCATATAGAGGTTAAGACAGTTCGGATGACAAGCATACATTATCAATCTATAAAATATACATTCACAACATAAAATCAGTCCTGTGCACGAGTTCACATATGTTATGCTGCCGATTCCATGTGAACCGTCAAGTCTCGTTGTCTGCTTTGTATTCGAGGATTGTATCAAGTCTTGGACTTTGCAACCGATATCTTCGTAATATTACTAGTGCAGATGTCAATAGATTTTTCATCGAGTTTGGTAATGGCAAGCGAAGAAACACATGATCTATTCATAAGACTACAAGCTGCAATGTACAGAAACATAGATATCATGCATGCCTTTATTCAACCAATCAAGAGTCAAAAAGAGAAGGTTAAAAAGATGAGAGAATCAAAAGATGTAATGGAAGGAGTCTCGTCTTTTCCCTCATTTCACTGGTTGACGCCTGTCGCCTCTTTGCCATACCCTACCACCTTTCCTACACTTAATAAAAATCCTCTGCAATTCTCTTTGAGGAATAACTTTCAGCCACCGAAAGGAAAATAAAAGTCCTCCACAGCGTGCTCGGAAAATGTATCTAGTTCCTCCAACAAGTCAAGAAATTGGAAAATAGGCCGAAGGATTATGCACGACTTTGGCTGCAAACCAGCATGTCCAGCACACCTAGGAGATAATAGAAGAGATTGTCGAAACTTGTCAGATGTCATGCATTTGTAAACCTGAGAATCGAGATGAGAATAATTATGGCGTGGGTATTCATATTATTAAAAATTGGATGCGATAGAGTTATAGTCAAGCTTAATGTCGTGAAGACGTTGGAGGGTGTCCTCCATCACGGAAATCACCACCATTGGAGATCGGTTGTGCTTCTGGTTTACGTCCGGCTAACCAAAAGTCAATGGCCGCAACGACATCCTCTCCTCTTTCATCCTCATAGGCATATATAATCTACGATGTGTTAGTATCCACATGAACTCATGCGTAATATCGTGAATGATAAACATTACGTACCTCTCGAGTGCTCGTATGTAGCATGCGAATGTTTTTATGAGGAACAATATGAACAGCGTTAGTCTCAATATTCCTGATTTCAATAAAGTTCGGTTCGAAAGCAAGTATCCAAGGGTACGAAAGGGCAAAGCTCTGTGGTAGCCCTTCCCAATCAATCCTCCAGTCGGGTCTAGCTCGCCAACCATTACGATTGACAAAGAAGGAGAATTCAGAGTAGTTGAGAAGAAATTCTCCGTTCAAGCGTTCTATGTGTATTGGTCGTACGTTCTCCTTTCGCGCAACGAAGTCCAAAGATGTATCCGCTTGATCCAGGAGAGACTGGGTTTCCAGGGTTTCCAAGGATACTACTTCAAATCCACGCGCACAAGCAACACATAGTTTTGATTTTAAGAAATGTATCGACGAAGATTCTGTTGGAATGTAAAATTCTTTGAATGCCTTCAACTCGTCCTGACCGTTGCTAAACATTTTGAATCCCTTTTGCTTCTTTCCCTTAGACATAGCATCATTGGGCTCGAATACTTTGATGGTCGTTGACAAAGCCGATGATTTGACACAGCAGACAAGGTGGCGACCTAGACATATCCCCGTGCGGAAGAAGTTACAATGACTTTGAATCTTCTTGGGCCGTTTCGAAAGCGCAGGTTCGGTCGGATTCAGCGCAGAAAGAGGATAAGACTGCAAAGACTTATTAGATAGAACCAGCAGAAGGTTATATTCCTCGAGAACATCAATTTGCGTCACACTGGTAGCATCCAATACTCGAACTGGTTTTGCGGCAGCATCTTTTGATCTGCGATCAGAAACGAATATGCCCGAGTCTGTGCCGTATATCAGTTTACGGCCACCATCAAATGGTGCCACGCAATTGACCCGGTTCGCCGTCGTGAAGAAGTTACTAGAAATGATAGATTTATTGTAAAAATCGCCTCGCGCTCGTAGTATGGCCTGCTGTTCACCTATATGCTCCATCCATTTGTTCCTCATACCTGCACTGCTGGCATACAGTGTCAGTTCATAGCCACCTCTACCAAGATGTCTGAACGTGATGGGGAATCCATCCTTCTTATTGTTGTTGTCGTTTGTAGGAGTTTTGGTGGGAATCAAACTTGAGGACGGGCGTTTCACCACCCCAAGTTTAGGCATAAACTCCTCCATTTCGCGAATGGTCAATAGTTCCAGAGGAATTGGACGGCGATATACTTTGATTTCCTCCTTCTTTGCCACCGTCTTGATACGAACAAGAAGTACAGCATGATCGAAAAGATAGGCCTGAATATCTGTTGGGTCCGTAGGTGTCTTCTTCAAGGGTCCTTTATGTATAAGCTCTCGGTTCTCGTCGGTAAGCTTAAGGTCTACACGCTCGTTGGGCCTGAAACGGAGCTGTTCGTGCAATCTTTTTAGGTTGAAGCGGTTCTCGGCTTTGCCAGACTCGGCATTGACTCTGGTAAGGAGTTCACGAATCATCTTCATGGCTTTCGGAATGTCTTCCTTGTCCTTATTGCCATCGTCGGTATATTTGAGAACGTTGTCTAGTAAGAGTGGATAACGAGCAAGTCTTGTTGTTGGCTTCGTTAAATAACCATTAAGTTCAAGCTTTCGTGACTCTTTTCGCCGTTCCGTCTCGTCCACAAATTTGGAGAACGAGGGATTCAAGGATCGTTCGTTCTCAAACTCAAACTTACCAGCCAGTTGGTTTGATCCATATATGATGAAAGGCTCAAATTGTGGAACAAACTCGAGGAATATATCACCCACACACTGAACAACAGGATGCTTTCGTTGTCGTTCTGTAAGAGACTCGGCGAATTTAGAACTGACGGCATGAATACTCGGGGGGTCAACGATATTTGAAAATATGGTCCTGACTATCCTCTCCTTTCGAGCCTCTGGAATAGGTGATGGGGATAGCTGGTTAGATGAACGTAGTGGGAGAATCCAGAAATCTCTTAGATATTCAAGATCTTTTACAAAATCCCTCTCAGTATACATAATCTCCGAAATGACCTCTTGGCGTTTCTTCTCTCGTTCCCCGACACTGTCCGCAATTTCCTGGGAGACGGTGTTGATCCAGAGTTTCTGCTCATCTGGTTCGTCGACATCATGCAAACTTGCTTCGGATTTCTCTCGGCGAAGACCTGGTTGTGGCTTCAGGTTCAATCGAGATTGTTGTTCGAGTCGACGAGGGCAAGCTATCGAATAGCACAACTGGTCTCTAGTACACGTTGGTGAATAACATTCAGTAAGTAAGACGAACACGCCATTAACTTCTGGTGCTTCATGAGGTTCGTCCATCATTGTTTCTCGGAACTGGTACATCTCTGTAGCTGAATCACGTAACCGATGATCGTAAGTCACATCATGAAAAAATTTCTGGGCGTCAAGAGCTCGTCCAAGCAACAAGGCAAGATTCCGATCGGTAGTCTTGATGATGTATGAAATAACGTCCACCGCCTCCGCTCCGCTGAACGCATTCTTGTATGTAAGATCGTTCTTCGTTCTATCGCCAATATTGATCTTTTCTCGGAAGCAGTCGCCGACGCGCGACAACAGAGCAGGGTATACAAGGGGAGCTTTGTGTCGGGATGATCCTCCGGCTGTGCTGCTAATTGATTTTGCCGAAGGACGATGAGTTAGGACATCTGACTGCTCTGGCGGGACAATGGTTGAAGCCATGGACATCGAACGGCCCATATCTGGCGCAACAGTCGAAGCCATGCTAGCAGTCCTTGTTGCAGTAGCAGGAACAGGAGGCGGGATGGAGAATGCTGGTAACTCCTGCGGCCCGTTCCCCGAGGTCCGTCGACTTGGAATGACTCGTCCACTCATGGTTTGATGCTGGTCACGATCTTGCGGATAGGTAGTCAGTGACATTGTGCGCTCATCAGGTCTTTCGGGGATGTTGCGTCCGAGCGCAGTTGTTTTTGCTGGTTGCTGTTGGTATTGAGCCTGCCGAAAAGCGTTTGCAGGAGCTTGATTAAAGTTGTTAGGCGGCTGGTACATGTTTGGCCTAGGTATACTCGCCATGGACTGAGAGCGATAAGGGTCGGAGGCCAGTGCTGGAGGGTTGCCGGGATAGAACCGTTGTTGCGGGGGTCTAGGAGGAAATGGTTGTTGAGGAGATATGCGCTGAGGAGTAGGGTATGGTCTTCGATCGCTACGAACCTGCTGTGGTAATGAATGAGGCTGTGGTTGAGAAGGTACTTGTCCAGGGGGCGGCTGTCGTGGACCTTGATAATAGCCATTGGCCATTCCACCTCCGTTTGGCATATTGTTCCCCTGTGGAGGCCGGTATCCGCCCTGGCCTTGGGGCTGTCTAGGAGGCATACCATTTTGCATTCCTGGCGTCTGCGAAGACATCGTTTGTGTGCGACCTTGAGGCACAAATGGAGGAGACACGGATGAAGTCATAGTCTGCGATCGGCCGGGAGGAGGGGCAGCACCAAAGATATTCGAAAAAGCGGTTTCCCGCTGGTAGTTCGAAGCATGCCCGTATTCATTTGGTCGGCCACCATTTCCCCTTCCCTGCTGGTAGTCCGCCATTATTACCTTGCCAAACGGTACTTTTGTTTTGTGAATGCGATGGAACTCTATTCGTTGACTCTTCTGTTGGCCTAGAATGAGGAGCCAAGACTCGAAGCCGAGGGAATTAACCCCGGAGTAGCCTCAAAAACAATGATGTTATGTACCCTATTGTAACTTCCACTAGTACAGAGTATAATATCCCTATGTTCTTTCGATTGTAGTGGTTGTTGAGGTTGACAGATAGGTAAAATGATGATTAACTTTGTTGTTTCGGGGGATGAGTTGGGGTTGTAGTTGATCAGCTCAAGCGAATGAATGATCAACAAGCCTTCAAGAGTCGTCTCGTATTGCGTGTTTAACTTATTGTTTATCTGTCGAAGGAGAACATATTAAATTGTAATAAAATCAAATACAAAAAGCAATGAAGAAATGCTCCAAAGCTGTATGCCTTTTCTCTTTTCTGGATGCCCCTATGCTAGGATTTTACGACCTCCTCTTTAATGGGACGTAGAATACCAAGTACAGGGCGTTGAATTGTGTTGTATTATTTTGGTATATGTGAATTTTTGGCTCACCACTTGTTGACGTTCTCTTTTGCGGTGCGCGCCGGAATATCGAATTGTACCGTATCCTTTAGCGTGTCTTTTCGGGTGCGCCGATAGGAATCCTGTCTCCGCAGTTACAACACTTTGTGAGGAGTTATATATGGACAACCAAGGTGATATTAATAGTCAGAGCTGTCGGGACATCCAAACATTCATTGAATTTGGCATCTGTGAAATTTAGTTTCTAGCAAAGTGTCATACATACTTATATATATATCAATTTGTGAATTGGATGTTTTCAGAATTCGGGGTGTCAGTCAGGTGACTAGACTATTAAGCCGCCCTGCTTCCCTACTGAGAATGGATTTTGTGCATCCGTGCAGAGAAGGCGTCTCTAGCCTTAGCTCCTCCAACCTAGATTGGATTTGATAGCTTTCAATCAACAACACAATAACCTCACAACTTATCAAACAACAACTTTTCATCCAACTCCAGTACGCAAATACAACCACGGAGGGAAATAGCCATGGCGGAATCTGATCTCGCCCCAAAATTCGCCCCCTTCTTTGGAATGGTATGGGACCAAGCTTCGTGGTCTTATTGACGGTGTTATACTAACAGCTTCTGCAGGCTGGCATTGCGTTTGCGATGACTTTCGGATGTATGTCATCATTCTCCAGACCTACAGATGTTATATATCACTAATAGCTTCAAGGTATCGGGGCCGCATATGGTACAGCAAAGTCTGGAATTGGAATTGCAGGTGTTGGTACCTTTAGACCCGACTTGATTATGAAAGTACGTAACCACTTGGGAAGATCTATACAGGTTGCTCCCGCTAATTTGATGTTCTATCTAGTCACTCATTCCTGTCGTTATGTCCGGTATCATTGCCGTCTACTCTCTCGTCATCGCCGTTCTGATAGCAGGAGATATTGGACCTCCTCCTGGCCAAAGTTACAGCTTATTCAAGTGCGCACACCCCATCCGACTATACCTAGGTCAACACTAATATATTTATAGCGGATTCATGCATCTGGCGTGCGGTTTGTCAGTCGGGTTGACGGGCCTGGCCGCTGGATATGCAATTGGGATAGTTGGTGACATGGGCGTTCGATCATACATGCAACAATCACGAATCTTCGTTGGGATGGTCTTGATATTGATTTTCGGCGAAGTTTTGGGACTATACGGGTAGGTGAACTCCAAAAATTAGCATCGAACTGTCTCATTTAAATCGTACTAATTTACTACTGCAGTTTGATTGTCGCTCTTATCCTCAATACCAAGAGCAGAGCTTAAAAGATTCACCCAACGGACATAAATGTTTTTTTCCGGTCATACGACAGCATTATTTGATTAGATATGGTTTGATGGCATTGCTTGGAGTTCAGGTTGTGCATAATTGTAACAGACGTGCTGCAAATGTTTCAAAATCGATCTCTGTACAATTCTTTCGAACAGGTGCAATCATAGTCTTCAACTTTAACACGACGAACTTCCTTTCTGAACATCACTAGTCGAATTCATGCGATTCTTGTGCGAGATACAGACGGAATAATCGCAGCACAGGTCGAAGATTCGGGGCAATTCCTATTCCTATCAAGAACTGTTATATCCATCAACTTTGTCTGGCTGTATTACCATCTTTATCTTCCACTGCTCCATTTATTGTAGCCTCCTTTTCTCTCGGTATGCTCTTTCAATTGTGTGGCGCCCGCTGGCGTGTTCATGTGTCCTCGTGTATTGCCGTTTTCTTTACATGAGACACAGGGAATGTCTTCTTCCGGGACTGGCGACTCTTTATATTTGCGATGCTCAGATACATTTGTCTTATGTGGAATTCGATGGTGCTGTAAACGCATCTCACCTAGCCTTCTCCAATTTCGTTGAATGGCTAACAGCGGCACACGAACAAAGCTCCAGACATTCCACCTTGAAAGGAATTCTTAAAGGTGCAGGGAGACATTATATATTTTCGCCTTCCCTATCCCGTCTCATTGAAGTGTTGGTAGAAGAGATAATATGCATGTCATCATTGACTTTATATACCTACCCCTGGGCGATCCATTCGGGGCATTCTCGTGTAGGTGGCAATATAATTAGAATCCATATTTGTCACTATCCCAAAATCCGAACCGAAACAGTATTTTGATAATAGCTAGAGAAGGCGTCTTGCAAGAATCTAAGTTGAATGGCTCAGTATTATTACCTAGGTACATAGAATAGAAATTTCAATCTTTATTGAATGTTCACCTTGGTTTGAATATTCATCAAGCGGAACGTACGTACAAATCGAGTTCAAAACGTCCAACGTCCAAATGGGTCCACCTGATCACTTCAATGATCAATCAACTGGAATATCCAGGTACGAATGATTTTCAACTAGATTCCATTCCTTTGACCAATCCTTATCTTCGGATCTCCGCACGATCCGTCCACTTATGGGCAGATTGTCAACTTTCAAGTTAGTTACCTTGCGATATTGCACATGAAATCTCTCATTGGATGATACTCACGACATAATAACTTCCTCGCTTCTTGTCCCCTTTGACTTCATCACCGTGATTGGGTATTGTCCTACAACAACAACATCTATCATCTTACTCAAATCGCCCTCATTTTTAATCAGATACCTAGGTACGTACAGAGCGCCGAGCTGAATTCACTGATATGGACGGGCAAAACCTTATCAGGATTTAGCAATGAGAAATAGCCACATAGCCGCCACATCATGGATGGTTCCTCCAAAATTCTGGACCTCCGCTCGGCACACACGAGCCATAAGATAACGGTGGTAAAGCTCATGCAAGTGTTTTTAGACTCTAGATACTCCGAGGTACAAAACTTCGGGTTAACGATGATGAAATTATTCACTTCCTCGGGACCTTCCTATTTCATACAAACTTCTTTCTGCATTGCCTCTCCGCCCGCAGATGGGCCGTTCCGCCGTAGTGTACAATGAACCCGGAACTTATTATTATCACTTGGGTACGGAAGTTTGTTTGTCAAGTATCACGACATGTTGCATGTCTCACCCAGTCAGTTCTTGCACAAGACATACCTTCAACTGCCAGATACTGCTACTCAGTGTTGCTATTCTGTACTCAGCTCCCTATCCAAGATTAGATGGAACTCAAAATTGACAGTACCTTTTTCTTTACGATGTGTTTGGAACCAATTGTTGCGGTGCTGGCCCTGTCGACGTGGTTGTGCTAACCCAATCCCTGCTTCTTTTGCTTGCTAATGTGATCCAGGTTCCACCTTCCTAATTTGGTCTGGACCTTGCATATATGCTACAAGAGCTTAAATTAAAGCTTATTTTCATAACTCTCACAATACGACTGTGGAGCCCAGGTATAAGCCGATGACCTTTCCATGAATTCCGAAGCTCAGTTATTCCATTTATCTACTTTGATAATATAGAAGTTATACTATGAATATTTTTGGGATTTTATTATAGAATTTCTTTAAAAGAATACTCAAGTCAAGTTATGATCTTTCTAAACGAGTATTATAGTTTAAAGATAATATCTTGAATTTTGATAGATTTTCCTCTAAAGAAACTAATTTGTTAAGATTTAACTTGATACTATTCAGTATAGGATTATTCACTATATATAGCAATCTTTTATAACTTTTTATTAGAATTGAAAATATTACAATTTGTTTTGATAGTTGACTTTTGGCGTACCCCGTAAACCGGCTTACGGAGTATGGCTAATTATCAGTGCGGGATTAATGTAGGTCCGTGACTGGTTATGTTTCTCAAATCACCGATGCACAACTCCCGGCACTCGAGATTATTTCTTGCTGTTTCTTGTTTCTTCGTTCTTCACGAAGTAAATTAGTCCGAATTTGTAGCTATTGCCTTGAAGACGCTATACAAGCTTTAGCCGGAGGACAAGATGCAGATCTCTTTACGGCGAGACTCCACCCCTCATTAAATCTCCTTATGTCAAGGGCCGGTCACCTTCCTCCTGTGTTTAGGTTCCTTCAGCACAGGCAAGCTTTGCTTATCAAGAGCAATCCGATGGTCCATCGGAGAGATGTTAGCTTGGTACATCCCGGACATGCCCCACGATTTAACCAGAGCAACATCAACCTGCCATATCTGGAGCCGTTGGATTCACTCTGACCCACCAAGCCCCACGAAATCATCGTTTCTGCACTGTCTTTTTTGTATGTCACAATAATTCACCACATGTTGCGTTAATCTATCCTGGCAGTGATGTGATAGAGAATACGATGGTCTAATCTAAAGGCGCCTCGGTATATCTTGATGTGTATAAGAAGGCAGTGAATCCTCTTGCTTTGAGTTCTTCATCCCCATCTTCATTACCCAAGTCTTCCTCTCTTCCCTCGATTTGCACATCACATCTGAGTACCTGTCAAGATGCTTTCCCAAATCACTGCCTTCCTCGCTCTCGGAGCCATTGCTCACGCAGCACCAGCTCCAGTTCCAGCAACCGCTGCTACCGGTGCTGGCGCCCACAGTGTACCAGCAATCCACAACCCAAACCACGTTCGCAATGGTACCGCTGCTTTGCTCAAGGCATATGCCAAATACCACATCCAGCCCACTCAGCCAATGTCTGATGCGTTCATGTCGGCACTCCGCAAGAGACAAGACTCCTCCGTTACTGCTACTCCAGCAGATGCTGCTGAGTACCTCATCCCAGTTACCGTTGGAGGTCAAACTCTCAACCTTGATTTGGACACTGGTTCAGCAGATTTGTAAGTTTACCATTTTCTACCATATTTTGCGCCTGCATGCTCGTGCTGCCTGAAAGCATATCCATTCTGCCTTAATTCACGCTCATCGAATATCATTCACCTTGTTCACCAAGCTAACTATTTCACTAGATGGGTATTCTCCTCTCTCCTCAGCTCCTCCTCCCGCTCAGGTCACGACATGTAAGTACCATCATGCCTGTAAAAAATGGCAACCATAAGACATGAATTAATGAAGTATTTTAGCTACACCTCCAGCAAGAGCAGCACATACAGATCTCTTTCAGGTTACTCTTGGGACATTTCATATGCCGATGGATCCGGAGCCAGTGGTGTTGTAGGTACCGATACCGTTACTATCGGTAAGACTACTGTCACCGGCCAAGCAGTCGAACTTGCCAACCAAGTTTCTTCTGAATTCGTCAGCGACGCCTCCGATGGACTTGTCGGTATGGCTTTCAGCAGCATCAACACTGGTAAGCATCCTTAAGCTGAAGCATTATTGACCACAAAAAACTGTGTCTAACTTCGCATTCTATTAGTTTACCCAAGATCTCAATCCACCTTCTTTGACAACGCTATCAGCTCGTTGAACTCCCCACTCTTCGCTGCTTACCTCCCAGTCAACGCTGACGGAGCATATGATTTCGGATACACTGACTCCAGCAAATACACCGGAAGTCTCACTTACACCTCAGTCAGCTCCGGAAACGGTTTCTGGGAATTCCCATCTACCTCCTACAAGGTTGGCTCCGCCGTCCACAGCTCAAACGGTTACACCGGTATTGCCGACACCGGAACCACTCTCATCCTCATGAGCGATGCTACCAACAGCGCCTACTATGCTCAAGTCAAGGGTGCTTCCTACTCCAACTCGTACGGAGGATACGTTTTCCCATGTAGCGCCACTCTCCCAACCTTGTCCTTCAAGATCGGCAACACATACGTTACCATCCCATCTGAGCTGTTGAACTACGGAGTTGCAAGCGGAAACACCTGTTACGGTGCTCTCCAAAGTGCTGGTGGCGGTTCCCAAAACATCTACGGTGATGTTTTCTTCAACGCTTACTACGTCGTCTTCGACAAGTCTGGACCTTCTTTGGGTTTCGCTCCAAGCGTTTCCGCATAAAGGGTGATGATGCGATCGTGGGAAATTTGGTAAGAATGACAAAAAGGGATACGGATGACTTGGACGAAAATATTGGGAATGAATGGATCTGATCAACCACACGTTTGAATTTCTGCGAGCGGGAATTCTGCAAGCTATGATATTCAATGACTTATCAAAAATTGAACGCATACAAACACTGCTGCTGTCATCTTATTGAAAATGCTCGAGTGAAACCCTTTTTTGAAACTTAAAAATTAATTCGTGATGATGACATGAGATGAAGTGAAGTGTAGCGAGGTTAGAAGAGGTAATTCTCACCCCTGACACACGCCAAGAGCCAAGCTCGGTATTACATCTAGGGTGCCAATCGACAGCACCAGTAGTATTGGCACCCAATCTTTTGGGCTTCCCGCCAAGGGTTTTTCTTGCAGATCTGAACTGCAGGTACAGAGTCCAGATAGATGGTTATGGGTTATGGGTTATGTGAGAGTGTGTGGGTGGGTGAGTGGGTGTTACTCTTGTAATTGTGGTATAGGTATGTATGTATGTAAGATGATGCGGTTTTTTTTGTTGTTAGATGTTGCGCTTGGTTTTGTTGGAACTTGGTAGAGTAGGGTTGATTTGGTTTGTGTTTGTGTTTGTGTTTGTGTTTGTGCTTGGCTGGGTTGGGTTGGGTGGATTGTTGAGGTGAGATGATGATCATGATCGTATCTAAGAACTGTGTATTGATTTGATGGTATATAAGTAGGTAGGTATGTAGGTAGGTAGAGAGTATGGTTTTAGCCACCATTACCCGCCCACATTAGTACGGAAAGATTAATATTATTAACGCCCTGTGGAATTTCTTTTTAAATAGATACATAGGTACGTACTGTACAAGTGCATCTGCTATTTGTGAGCTTTGTTTGAAGATTTATTTATTTATTTATTCATTTATTTTATTTTTGTCTGCGCTTCCCGCATAATGTTACATGTATTGTTTGTTAAGGATTTAAACTTTATGGCGGAGCTGAGCTGGGTGTATATATCTAGGAGATGGATATATTATCATTTTCTGCTTTCCCTTCGATGTGTCTCTTTGATGTGTGGGATATGTCTTAGCTCCTTGGGTTGTATGTGATCATTTCCTTCTAGTTAGGGAAAGGGTTTTACGCGATGCGACGATGTTTCTTGCTGATTGTCTTTCTCTAGGTTTGGTTTTGGAAGGTTCGTGTGCTTTATATATAACCAAAGTCCTTGAACTCGAAGCTCTGTGTTTATTCAGATTGTAATCTTATGGAAGCAGCAAAGTACATTTGGTTGGCACTCGTGAGCACGAGACTTGTGGTATATAGCTGGTATGCATGGTAAAAATCACTCCATACTTCATACTTGAAGATCCTAGGTTGCCTCGAACTTCAGAGGCTAATTTCACAAAGGAGTGAAACCAAGTTTCAAGTTCAACTGCAGCATACAGGTACATTTGCTGCACCCTCTCCCATGACTAGAGCTGGCAAGATTAAACTGACTGGCAATCACCGCACTGTCTTCCGTTGGCCCAATATCTAACTTTGAAATTTGGTTCGCCAGGCGAAAGTGAATCGTTGACAATAGAAATGATCATACAATAGCAGAAGAACAATACGGCCAATCATGAATCAACAATTTGCCGTACAATAGAAAATTGCAATGACTCAGTAGAAATAACGGATACGGTTGGATAACATAATTATATAGCATAGGACTGAGCATATATATGTATTTGACCTCTTATTTTACTATTCCCTCATCTTGTTCCTCAAGACTTTATCGTACAAACCATAATTGACTGAACGATTATCAACCAACGAAACAATGTCGAAGAATTTCGGAAAGTCCGCCGCGACTGACGCACCTACCTTTACCTTTAACCTCGATCCAAACCCATCCACAAAGAAAAAGGATGGAACGTAAGTTCTTTTGTTGAAAATTCACGTGATGGGTGTAACAACGCTGATTTGGGAATGTACAGACCTTTCAAACCTTGTCCAAGGACCGATTGCGTCGGACTTCGAACAAAGCACAAGCAGCTCGAATGGCAGCTCAAAGAAGCAAACATAACCATTAAGGCAACGGAAGGAGTCGCCAAAGCGAGGCTCGCCCAATCTGAATCCTACGACCAAAGACTTCAAGCCGCGCACATCGAGCTTGCAGCCTCTGAATCAATCGTTGCGAAATTGGAAGCAAGGTATATCGAGGAAAAGAAGAACGAAAATTACGCCGATTCCGAAGCAAAATATATCGAAGAGAAGCAGAAAAACCGCAACTACGAGGATCTTGAAGAGAAATATTTTGCACTGAAGCAAAAAATGGCCCAAACAAGCGCGCAAGACCTAGAGCTCATCCGTGAGCTTCGGAAACAAATTGTGGATTTGCAGCAAGCTAATCAGACCATTGAAGAGTACATCAGGAACGCCGAAGTGCAGATCGCGGAGCGAGAAAAGAAGTGCGATGAACAAGATGAACAAGCCAAAAAGCGGGACGAGGATGTCCGGGAGTTGAGGACGAAAGCTCTCACCTACGCACGTGAAACCAAGAAATTGACCGAGGAAACTAAAAAAGCTCAAGATGAGGCTGCCAAGCTGCAAGTTGAAGTTATTGGTACTCGGGAGGCGATGCAGGAATTACAAAATATTCATGTAGAAGAGAAGACAAAGCTCGAAGAGAAAATCAAAGTTGAAGAAAAGAGACTTGAAGACTTCAGAAGTGATGCTCGAGAGATTCAAAAAGAAAATGCGGTGATACGGGCAACTTTAGAGAAGTCAGAGGTGGAAGCTAAAGAACTTCGCGTCAAGCTCGAAGCAGTGACCGAGGAACTCAAGACAAAGCCATCCACTGGACGAACCGCTGAAGAGCAAGTGGAACTAAAGGGATATATTAATATAATAAATGGACTCATTCAACAGTTGAGATCTCTTGAAGACGCTCAACAGACGCGTTTCAACACCGCGCCGGGGGCCTATTCGGGCAGCACTGCCCCCGGTGGAAAGCCGCCATTGAAAGAAGGGGATTCAGTTAGTATTAGCAGCATTTCTTCTTCCGAAGATGAAGATGAAAGCACTCATGATGAGCAGGAAGATAAATTATCTTTCATCGTACAATCAATTAACAAAATAAAAAGAGTTCGTGATGATTCCGGCTTTGGTCGTAAGACAATCGTCCAAATCAAAGAGGTCTACGTTCCCGGTCCAGAAATCATCGTCGAAGTTCCTGGTCCGCCCGTCGAAGTTCTGATTCCTGTTCCTGGTCCTATTCAGTTTGTCGATCGCGAAGTACCTGTTCCGGGACCTACTGTGTACATCGATGTGCCGGGACCGAATGTCCCTGTCCCAGGACCAGTTCGTTATACTCCATTCCGAGTATTCGCTCACGATCCCATCGTCTGCTGGTTGTTGGTCGAATTCAATTTTCTCGTCCTTTTTTGCCACTGGTTGAAGCATATATTGAGTGTTCTTAGTTATATCCCTGCAACACTCCTTGCTAGACCCCCCTACATTCCATCACCCCCGGAGGATAAATCGTCTTCGGATGAATCTGGAGCTGAAGGAGCTGCGGACGTCGCTAGGGCACCTCGAGCTGCATCATCACTCTTTTCAGTATTGTTCAATCCAAGGCGTGGAAGACTACCAGATACTTGGCATACTTTTAGAGGCTTGGCATTCCACGGGGTGGTTTATGGTATACTTTGGTTACTCTTCACTGCTTTGCATGAACGCAACGTTTGGATTGCAGAAAATGAGTCTTCTCGTAAATGGCTTCAACAACTCGTTGCACAGAGTGGCTCGAATGGTTTCCTTGGTATGAACCAAATCTTACCCCAGACCATCAGTCGTCAATTGGACATATGGAGATTCGATCTTATGGAGTTCCTTGGCATTCCTGTCACATTCCAGTTCCCTGGTTGATATCTACAGGTGCAATATTAAGCTGGTGGTTCAACGCTCGTTTGGGGATGGATCAACGAAATACTCTGTTGTTTCTCCTTAGCTTGTTCATTCATGGTTTTCTTCCGTACTTGGTTCTACTTTGAATATGTTTTCTTTCTGCTTATTTCCTTTGATGCATCTGCTCGGGTTTGTAGAGCAGATTGAGGATTTGCTACATGAGAGGGGATACAGCCTTAGGATAGTACAAAAAGTCGACTGGTTACTAGATTCTTTACAGTCATCATTTCTGCTGATCGGTTTAGCTAGGTATTAGGTGATTTGAAATAGCATTGGTTGTTAAAAGTTGTATCAAATAAGAAATAATATGATTTTAGATGTTATTTGTCCTCTATGAATGTGTGGAATGCTGAAGGCTGCAACTTCGGAATGTCCGGACTTGAGATATACGTTCTATAGATTCCTTGGTGATTACCTACGGAATTTTAACAGCTGCAATCCATAGATTGTCTCTCTACCTACGTAAGTAACATAGCAAAGAACTGCAAAATAATACACTCCAAAGATATTTCATATTAATTCATCCACTAACGATCAAGTCCATGTATCTAGAAAGAAGACACCTTTAGCTCCCGAGGCCCTTGTCTATCTTTACAAATACAGAAAATCTAGAAGTTCGAATTATTTCAAGTAATTTCAAGATCATTTCATAAAAGTTGATGTCCAAAATGATTTCATAACCATATGATCTAGAGCTCTTCCAAACCCCTGTACGGACGAATATCGTACCGATTTGGCCTGATATTTCTCGATGTGAGAAGTTGTGATTGTGTGTGGCTAATCAGGCAAGAATTTCTCGTTATAATACCTATGTAGGTAATATCACCAATTAATGAAGAAATAGAGGTGGTCTAATATTAATCCGATCGGTATTGTGTCTAGGTCCCCTCCATCCGTGCTAATTATAGGCATTCCATATCCCTGTAATTGACAAACTGCCGAGGACATACTCCATGCTTATTAAATACATCCATCTTCGTCGGTCGAGACCTCATATGCTGACATGTACATTGAATAGAGACGCAAGAAAAAAAAATAATGTAGATAATAACAAGGAAACATTTCATTTCTTTTCTGGAGTATATAAAGGTTAGAGTATTCTCGTTACATTCATTCTCTATATCCTCTGCTCATAAGGCTTTTCTTATACTACCTATATTCTCTAACTGCATGTGTGTTTGTTGATTTGGTTTTCGTCTTCTTCACACGCACGTTGAAAACGGTCATCGGATTGTTTAGCTTTGATCACGGAGTGTCCCGCATAAGTAACGTCATAGGGCCTGAACATTCCTAGGTCACTCCACCATACAATCCATACTCGAATATCACCTGCAATTTTATAGAGTTACAATATCAACATCAACTCTTGTACTGTACGATCTATCTTCTAGTATCACAGCATACACAAAACTACATACATCATATACGTTTTCAAAATGTCCGACAAACTTGTTCCTTCAGATCCAGAAAAAGTCATGGTTATTCGTGACGTGACTTCGAATATCACGACACTTTCCGTGCCTTTCTCTCGATTTGGTATGATTAAAATCGGTGGGAGAGCTACTATAGGTATGACTCTCTTCTTTACACACTACCACTCGATACAAATGCTAATCAACCATGCAAACAGTACGACTCACATCCGGCCAACTAGCCGTCTTCTCCCCAGTCGCCCTCACCCCATCCGTATCAACCAAGCTCCAATCCCTCGGAAACCGAGTCGCATACGTCGCGGCACCCGATCTCGAACATCACATCTTCCTCTCCGACTGGCATAGCGCATACCCAAATGCGCATTTCATCGCACCAGAAGGGCTCGCGGAAAAACGAGCCCAACAATCCAAAAGTAATCCCAAAGTCACCAATATCCATTTCCAAACCATTTTTACCCAGAAAAACAAAGCGGAAATCAAGATCTCGGAAGAATTCGACGCCGATTTCGATTATGAATATGTGGATGCGCATCCGAATAAGGAATTGGTATTCTATTACAAACCAGATAGAACATTGATCGAAGCAGATTTAATGTTTAATCTACCAGCTACAGAGCAATATTCTAAGACTGGGGAGAATCCAAATTCAGGATGGGCTACAAAGTTATTTGGGGGGATAATGACTACGAAAGGAGCAGCAACATGGCATAAGAGAATGCAATGGTATGCATTTAGTAAAAATGATAGAACGGGGTTCAATCAAAGTGTGAAGAGGATTAATTCCTGGGGTTTTGAAAATATCGTGCCTTGTCATGGAGACACCATTATGGGAAATGGAAAGGAAATCTTTGAAAAGGTGTTTGCGTGGCATTTGCAAGGAAAGAAGTCTGGCTGAGTGTGATGGATGGGCTGCTGCTGAGTTGGAGTCGGGGAACAAAGGCGTTTTGGGAAATGAGCGAGGTTGAAAGTTATTTTTTTTTTTTTGCGTGTATTGTGAATGTTATAGTTATGTAGGATTGTTTGTATAATACTGGGCGATTATTTTCTTTTTATTGAAAAAGTTTCAATTGTGTTGTTGAATTTTATGATTTTTGTTATTTGCGGATTTTATTCTTATAGCTTGTAGCAACCTGGTTTGTTTCTCTCATTTAGTTCTATCATTACGAGATAAATATTTAATATGTTATTAAAAAAGATAACAATTTCAAATTGATTCTTATGTTCGATATTGTTAAAGTGAATGGTTCCTGTGTAGCACGTGCACAGGGCACTAGTCCTATTAGGACTATGTAGGAGAGCTTCGCACTTCCGTAGAACTTAGATAATGAGTGATTAATATAAAAGGCCAATAAAGCCTCAGTTCTGCACTATCAGCTTCCCACTATTCCCTGTGTGTTACGCCGGGTAACAAGAAGACGCTCACGTGTTACCAATATCATGTGACTGACTCAGTGAGGATCAGCAAGCTCAGTACTGAGCCATACTGATCCTACTGATCAGCTAGAACACGAAGGTCTATATAATCAAGATGGATTTCCTTTGTATAGAGCTTCGTGCTCAAGATCAATCATTTAGTATACTCTACTATTAGTTACGAATTGCATATCATTATTGTCATTACTTTAAGTCCCTGCTTGACGCCTAGTTATAAACCACCTCGAGAGCCTAGAGCACTTCCACGTGATCTAGACGGCCAACCTCGTAACACTGTATAAGGTCATCCCTTTTAACAGATATCAATATTAATACCAATATCAATTAAATATATTTTATTTTTCAAAAATAAAATTATATCTAAAATTTAAATTATTTGTATTTATAAGTTATTTATTGTTTTATATCTATTGAATCTAATCTAATCTGAACTAAACTTAGATAAATAGATAGGTGTTGCGAGTTTTGCCGTCTAGATCACGTGGAAGTGCTCTAGGCTCTCGAGGTGGTTTATAACTAGGCGTTAAGCAGGGACTTAAGTAATGACAATAATGATATGCAATTCGTAACTAATAGTAGAGTATACTAAATGATTGATCTTGAGCACGAAGCTCTACACAAAGGAAACCATCCTGATTATATAGACCTTCGTCCTCCATTGGATCTCTTGGATCCTGAGAGTTTGTGGACCTTCGATTCGTATGGACCTACGATTCGTATCCCTGAATATGCAGGGTCCATCACGTGACTTGGATCAGACTATATGTCTGTGCTTGCTGAAGGTGGGGAGACTCTACGAACCGATTACCATACAATTTTGTATGTGAATCGGTTTGCTTTTCCACGGGGTCTAAGCTCATATGGACAGGTTGACTGTTACTACGTAACAATAGGTCATCTATGTGTTTTCAATACGATCTTATAAAGTACGATATTCTACTCTGCATATAATAGGTAGCCTATACGAAGTATCCAAGTTCAGATTCCGATTCCGATTCAAAAATTCATATATGTGCCTAGATAATATTCATTTATAATATTCCTTCTCCTAATACACCATACTTATCCCCGCGCATCCTCCCTAAATAATTTCATAACGTCGTAAAATAATGTACAAATCGCGCCATGAACGCTCTTTCAGCGCTTTCCAAATCCTATCCCAGACAAATCCCAAATAAATCCAGAGTCATAACTTAATGTGACCAAGTGACCCGCGCTCTCTGTAATCGTACAAATCAAAAAAGGAGAAGAGAAGAAGGATTTCCTACACATTATCGTATCCAATCCAATCCTCGCATTCCTATTCCTACTAACCCCACAATCTCAAGCTCCACCCCTCACACAAAAAACCATATTCCCAACCCTCCATAAATCAACCCCACACCTATAACCCAGCTCTCAGACATCTTACCCATTTCAGATGGCAGACTTCCACTATTCGCATCAATATCGAATGGGCTTCCACCACCAGTAATTCCATCCCCATTATTTGACTCTGCCGCAGTCGTGCTGGTTGATTTTGATTTTGATGTCGTGGTTTTTGTATAGGTAGATAAGGGTGTTTGGGATGTGGTTGTGGTTATGGTTGATGTTGTATTTATATCCGTGGTTGAGGAGGTAGATGTTGATGATTCGGAAGAACTAGGTGATGTTGATTCAGATGAACTGGTAGATAGTGAAGCGGATGATAATGTTTGAGAGGATGAAGATTGGGAAGATGATCCTTGAGATGATGAAGATTGAGAAGATGATTCTTGAGACGATAATGTTTGAGAAGGTGATATTTGAGAAAAACTCGAAGTTTCCGTACTCGTAGACTGCGCCGTGGTAGGAAGCGCAGAGAATGTCGTTGTAAAAGCAGTCAAACTAGAGCTTTGTGCTGAACTCGAACTCGACGTAGTAGACGTTATAACCACCGAATTCGTCGTCGAAGTCATGACACTAGCCGATGTAGTTTCCGCGCTCGTAGTCGAGCTCGTACTTTCGCTCGTAGTCGTGGTTTTCACCAGTGTAGTCGATGATGTAGTAGAAGATTTGAAATTTGGACATAAAGCTGCAATGATTCCACCATTTTTGACGATTCCTAACAATGTATTTGGACTTACATTATCTGCTGAACAAGCACTTTTGACACATGTACCTTTTGCAGTTAAGGCTGACTGACAAGCGAGAGAGCAGCCATTATTGAAGTCTGATAATTTGCAAGTTGGTATTAAAGTAGTATATTCCAGAAAACAACGCAATGAGACTGCAGTAGGTGAGACCAATTGAAAATTTGCAAGTGACAAGGCATTAGTCAGGTGTAGAATGCAAAACAGACAGACAAGAATCATTGAAGCATGCTGTCGCATTTTGGAAGTTTTTGATGGTATCTTTGGAGACCTTCAGGTCTTGCAAAGAAAAAAGTTTCGAATGTATCCCAAAGCTAGATCACCTTGTTGGTGGAGATCTTGGGTGTATGATGTACCCAATAATTGAATTGGGATAATGCGCAGGGAAAAACTCTCCGGACAGTTCGTGGTGATGGAAGTTGAATGGGTTTGCCAGTTTGCTAGGAGTCGAAACTTGTCACGTTTGAGATTCTTCGTTTGCGACTCAACACACCATAATAGCCTTGCTTTCCGACGTGATTTGTCTGATGTAACTCAATTGAGCCTTGAAAATTACTAGTTTGAGAAGATAACGATCTTTTTTCCACGGGAAGTTCGTGCCAGAACAGTTCCCGCCGACTGATGACGCAGTTTTTGAGAGAGCGAAAAAGATATTCCGGTGCTTCAGCGTTTGGTGGATGATGTGTTCATTTGATATGAAGTGGCGACGGAACTGTGCATAATGATTCCTGGTGCATCATGACAGGAACGCAAAAATGGAAGAGAAGAGAGGTGCAGTATGAAAAAAATGCCGCTAAAGTAGAAACAAATAGTGAAAGAAAGATGAGAATCTGTATGAGAAGATCAGAGTATAAGAAGGAGTAAGACAATCAACGAGAATGACAATAACCACGGAGCGAGGTGATCAAACACCCCGGAGAAAGATAAACAGGTAAAGGAGAAGAACCTACATTGAATCGACCTTGGGAGCGTTTGAAAACGTATCTTTCAAGATAGAAATACCGTGGCTTTTCAAGAATTGACCAGTTGAAAGTGGCATTAGGTGAGGCGCCCATTTTCATCCTTCAGGGCATACTTGTCTTCTCATCCAATGGAACGGAGCAACGCGTTTGGAAACAGGTGAGAATGGAATAAACTTTATGTAGTTGTTTGTCTATGAAACCTGTGAATGGTTGCACGGTTTCAGTTTTGGAAGTGTGTAAGATTTTGATGGTTCATGGGTGTGATAATAATAATTCGTCCCGCCGATATAACCTTTTAACGTACTGTATTTCTTGGAGCTGAGGCTAAGTTACTCGTATTCCGAAGATATATTTATGAATGTTCAGGTCAAATAGATAATCGAGATAGAGGAATAATTACATCACTGAGGCCGATATAGTATTATAAAGGAAGTGAAGATATAATAACAAACTATCAACCATAAACCCCATCTCTCGCTTAAGCAATAACCTCTATTTGAATCTATTTCCACACCCCATGATCACCAAATCTCCATCCAATTGCATCCAATTACCTCATTGGTCTAACACACAAACAAAATTCAGCCTTCAGCCCAGCCTCGTCGACGAGGTACCAGAAATTATACACAACAAGACATCAATTCCACAGCTCAAGAACAATTCCAAACCAAATCTCCATCTTCCTTCACAAATCTAATCTTCAGACTATCTTTCCATCCTCTGCGCTCCGATCAATCATCCATCCACTTCATAGTCTCTCGGATAATCTAGCTAGCTCCTTGTGTCTCCTCTACAGGGTGAAAACACACAAGACCAAAACTGACACCCCAAGTTCCAACTGCGAATTTATTCAAACCACTCAGTCACTCAGTCTCTTACAATGTCCGAACCCACCACTCCTGTCCGCGTATCCAAGAGCGCCGCAAACTATACCCCCACAACCCAAGATGCAGATTTACGATCACAAATAAACTCTCTACTATTAAAAGATGGACATGTCGCCAAGTATGTCCCTCCCGCTCCCAAACCCAAAATCCCTCACTAACATCCCCTCCCACTCCACAGAATCCAAGAAACCCTCCTCCATTCCCTCCACTCCTCCCCCACCAACTGGCCCACCCTAATCCAAACTCACGCTCTCTCCCTCCTCCGCTCAGGAAAATACACCACATTCCCCGTTCTGATGGCCAAAGTCCTCGAAGACATACGAGCTGATACACTCGCTCAATCCTCCTCTACCAACGGCGTCAATGGTTCCACATCCACAAGTACCTCTACCTCCGCAGACAAGGAAAAAGATAAGAAAGAAAAAGAAGGCACTGTAAAAGGCCGTGGCGAACGCGGACAAAGTCTTGCGTTGCCGAAAAATGTAGTAGAGGAAGGAGTGAGAATTACGAGGGAGTCACTAGAGGCTGTGTGTGAAGTGGTAGAGTGAACACTAAGCTGTGGTATTATCATTTTTATGGTTTGGGTTCCTAGGAATGAGGGATGGGAAATAATGAATAATGTGGAGATTTCTGGGAATAAGGATCTAGATGAGTACAGAGCATAGAAGCAAGGAAGAAAAGGATAGTGGCAGCAGGCAAACAAGCAAGCAAGCAACCTGCTTTTTTTTTTCTGGAGGGGGGCGGCGTGTCCATCCTCGATATATACGCACGGCAGATATTAATATGGATGGATATGGATATCAACGAACCTATCCCAACACCCGGAACTTCCCCTAGCTACACATCGTTTAGGATGGGTACTACACACTCACAGTGAAAGCAGAGAAAGGGATGTTTTCAACATAAGCGATAATCACACCACATCTGAGGGTATATATACAAGGCGTACAAAATGGCATTTGGAGATTGGGTTTGGGACTTGGGAAATGAAAGAAGTCATTAGGCTGGGATCCTCTACGCGATTTTATCGTACATACATACTTTTCACTTATAACAAATGTTAGATGATTGAAGGGTATCATGTAAAATAAGTCAAAACATCATACATACATACCTAAGAGGCGTTCTGGGATCCGTATCTCTATAGATCTTTTTACAAGTCATTATATCTCAAAAATCCATTTCACCAAGAATACATGCATGATGGAAATTTTATGAAATGTTTTTATAATGCATTCTATGCTGAGGGCACCACCTTGACCATATATCGCTATGAATGAAAAATCTCCATACCTATCGCAACTCTTGGCTTGATACAATGATTTTAGGCGCCATGAATGAAACTTGGCTATGTCGAATGTCATAGAAGCCCATATCAAATTCCACCGGGTCAAAAGCCCTCCCAAACGTTCGTCGGGTTCTCATGTGTATGCTGTAGATGACGTAGAAAAATATTACAAATACAGATCTAGTCGTAAAGGCTATCGTCGTTACCAGCATCACCAAATCCACCAGCACCTCCTCCGTTAGCCTCGGCGGCCTCACCAGCTTCAGGGAACTTGAAGAAAGCCCCAGGTCCAGAGCTCTTCATGCTCTGAGCAAATGCCTCATATCGGCGGATTTCAACATCGGACACTGATCGTCTAGCTTGTGACATAGCCTCCTCGAAATGAGCCTTGGTCAATTTAGGTACTGGGTCCTCAACATCTTCATCCTCCATGTCGACATCCCCACCGGCCGCTTCAAGAGCCTTGCGGCGTTCAATATCCAGAGAAATAGATTCCTTGATAGCGAGCTTCACGGCACGTTGGGTGATGAATCCCAAATCGGCACCAGAGAATCCGTGAGTACGAGACGCAATGTAGCTGAGGTCGACATCATCGGCAACTGGGGTCTTTCTGAGTTGGGCCTTGAGGATACCAGCACGAGAGCTCTCGTTTGGAAGAGGAACGTAGACGAGAGTATCGAGACGACCGGGTCTGCAGAGAGCATTGTCGAGTTGCTCGGGTCTGTTTGTAGCACCAATAACGAAGACGTTCTTCTTTGAAGTCATGCCATCCATTTCTAAGTAGGGTTAGCTTACCAATTCACATAATTTCAAAACCAAATACACTTACCAGTCAAAAGTTGGTTGACAACGCGATCGGAAGCTCCACCAGCATCACCATTAGATCCACCACGGGACTTGGCAATAGAATCCAATTCATCGAGGAAAACAACACAAGGTGCAGCGGCACGAGCTTTGTCGAAAATATCTCTGATATTGCTCTCAGATTCACCAAACCACATACTCAACAACTCTGGACCCTTGACGGAAATGAAGTTGGCGGAACATTCATTGGCAACGGCCTTGGCAAGCAAGGTCTTACCAGTACCAGGAGGACCGTAGAACAAGACACCACGAGATGGAGAAAGACCAAACTTGAGGAATTTCTCGGGGTGATCGACGGGGTACTGCACGCTCTCGATGAGCTCGCGCTTGACTTCTTCCAAACCTCCAATATCGTCCCAGCGAACGTTTGGAACCTCGACAACTGCAACTTCGCGAAGAGCAGATGGGTTGGAAACACCAAGGGCAAAACGGAAGTTCTCCATGGTAACACCGAGGGAGTCGAGAACCTCGGCGTCGATAGTGTCCTCATCAAGATCAATGAGATCCATCTTCTCACGAATTTGTTGCATGGCAGCTTCAGAGCAGAGGGAGGCAACATCAGAACCAACGTAACCGTGAGTCTCGGAAGCAATTTGCTCGAGATCAACATCGTCACCCAACTTCATGTTCTTGGTGTGGATTTGGAGAATTTCGAGACGACCAGTTGGATCAGGGATACCGATATCGACTTCACGATCGAAACGACCGAAACGACGAAGAGCTGGATCAATGGAGTTCGGCCTATTGGTAGCTGCCATAACAACAACATTGGATCTAGCCTTCATACCGTCCATGAGTGTGAGCAATTGTGAAACAACACGACGTTCAACCTCTCCATTGGTCTTGTCACGCTTGGGTGCGATAGAATCGATTTCATCGATAAAAATGATAGCAGGCGAGTTCTTCTCAGCCTCTTCGAAAGCTTTACGCAAATTTGATTCAGACTCACCAGCCATCTTTGACATGATCTCGGGTCCGTTGATCAGGAAAAAGAAAGCTCCAGTCTCGTTTGCCACAGCTCTAGCCATGAGGGTCTTACCAGTACCTGGTGGACCAAACATGAGAACACCACGAGGAGGCTTGATACCGATAGATTTAAATAGTTGAGGATGTCTTAATGGCAACTCGACCATCTCTCGGATTTGTGCCATTTGTTTTCTGCATCCTCCAATATCGTCGTACCCAACCTCATTCAAATTCCCTTCTTCATCCTCACGTTGGATTGGCTCTCCTTCGCAATGGATAACTGTATCTTGAGCAACAATTCCGTACTCCGGTGGGTCAACCTCGACAACCTTAAACTCGACTTGTCTCATACCACCTCGAACTGTGAAGAGATCTCCTTGTCGCACAGGTCGGTAGGCTTCGCGGAAATATGGTGCTAAGAATACATCAAATAGAGAGCCGGTAAGACCTTCGACGGTATCGGCGATAGGAAGGACTGCGATGCGCTTGGCCTATGCACATATTAGCATATTGGAGATGCCTGTGGATCTTTTGTTACTTACATATTTGATATCAGGACATGGGTGAACGGTAACGATGTCACCGTGCTTAACGCGGAGATTATGTCTAACAACACGGTTCATACGTGCGCTTCCATCGTCGAGGTCATCATCAGCAAGGACGATGAGAACAGTATCCTTGCGCTTCTTGCCCTTTACTAAAACAGTATCTCCACGGAACAATTGTAACGTTTCCATGGTATTGTTGGAGAGGGCAATAACGGAGTTATCATCGTTGACAGCATCGGTAACCCTGTTGCCACCGCATATCAGTTTCAAAGCACCGGCCAAGGAAGGTGGGGTGTTTGTTGGATATACTCACATCAACGAGTTTGGCTTCTTCTTCTTTTTTAAAATTGCAGTTGCAACATCATCGTTCTGCATTGAATACTGGTTAGTGTTTGATCTTGCTATTGTCAAAGACTGTGGCGGTTTGTAGATGACTTACGCCCTTATGCTCAGCACCAGATGCATCACTAGATATAATGTTAGAACTGTATCCTCAAGATAGGAAACTGGCAGATGGAGATATTGCTTACTTGAGGTTAACCTTCTTCTTGTGCTCGACGTGGTCGGGTTCAGCAGACATTTTGATAAATATTGACCTGAACAGTCGACAACAGCTCTAAAGGTTTTGATGATTTTATCTTTTGCAATCGCCCAGTATCGACGACTAGTAAAATTAAAAACTTCTTGATCGGAGTAGGAAAGAGGATGGATGGAAGATAGATTGATCCTCAAAAAGGGAGGGTGGATGAATGGATGATTTGGTAAAGAATTTATGGAAAGAAAGATGTTGTGTTGGAGATCAAGAAGATCAAGACAGCTTAAGGGTATCGTAGTTTAAAGGTACTACAGTACTCAGTAGCGTTCCTAGAAATATGACGGAACCACGCTAAGTCAGTCGATAGCCTGATTCTTTCTATTGGTTTCTTCCGCTTAGCACAGTGTTACCCGTACAGTCTAACTTTTGTAAGGCGTTTCTTGTCTGGTAATCTGGTCTGTACGTATGGGGCAAATAGTAAAAATGGGTGAATAATCGATAAAATAGGCAACGAGAAGGCCACGCACAAGGTTGTCTGGGGCGTGAGTGAACAGTGAACGCAATGGACGCAATTGCCTGCTACGGGAGAGCACAGTATGTTCCCAGGTTCAATTAAGCAATTAAGTCATCAGCCTCGCATGGCAAAGAATGTTGTAGAATCCCTGGTATTAACATAATTAATTGATGGAATATATTTTTAGTTATATTCAATTATATAGGCAATGTTTATCTCCTTCATATTTCACTTGACACATTACAATAACATCTATTAACTGTTCATTCCATTCATTCCTCCATTTTTACCTATTTAGTAATCAACATCTCCACGACCCTTAGCTACCTTAGCTACCTCTACAAACAACCAGCTCAGACATAAGGCTAGAAAGCATTTACCGGAACTAAAGACTTACCCCAAATCTAACCTGTCAGGACCCGAGTCATGAAGACATACAGAGTACACCACTAATTACTTTTACCAGCCAATATCAACACATACAACTAGGTAAGTAGGGTTTGGACCTTAAGCTCCAAGCTCCAAGCTCCAAGCTCCAGTCCCAAACTTTTTAACTCCATTACTATCTCACAGCTTCTACTACCTAGCTATACATATTCACACATTCTCTATACAATGAAGAAAAAAAGGGAAAATGAAAGATAAAAAGTTTGCCGATGGTACACCACACCAATTTAAAAACGAAGGCAAACTTTCCTTACTCGGTACCACGTTTCATGACATATATATGGTGGCTCCCACGATTCCCGTGTACCATGAAGGCGAAAAGTCTTCTTCACTGCTCACTATTCTAGAAAGTTCTAGATTATTGATTATGCGTACTGTTTTTGTGTGGATAGAATGGGTGCTATATTTGGAGATGTTGAGTTACCTTTCGAAGTAAATGATATATAATACCTTTTACAATTACCTCAGGACGATGCGGAACAATGGTTTAGTGCCTAGTAGGTATTTGTTCTTTCGGTTTCGCACGCGCGTTTATGGATTGAATTGGGATAGAGGGAAGGCGAATTACAGTCTACCAACGAGGCTACGATGCTAGAAATAGGAAGTGCTCTAATCCTTATTCACAGAAGAGAAGACTAAAGATGTGCATGGTCGGAGAGGAGTATACTATTTTGATAGATACAAGCATCTACGTAAATCCTTAATACACCCATGATATCACACCCCACCTATGCAAAGATTCTCGATAGTAGAAGGAGAGAAAATGATCATTTTCATTCGATTCTCATCATATACTATTGCCCCTCCCTCCAACTCCCTGAATGACTCGCCATGAGCTCGAGCCGGAGATTCTATAAAAAACACCATTGCAAAGTTTAAGAAGAAACCAAACCAGTCTATCCCGAAAACTCGTTATTTGTTACATGCGCTCCCGATTCCCATCTATCCCGACCAACCGCCCATTTTCTTTTTGTCCTTTCCCTCATCATCTATTCTCTAGAAACGTCACGACCGAAAGTCTTGGATTTAAGCCAGTCGAGGACCACCAAAACACGGTTGCGTGCTGGAATTTATGTTAGTAAGAACAAGCAGGAGGTAAGGGGGCTGGAAAACTTACTGCTAAAGCACATGCTCAAGTATGCACTTCTCCAGAACAAGTATGTCAAATTACCACCAGTGGCAAAGTTACCATTCAACCAGCTGACATCTGCAACGGCTCTTTCACTACCAATGTATGCCAAAGAACCTTGATGGGTGTAGTGGAATGGCTTGATGTCCTTGATTCTCCTCAATTGCTTCTCGTGTGCTTCAATCTCTTTGGCAATTTCGGCAGCATTTCCAGGGCCAAGGTTCAGGGAAGAACTTAATTCCTGGATTTCATGTTCGATAGTATCGGTCTTCGCCATTGTGTTAAATAAACGAGCTAAGAAAGCTCCTTCTTGTGATGCTACTTGAGCTGTTGGTGCATATCCGGCGACTGCGCAATCTCCAGTGGCCCATATGTCCTTAGTTCCTTGAACAACGAGATACTCATTTACGGCAAGACCTCTCCTTGAATCTTTTTGAGCAGGAATTTGTGCCATGAGATCCTTGACGACAGGGCGGACAGCGTTTCCGGTGGCCCATACAAGGAGACCGTAAGGCATGACCTCAGTGAACTTCTTTCCATCTGGTCCAGTGGCCTCGGCTTCGACTGTCTTGTCGGTGACCTTCTTGACGGCTGTCTTCGTCTTGATAGTAATCTTCTCCTCTTTGAAGGTTGACTCTGTGTATTCAATCAATTGCTTGGAGAACATAGGAAGAACATTTGGAAGAGCCTCGATGAGAGTAACCTTAAACTTGTCGCTGATTTCTGGAACCCACTTCTTGATATCTTGGTCGAAGAAATCTTGAAGCTCACCAGCAAATTCAACACCAGTAGGTCCACCCCCAACGACAACCATGTGCAACAGACGCTCAACCTCCTCTGGTGATTGGTCCTTGAAAGTAGCAGTCTCTACACAGTCCATGATCTTCTTCCTGATCGCTTGTGCGTCGCCAATCTCCTTCAAGAAGCACGAGTGCTCTCTGACACCGGGAATTCCAAAAGTGGCGTTTTCAGCACCAACACTTACAACCAACATATCATATGAGACTTCGGTAGTATGCGAAGCCCCTTTAACATCAGAATTGTCGTTAATCGAGATGGTTTTTTTCTCGGGGTCGATTTTTGTGGCTTCGGCCTCGTAAAACTTAACAGCAGCCTTTTTGTGTCTGGTTATGCTTCGAATAGGTTCCATGATAGATCTGTGCTCGACGGTACCAGTTGTACATGATGGCAAAAGAGGGGTAAACAGGAAGTAGTTTCGTGGAGAGATAACAATGACATTGTAATTTTCCGTGTCGAGCTTTTTCAAAAGAGATACAGCACCCCATCCAGTACCTAGCCCACTGATGTCAGCTATCCATATGGAAAGTGGAGACACGTATTGTGCGTACCAAGAATGACCAAATTCTTCTTGGTTGGGTCTGGCTGAAATTGCTCCTCTGGATGTCGAAGTTCCCAAACTTCATAACCAAGATAAGCGGCTCCTCCGATCAAAGACAAATATGTAAGACGCCAAGTGTACGTCAAGAATCGAAATCGCTTGGGCTTCTTAACATTGACAGGAGCAACATCTGCGTAGGTCCGTTGAGCAATTCGAGAGATTTTGCTCTTGTCAACGTTGACTCGGGCGTTGGGTCGCGCATGTGAGAAAAGGGCCCGATTCGACGTCGCATATGATCGTTGAGCGACAGTGCGAATACCAACAGCTGAGGTTGGTAGCCTCATCATTCTTGTCGCTAACGCCATACTCCTAAAACTCCTGAAATTGAGGAGGTGAGGGTCTTTAGGAGGGACTCGTGGAGTGATGAAGAAGTGCAATGGGAGGTTAAAAATATAAAATTATCAATCGAGAGGGAATTTTTATTTTGATAAAAGCTAGGATCAGATGCCAAGCTAAAATCTGCAAGGATAAAATTACGCCCCGGGAGACGATAAAAAGATAAGCTCACCAGCTGAATCAGCCTCTTTTCCCTATACACCAATGCAACACAACTCAAGATGGGTAGATATCTAGGTATTATTGACATGCGCATGAACGAGCACCTGTGAAAATTGAACAAATAACCTCGGAAACAATTCAAACAAAGGACAAGACTTTAGAAACTGGAGTCTGAATAAATCACTCATCACTGATCACTCATATACCGGTATCGCAACTTATCAATTTTCCAGCTAATTATTTATTATTTAATTTGTTTGTTGAGCTCTGACCGACTTGGATGTCAGTTCCGGTACTGTCCGTATTTAAAAGAACAGGAAGCCGAAGTCATGGCATTGTAAATTGTCTAGTAAGCTTACCGTACCAACCAAGCTACCCGGTAAATGTTGGAATTGTGCAATCGTGGGTCTACTTATTTTTTTATTAGGAGGTACTTCGGTGACACTGCAATATAATTTTCTTCGCTCCTACTTGAAAATGTCACGTATGTGGAGTCTGCCACCAGAATCAGAGTCTCGGCGCCTTATCTTTTAACATGGTCCATTATACCTAGAGATTGAAGTGGCTCATAGTATCCTTTATGGAGTACATATAACCGCCCAGTACTATCTACAAACTCACACACTCTCTCCGTTCTTCGGAGATCTTGGAAGGTTCACCAGATTTCCGAACGACCGAAAAGTGTCAATAATGATTAGCCAACTACTCCAAATCTTGCGAAATTTCGAGTTGTCCAAGTAACATGGCTTTTAAGGTCCATCTAATGCGTGTGCATGAGGCAAGAACAACAGCGATGACTCTTTACCTTTCAGCAGAGAAGAATGAGCGTCTAGCGTGTGCACCTGCAGTGGCATAGAGACCTACAGTCTCATACATCCTTCTTAGATCCTTTCAACTTTGCTTGTGGCTCTCTGACCATACAGTAGATATTGCAGGTGTCACCTTCATCGTCACAAACCATTTTCTTTTCAAAGTGGAATCCAAAGGATTCGTATATCTTCATGTTGGGAATATCCCGACTAGATTCAAGATAGCATCTTTGTCCTTCTGCATCAGCAACTTTTGTTACTTCCTTGGCTAACGCCTTTCCAATTCCCCTCCCCTGGGCGTCAGGATGAACAACCATTATATTTAGAAAGAAGTACCCTCGAGGATCTGTCCAAATCTCGGATTGAGCTTCTGCTTGCCTATTCTTCCAGATATAATAACGCTGTGGCGCGATTGTGTTAGTATCCCTTCGAGCGTCGTCAAACTTTCATGGCTAGAAATGGTGATGAAGGTATAGTACGTCTCAAAAGATTGAAGAAATTTTCGAAAGCAACAGGGTAGGGCTGACTTAGCCATTGCTTGCATGCCTGGCTTGTTGCTTGTAGGACTCGGCAAAAGACCTTCAACAGTCTCATCTCGAATAGAGTTTCTTCCCAAACACAAACCTAGCAATTAGGTTGAAGTCCATACGACAATTACCCACGAAATTGAAGAAAGATTACGGGCAATGCAGTAAGACAAAGGGCACTCTCATGACTTTGAGGATTCGGCTAGGGAAGGAAGACGAAATGTGTGATATTGACTGAGCTTTCTTACCTTCACATTTAAGCCACCTCGACCGTACCAAATATTCATGCCTACTTGTTGAATCCACATCTTCCAACCATCAAACCATTCTGCCCATGTTTCGGGCGTTCCAGAAGATTTAGGTGGTAACCACATTGCAACGCCTAAAATTCGTTGGCTTTCAGAGTCTTTAGCCACATAGAACAAGCCGTTTCGCATGCCCCATCGACATCGAATACCGAGAGATACCGAGTTTCTCACTAGGTTCAGCTGTCAAAGTCTATGTCAATGATGAACAAACATGATGGTATCAGGTATCACGAAACACGCCTTCGCCATGATTTCAGCGAGTCGAGGTAACTAAGTGCGAAGCGAAACAATTGCTTGCTACAATGCAGTGCTTGAAGAAAAGAACGAACATCAAAGCAAGATTGAACGTGAAGAAATAAGAGTTTAATTACCTTAGATCGATCATTGTAAATCCAAAGGTTGTAGGGGTCTTCTTTGAATGCTTCCTGAATAACGCTCACAGCGCCAGGAATATCGTCTTCAGTAAGCCGAGATATGGTGAAAGCCATTGTAAATAAAACCAAGTGGAGAGTCAAAGTGAGACGTAGACTAGTATTGATGATGTAGAAATGTGAGTTTATTTAGACTTTATCATAGTTTTCACGATTGTTCCCATCCTCAATTTTATGCTCCATGTAGTAGTGTTATCCGAGGAAAAACCTTGATACAAGAATTGGGTGATATCCGTTATCTGCTGCAGCTTTCTTCCCTTAAAACTTAGCGTTCTGGGCCAATTGATTTTAATTTCAAAAGTAGCGACGGAACCGAAAGTGAAAGATATTACTAGGCAAGCCACGATACTTTGAGGTGCGTGGCTATGAAGAATCTTGAAGATGGCATACGTAAGATCTTACAATGAATGCATTGAAGTGTAAATTACTTTATATTGAAGATTTCATGATGTTTCGGATACTTCCCTACACACTTTCTACTTTCACGTACTAGGAAAAGAGGCACTGCTTTATATAATTTGGTGAGGAATTCACCAGTTACTGTGAATTGAGCTTACCGCTTCCCTTTCCTCCCTCTTCCCTTTCACAGCGTTTGATTCATAAATTAGATATTACCATTCTATGGAATCTCAAACTCCTTCGCAGCTTAAAATGGTTGATGTACACGTGATGCGGAGTACTCCGTTTAGCTTGCACTCGGGGAAAAGCCCTTTTAGAGTCTAGTGTCAGTTAGAAACACGGCCGGAAAAGCTTCATGCCGTGTTCATTCAGCCTTGCGGGAGGTTTGGAAGCTCATTCCTTCTTGATCCTCCATCACTCACGAACCTCTTGAAGGTGCAACAACAACATTCATGCCCCAATAATTGTACTTCCGCTCACTTTTTCAATGAGTTGAAACAATCTTTCATAGGTTCTAATTATTATTTTTCACATATACTACCTAGTACATAGGTAAGCTGAGCGGGTCTGTGATGAAACCAGGGGACAGTGCGCGAAACACTCTCTCCGTCCCAGATATCATCAAATTTTTCCAAGCAATGTCTGTCCACCAGTCAGTAGCTCTGACGTGCAGCTGCGAGCTTCTTAGTTGTCTTGCAACCATCTGCCGCATTCTTCGTACTTCTGAACAGGGGCAATGCTCAGCCTAGAGTCTTACGCCAAACGCAGTAATGCTTGAAACGCTGAACCAACCTCGATATAGTCTGGTACAAAGTGAAAGAGCACACTATTGCTAGTGTATGTAATCTTCCGGTCAGGCTTTCCCCCCCCCCCCCCCCCTCGTGTCGCATATACCAATTCTTTGCAGGTTTATGGCGGCTTTGCATGATGTCTCTTTGTACAACCTTCGGTTCGTCCCCAGATCCAAATTCAATGCATAACCATTCCGAGAATAGCAAAGATCGTCCACTCTCTTGACTGTCTGCCAAAACGCACTCTTTTCTCCACTTCATTAGCTAGTTCCGATCTTTCGGAAGGCCCAAGGTTCACGACTTGGCTGCTTCCTGATTGCTTTTCCTTGTCAACCGTTTGTTCTCTTACTTGCGTTCTACACACGACTGGATCGTGACATTCTTTCTTTCATTATTCTTTCCATGAGATCCGGTATCTACATTATCACACTCACTCTTGTATTGCGAACCAAGGAAAACACTCATCAGTTCATGACCATATCCCATTAGCTTCTGTCGGTCGCGATACGGGCAGCGGCGACTTGCTGGAGGAATGAATACGACAATGGCACCAATGAGAGAGCAATCAGAGCAATACATGAACCAATTGGTTCGAAGGAATGTTATGTTGAACGGTCTGATATTGGTGAAAAAGGATGGGAACGACAATGTTAGTGGAGATGGATACGTCAGTGATAATGGGAATAGAGACGGAAGCGCCACAGATAATGGAGGTGGAAGCGACAATGATAATGGGAATAGAGATGGAAACAGCAATGACAATGGGAATAGAGATAGCTCAACAATTCCAATAGTCACAAGAACTGCGTGGACCCAAATAACGGATACTGCTTGGACTACACAAACAGCAACTGCCTGGACCACAGAAACTACGATCACTACTTCGTCAAGTATAATGACTGTCGTTGTTGTCGCCACCCCAAGTTCTACATCGACATCAGAATCTTCTCCATCAACTTCTGTAAGTTGGGACGAAAGCTTTTCATCAGCCGGCTGTACTAACTACATACAGATATCCATCACGTCTGTTGTACCATCAGTTCCAACAGGCTCATCAACGGCATTTAGCATGCCGAGCTCAGGGCAGCCAGGAAGGAAAGGATTATGTACCATTTCCAATGGAGCTCCATGCGATTTTGCTGCGGCTACCACGTCTACTTTTAGTGCCTTTGCGGCCATCAGCGCAAGTGCTGCACCGACTCCTTTTGAAGATGACGCTTCACCACTTCCTTCAGGGATACCATCTCAACCTCAGAGCGGAAGTGACCACGATGATGGTGATTTAGGTCCTCTAGCAGAGAAGCTTTTGATAAGTGCCGGTTCAATAGGTTTGTTGCTTCGAATGGATTGACGTCTAATCGATGCTGATCTTGGTAAATAGGAATATTCGTCATCCTTGGAGCTATTATATATCTCGTCATGAGAATGAAGAAAATAAATCGGCTAGCAAGGGGAGAGATATCAGAAGAAGAAGCTCGTTGGTATGGATGGAGAAGAAACAGAGATGGCTCCGGTCGCCCTCCCAGTTATGTTAGCGGCAAACTTTCTCAAAATGGGTATCCTATTGATGAAAAATACGCTGAAAGGGAAATGGCTGGCTACAGTACTCCCGACAACAAAGTATCTCTCGGACGTCCAGGATCTGCAACTGTAAATTTAAGAGAGTTACGTACAGATCTCCAAAGACAAAACTCAACCAGGAGCAACCAGTCACCGTCGGGCATGTCTCCTAATTCAGCTGCCGGTGCAGGTCAATCATATGGGTTTCCAAGCAATGCAGACTTCTATTATTCTCAAATGGGAACTATTAGATCTCAAAATTCAGGACTATCTTCAAATGCTTATGACCCTTCTCAAAAAGAAGCTAATCATATCAGCTACTTATCCTCAATATCTTCAGGATTTGGCGATTCACTTGTAATGCCTGATGACAGTGCTCCTCCTCAAATTCCAGTCTCCCGATTTTCTTGGACGACCGCATCCCAAGGTGCGCCACAGAATCGAGATACCATATATACAACAACGTCGGAGGAGACAGCTCCACGATTTCGTACTGTCAAGTCATGGGTAGCTCAACAAACGGGACGGATGGAAAGGAAACAAAGTAACATGGAAGTGCCAGCAATGCCAGAAATTCCTATTTCATATACCCACCGGTCACAAGTTCCTGATCCTTTATTCGCTGAGGCACATCGACGGAAAGCGAGTGAGAATCCGGCTTTTAGACATCACCCCGGTGATGAAATTGAATTTGGAAGAGGCTCACGTGTTCCGAGTTCAATTCTGGATAGAAGTGTTGGGTTTTAATTAAACAAGAAACAGAAGAACTCAAACAGAGCGCGTGGCGTACGAAAGATGAAGTTTCACGAATTTTGAATCTTCATTCCATTGTTGTACATATATGTCCACCTACCTATTTGTTCGTTCCAGCCTGGTGCTTGATTCGATGATAATTGCATAGCGTGGAGCGGGGAGCATTTGTTAGTTTTTTTGGGTTTAGTAGTTGATTGATTGGGTGGATGAATGATTTATTGATTTATTGTTTTTTTTTGGTTCCTGGGGAAAGGAGGAGCAGAGATTGACAGGTATAGAATATTTTAATGTCATGACGAGAATAAGGATGGGGATGGAGATGGAGATGGAGTGGGGGGATGATATGTGCTTAGGGTACAAGAAAGGAGGGAAGGGGATTGGTGAATGAACTTACAAAATCAACGAGAAGGCAGATTTGGGCTGGAAATTAAAAGCTCGATGCAACTGTCAGAATATATAAGGCTTTGATGCATTACTTTCAGGTAACAAATACATCAATACATAAATACATGAATGTGTGACCTGCGGTGGCACGGGAGATGGAGTAGCGAGGTGTGATGGGTGTGAATGCACAAGGTGAGTCTTAGATGAAGAGTGGAAAGGGATTAACGAGGTGGTAGCATAGGTAAGGGAATATGAGAAGAAACTTAGAAAAAGTATAGATTGCTGTCTATCTTTTCTGTGTTGTCTGTATTGTCTGTCTGTCTTATTAGCTTTGTACATATATATATAACTCTAGCGATATAGTTTCTGTATTTTTTTTATAGAAAGATTTTAAATCATTCAGTTGGATATTTGTGTACGTGTGTGTGTGTATCTTATGCTATCCTTGACTCTATGGAAGATATATAAGATAATTAGATTATGCTTTTCTTATTATGGTGGTTCGCGGGTTTTCAGATGATGGGATGATGATTGTGAGTGGCTTTTTTTGGGGTGGGGGATGTGCTTGGAATTGGGTGTTTTTGGTTTATAGTGGGGGGTTTAGGGGATGTGATTGTTATATATGATAGATTTAATTATTATAATTAATATAGCCATTTCCAATCTTAAATTTTAGCTTTAGCTTTGATGTTGTAAGATTTATATGGCATTAATTTTCAATTTTCAATTTTTATCTGCATTATATACGGAGGGATGTTTTAGAACTTGTAGGCTCGATACAATACATAGCTCTATCAAGCGCATAGATACCTAGATCTAGAGTACCATAGTAATTGTTAAGTCTTATTGCATTATGTTTTATAATTGTTCTTTAGGAAGTTTTAAAGGTCTGATATATTGATGGATGGAAGTTCGGGGGTTTTCGGAGATTTCGGTGATTTGGGGATGCTCATCAGTGCGGTGGCGTGTAGTGTTTGGGTTTGGTTTTCATTCTGATGATTTTCGGTTTGGCATTTGTTGTTTGAGATTGGGATTGGTGAGGGATATTGGTGAAGTTTATGTTCGTTGGAATTTGGAGATTTATCCGGAATTTATGGTTTGTAGGGTTAGGAACGAGGGCGGGGGATGTGGAGGAGTTGAGTTGAGTTTGATTCTGGGCTCGAGTGGAGGGGGGGTGGAAATTTTGGAGATAGATAAAAATCATTGTTTGGTGAAGTTTGAGAAATTTACTTGGATGGTTGAGAGCGAAGGGGGGTTTTGTCAAATCGATCGGGAGAAATGGAAGAATTATGAGATGGTATCTGGGCTCGCTCAATCCCCGTTGAGAAAGATACACGTGCAGGTTGTGTGGGCTGTTCTTCAAATAGTCATGATTTCTAGATGCTCTTTCATCGTTTCTTCTTGCTCGTTCTTGGGTTTTATCTAAATTGGATTCAGATGTCTCATCCTTTATTCAGTGAACAGTGTTTACTTGACCAATACACTGCACTTCACCAATATATCGCATGGAAGAAACTACCAGATACATGTATCTTATCTAGTCTTGCACGGTCTACTGTTCATACCGTCGCCTCCAACATCACTTTATGTCCAACTCGAGTCAATAAACAGGTATGATCGTTTTCAAAGAAGGCTCGAGGAGTACATGGGATGTACCTTTAGATTTTCACTAGGACTTTTCACCATTGAGACTATGGTAAACAAGAAGTTGGAACAGGAAATATAGACCAACAATGCAAAAAGCCAAAGATTATTCTTAGTTTCTGATTGAGTAAGTTCTCATTTAACTCTACTCTACAATTTTATTGGCAACATCAGGAACGATTTCAAGCTGGCTAAGATAGGAGAGTTCCCAACCTTACACCTTTCAGTCTGGAATGGAGATCAATTCTATTCATCATCATTTCATATACTTTAATCGGCGAGGCCTGATCCTAAATACAATAAAGATAAGTCACTAGATAGTGCTGACACAGCATATGTCTAAAATGTCATTTGGGCAATAGCAGGTGAGAGACCAGCTCGGATTTGCAGTGTGCTTTTGATCTTTGAGAAGCTATTGTAGCAGTCATCCAAGCTCGTCATATTGTATAAACCGCTTTGCTGTGAGCGGACGAGGAAGCATAGTTCACTGTATTGTCAATGGAGATATGTCTCTGTGTGAAAAGAAAAGGGAAGTTGTTAAAACTCAATGCTTACCTCAACTTGATGAATGAAGGAATAGGACTACTAAAGGCTGTGGCAATCGAGGCTCGGCTGAATTATGAACTACATATATACTGAGGATGGAACACATTACTAGAGGGTCCATGAGCAGTGTGGGCAGTTTTTTTTTCTACAGGACTCAGGAACTACTTTTGAGCCCACGGTGTATCCATACATGGGCACAGCTATAATAACATCCTTATTCTCATTTCAACTATTTTCCTTTCATAAGCCTTGAATGACTTTAACGCCATAGGCCAATGGGATTATAGTAGATATATGCTGGCTTGATATGGTAAGTCGGCTAGAGTGGACATCTGGTAGGATAACCTTAAAATTCAAATATATCCTAAATGGATTTGAAATGATGGGACATGTGATATGTGAAAAGAACACGGGGTTTAGTGGCGTATGTTATGATGTTGAACTTTCCATGATGAGCTAAGGGGCTATATATTAGCGAGCACTAGACAATCAAGATATAAATTTCAAAGAATGACAGTTCTCTGAATGAGAAACCAGGATGAGTTGTAAGTTAACAGAGATAATGAAGATAAGCTATCATGATCAAGAAATCAACAGTTCAAGATTTGAAAGAACCAAAAAGCTTATACATCTCAGTGCTCACAATTTGCATAGTTACTCTTTCCCTTCTACTCGCATTCCAATATCGCCCTTACTCTAAAAAATAATAATTAACTCTTCCGCGACGGATAGAAGCTATCTAAACTACGCACACTTGCCCTTTCACACACACATCCACCCTAATAAAAAGATACGAGTATCTTTAACACAAAGAACCAGAGCATTAATTAAAACCTTAATTAAAATCAAATATTAGCCCGTAATTATACTGCGGAGAATATAATCGATCATGGGCACAGGGAGGGGGTTGACATAAAAAATATCGAGGATGTATATGTAATACTTTCCGATCAAATAAACTTAGAATCGAATTTATTTACGAGGGATTATACAATAATTGCCTTATACCCATCAAGCTTTAGATATTGAGGATAGTAAGTTGGAGAGTGATGAGAGTTGGATTTTATCCGTTGCTTGCTTTTAAAGGTAACTTATAATAAGTCGATAGATAACAATTAGAATCTAATTATAATTATAATTAAGAAATATTAAAAAGATGATAGATATCCAACCAGCCACTAGAATTTTCCCACCTAAGAAATATAATCTAGTGATCTACTTTATAATAATAATAATACACTAGCACAATGAATGATATGATACCAGAGATACAGATTTATATTTATATGTACGGCTTACACACTTCAACCAACTAGCTAGCCTTTCATAGCTCTTTATAGAATCGTTCTTAGTTGTGTACAATACTGACACTGATTAATTTCTATCATTAACCGCCTGCCTTCTTTTAATATTAATCTCTAGTTCATTTTAAAGATCTAGGGAATGATGAATCATTTAATCCTGAATTGATAAATTTACTCTTTATTTATATTTACATCGAAGCGCCCTACTCGCCAGCTTTAAAACTTCAAATTCCATTACAGACAGCAAATTGATCAAAAGAATATCGGTAAAACAGGAGTTTTATTCCTAGCCGTCTATTTGAGTAGATTATATCATACTAGACTATAATATACTATACCAGACCTGACCTGACCTGACTAGACCAGACCATTACTCCATCCATAATCATTCAAATCAGTAACACAGCGATAAGATGAAATGAGATGAAATGGAATTTCTCCATCTTCATTTTCATCCTCTTATTCCTTTCTTATTCCCTCCATCTTCATCTTCATCATCATCTATACATAAATATATACACACGCATCAAACAATCAACATCTCCCCCCTCCTCATCAAAAACCCACCCCACCTCACCACCTCACCACCTCACCACCTCTCCCCTATCACCCTAAAAAAACACACTCCTCTTCTTCTGCATTTTCTTACCCCCAAAAAATCCACTCGAACTCGCCGCCCCATTACCAGGCGCTTGCAAATACGGACTTTGCCCTTGCCCCTGACCCTGACCCTGCCTCTGCTGCTGCTGCGACGAAGACGCCCCCCCAAACCAACCACTCGACAAAGAAAAATTTGACGGACCCATACTCAAGGGTCTCGTTCTCGACGGCGACAACGCACTAGAAGACGCAGTAGTAATAGCCGGTCTCAGCGGCACCTGCTGCGGGGCAAACTGAATTCTCCGTATTGAGTTTCCGGGCACGGCAGATCCATTAACAGGAGTAACACCATATTGTTTTCTCAAACGATCTGTTTCTTTAGCGATTTCGGCGTCTCTTCTCCTCTGTTCTTTTTCTTCTTCTTCTAACATTTTCTTGATCCGTTGTTCTTCTATTAATTCAAGATGTTGGCGTTCGCGTTCTTCGGCTTCGACTAGCGCTTTTAAACGCGCGGTTTCGGTGTCGATTTCCCATTGTGTGCGCGGGTTTACTGGTGAGGGGTGGTGAGATGGTCCTGGTGGGAGAGGGTATGAGGTACGGCGAGGTGGGGGATTAGTTATGAGACCTCCGGCCATGATGGGGGAGATAGCCGTTCTACTATTTTCGCGGATGACAGGGCCGCTATTATTGCGTTTTCGGGAGGGGCCTGGATTAGTATTCGGTGAACTTATATTAAACATTTCGCGCGTGGGATTGAAGAATATATCCTTGATAACTGGGGCCGATAATAAAAGTACTACTTCTAAACCCTTGAAATCTTCAACTTCAACTCGATGCATATTGGGTTGATAGATGGTGAGATCTTTCCCCCCTTTAAACATGGCAATTGGTATATCTGGCTCTTTACTTCTTTTACCCTCTGTAGTTTGCCCGACCAGGAAACAAGATAAATCTTTAGAAAACTTCCCATCTCTCTTCCACTTGAACCCAACCTTGGGTGTAAAATCAGACATTGCGGGATCACTCTGACTTCTATCAAGAGCCGAGGCAGAAGGAGCACGAAAACTAATCTGAGGCATCTCAAATTCCCAATACGCCGAACTATTCCACGAACCGGGTATCTGTTTCACCAAGACTTGCTGATCAGGATTGTATAACTGGACCGTGAAACTCTGTGGGACGATTGGTACGGGAGGAGGAGGAATGCCATTTTGAGCACGAATTTCGGCCTGGGAAAGAGTAGGTTGGGTCCATTCGGGTTGGACTAGTACTTCTGCATAGAGGACTTCAGGGTTACAAGAATCGTATAGGGCTACTGCGTAGCAGTTTTTCGAGGCTGGCAGATTGCTATCAGGTCGGCGGAATAAGTATTCGGGTTGGAGGTCGGAGCCATCTTGTCGGAGGAAGATGGGCGTTGAGAGAGGAGTATCGGTTGATGCTTTGAAGAAAAAGGTGGGGAGGTTCTCGTCAAGCATGATGATGTGATGCAGTTACAAGGACTGCTGCAATAAGTGGTTGACTCTTCAAGTTGTTAAAGAAAGTTGATCCAAGGACAAAACAAGCAGATAAATAGATGATTTGTTGGATGTTTTGGATTTTCACTCTGGAACGGACAAAAATGATTATAGCTAGATGTGATGAAACTCGGTAATGGTGCCAGTATGATTCGTGCAAATTAGTTAGTTGTTTGTAGCTACTATACTCGAGTACAATAATAATATATCATCAAAAGATGCGCAAGGTGAAGGATGATCCACCTATTCATCGGGCTATGAGCACGAAGCTTTGAAAGTTCCCGTAGATGAGGCTGAGCCACATGCAATCACCACGCGTAAGCTACCACTGGTATACCCGTCAAGACAAACAATCCCGTGCCCCATAACCTCTAATTGGCTCGATTAGTTTCGGCAATTTTTATCCATCTAACTCCACTTCTCAAGTGCGTACAGTATAGTATCTATTTATAAAATGTAGATCATTCCAAACAAAGCCTTGAATAAACTAACTTGTGAAGCTTATGAATTCCGATCATACCTATGTTTATGTAAGTCTCTACATACCCTTATCCTAATTCGTTATTTTGAAAGTTTCACCCTCCGTCATTTACTCGAATACGTACTACTTTAGATTACGTCCTCATCCAGCTGGGGAAGGGTTTGTGCGGAGTACACTACCTGAGGCCCGCCTAAAACAAGGCTTTCATGATATCTTATACGGGAGCTTTTCTAGAAGGTTATATTATATGCCTCAAAAGTTTGTCTATCATACTAATTGTCTAGATTATCAATCAGTCGAACATCTAACCTACCAGTTCTTATTCACAGTAAGGCCTGTCTAAAGACCCCCATTCTGTTTGATCACGTAAAAAGGTCAACAATTGTAAGTCTTTAATAAATTTTTGATAAATCTCCCATAAACCCTCTTCGTTTGATTTATATGTCTTCCTGTTCCCATTGTTTCCTTTCCACGCAAGCCAACCCAGCCCCTCTCAGCTTTGCCAAAGCTATTTTCCCTTGGATTTACCCCGCCCTATCAGCCACTACAAGCTGCCTATATATCCAAACCAGGAGTTTCATCCAAAAACTCCCTTCCACAGTCAAATGCGACCAAAAACAAATATTCAACCGTTCATCTCATGATACGCCTCATTGATAGATAATATGACCGAAAAAATACCAAAACAGCTGGCTAGCCGATACATAACAAAGTGAATTTACCCTAAATTTGTAATCCAATAAAGTCTCTTTCCAATACACATACTATCACAAGAAATCGTGGTGTCGCCTACTTTCGCTTTGCAGTGTAAACCAATGCAGCAACTCCAAGAAATGACTTCTAATCCGAAAAGCTGACCGAGGTCATATAATGCCACCAGGGGGGTCGTATATAGAGTTGTTTCCACCACGACCACCATTTCTACCGTCTAGACCTGCACTTCCAGGAACGTCTTGTATTCCAGGCTCTGTATTGGGGCTAATCTTCCTCAGCATAAACATAGGCTTTTTGCCTTCCTTGTCTAATTGTTTGAATAGAATCAGAGGCTTCTCTTCCATGCCCAAACATCTTTCCTTGTCCCCATAGACAATGTATAAAGCGTATTGTTCCCACGGCGCATTAATGTTGTATTTTTTCAAAGCAGCAGGCAAGACCTTGTAGCATGGGTCTTCCATACTGACACGGAATGATTTGAATATTTCGACTGAAGCACCACCGCCACCAGAAGGTGGTTCAATAGCAGGTGTTTGGGCTCGCCGTGAAGGTGCTGGTTTGGTACTATCGCGGGAGTATGTAGATGGAGGATACTGGTCGTTATCGTTTTGAGGGAAGGTGCTGCGGCCTGGAGTAGGTTGTTGATCCGATCGGTATGAACGTGAGGCCAAAGTGGATCCACTCAAATGACTGGGAGGAGGGGAAGTTGGCGAAGGTTGACCAGGAGACAGTGATTGCGAGCCGCTGTTCGTAGCGCTGAGGTGCGATGAAGAGAGGACTGCCCGCTCGGCAGCGTTTGCAGGGTCGAGAGCTTGTTCCATCATAGACCTATCATGGTTGGATTGTAAATTGAATGTAGGAGATGCATTTTTTGGCGTTGATTCTAAAAAGAGCTTTTTGGTTGAGAACTTTCGCGAAAGTCCTGATTGGCTTGAAGAAGGCGTTGGTGCAGGAGGTGACAGCGTATTGTTGTTATCGTAAGAATATGAGCTTTGATTGCTGGTTCCAGGAGGGTGGTATGGTAACGGTTGTCCTTCTTTCGCCATCCGAAACACTGGTAAAAGGTCCTCCCGCAATCGAGTATACTCAGCAGTTAGCCTGCGTAATTCCATTTCTGCGATGCTCATTCGTTCATCTCGTAATCTTAATTGCTCGACAAGATATTTGATATCTTTGAGTGTTGCGGTGGCATACTGTGCCTCGGCGTCTGCTGCTACAGAGGAAGTCAGCTAAAGTACTCATTGCCATTCAATCAACCAACTCACACAGTGGCACATAATCATCACTCTCTACAGGCACATCCTGCTTGATCTTGATGTCGTAAACGTTCTTGAGAATTGTAAGTCGATGCCCCACACTCGTTATTCCCATATCTTTTAAATCTTTATGGTGTAATGCTACCAGTACATCTCCAGTGATCCCACCATCTATCTCTCTCAATTAGATAAGAGATCCAAGGTCAATCAATACCGCTTTGAAGCATACCTAAGAATATTTCTTCATACAGCCGCAGTCCCAGACTACGTACGAATTCGGCGCAATCTTCCTCGGTCCAGCACGTTATGATAGCCTCCGGTAAACTCTCCCCGATGCCATGGTTGCCGTATGTAGTCGGGGTATGCTCATTGGAGGAAAGACCGTCGGAATCCTCTGAATCGTTGGCGGGGACTGGGGAACTGTTATGCACACTTCTCTCGTACTCGTCATCCGCATCAGATTCTGGGTAGGCTGTGCCGGACTCGAATGCCATAATTATATCTCAAAGGCAAGAAGGCGAAGGCGCGCAAAACAGACCAAAAGGCTTTGTCGCAGCGATTGAAACCAAGTTCCTGAACAAGAATCATACAGTAGATGCAGACGTTTCGCTTAACCTTCTGTGAGAGAGTGGTCCAAGCTCTGCGCTTAAATTTATGGAGCTGGATGGTGGTGGGTTAAACTGTGTCTGTACGTTTTCTCTGTACTTTTTTAATGGCTGGTGTGGTGGGTTGGTCGCAGAGTGAGCACAGAGTGAGCACAGAGGAGGTAGATGAGAGGTCGTTCAAAGTGAAGCGGGCAAGTTACCCCGTTTCCAAGTGGAGGAAATGATAAACAGATGTATGCCAAACGCCGGATAGTATGGTCCTATGAAGGTGAAATTGTATCAGGATGAGAGTAGATGATTATTAACGGTATTTAGGAGGTCGCTAGTACTGTCACCAAATAAGTACCTAGCAGTAACTCAAACGATTTCAGTATCACACATCCCAAGCAAGAATTCGAAGATTGACAACATTTAGCTAAATGTTTAGAATACCAGGTCAGTAAATTGGATTGTGAAGTTAGTTGTACAGGACAATAAATATCACAAGCTCCAAGTTTGACATGTACTATGTTATGTATATATGGGTAATACATACTCCATACCCAGTTAGCTAGTGTAAATCTTACTTCGAATATTCAAATATTCCCCTCTCACAACCACCCAAGCCACAAAATAAAGAATGCAACATCCAATGAAGTCACATCATTACATTAATATAGGTACCTATCATTCAAGACAAGGATCCAAGAAAAGCCAACGAATGAGCATTTCCCCATGTGGAACCGGGGCGTTAAAACAACAGGAAAAAAGCTCCATAAATACTTACCTTAACAACAAAACGTCAATGACGATCATCTAAAAAATTGGAAATAGTATAGTTCCCGCGTTTGTCGCCGCTGGTTGTTTATTTAACCGCTATAATAATATATATACGTATATACATGTATATAGAATATATATGTAATCACCATTCATATCACCCGTGTGAACCAATGTACAACACAATACTCAATTGAAGCTCAATTCAGTCAGGTCTCACCTACGGAAGCGAAAAGCTCAATGCTACCTAGTATGCGACCTTTCGGATACCCGCGGACAACAGAATCTTTTGATATATAAATCCATCAAGAGCAGTATGAAAAGAAAAAAAAACCAATCGAAAGTAACCAGCCGACGATGCAAGCAAAACTATGTACAAGGCGCCCTTGCCAATGCTGCCGAATGAACAAATCTTTCAAAGATCCAATGTTGTGGTATAAGGTATCCCATCCCCATCCCCATGCCAAACCCTCCTTTTCCCCAGTAGCGCCAGAATTTGTGCCCAAACCACTCCAGCTTCATCATAAATTCATCGATTCATGTAAGATTTACAATTTGTATTTGGTCTTCTATCATGAAGATTGTGTCCTCATTTTGCGGGCTAACCAATCACCTAGCATTCCATCCAAACGCTGTAATATAGTCAGTACAAGAATATTTTTTCCCCATCTCATCAAAACTCACATTGGTTATATCTGCCAGTTTGGCATTTTCTTCCTTGAAAAGGTTGCCCACAATAGGATGATCTGATCCTGCCGGCACGACCCCTGATTTATCGTACACAACCACTAGCAGATCTCTTATGTCGGTATCATCATCGAAGAATGTCCTAAGATGCGAGTCGCTCCAGGTAGGTGTGGATGTTGAAGTTGTAGAGCTTCCCGTCCCCTTCTTAATATCATCAGCATCAATAAGCTCAGGTGAAGGTGATGACATTGGTGATGGTGGTTCTTCTTGACTAGACGTATCAACCATGAGTGCTGGCGGTTGGGAAGTTGTCGGCGTGATCGGAGAGACTTGTACTGGCGATTCCAATAATCTCTCGTCCACAGCGTCACCAACTTCATTCGCAGAGGCGGCGATGTAACTGTCAGGAAAGCTACCTGGAATAGGTCGTTCAGCCTGTTCACCTGAGGAACGAATAGATTCTTCAACATCAGATTCTTCCGAAGATGAATCAAAATCATCCAACTCGACTCGAGCCTTTGCTTTTTTGGTTTTGACAGGCTTTGGCTCTGAATTGGTAGAAATTGCGGAATGTAAAATTTTAGATATCGCTCCAGGTGACCTGGGACTCGAAGTCGTGGGTGAGCTGGGAGATTCCTGTTGGCTTGGAGTGACAGAGTGCGGCTCGGGCTGTACTAGACGTAGTGAAGGCCCTGGGGCCGAATCAGCTGCGAATGCACGTTCAGAAATTGTCGCAAGCTGTGGTTCCATAGACCTTGGCGCCCTCGTGTTTTGGTTGCGACTGGGCGAGGTTTCTGGTCGCGGTTGTTTTTGTAACTTGCTGGGCTGTTTTTGAGTTTCAGGACTTGATTCCTCGAGAGATGCCAGATCCGAGTCCTTGCTAGGAGAAGGGGATGACCTAGGATTCTCGCTTGATTGTTTGCTTGATGTTATTGAGTCTTCGAGATCATCATCTTGCTGCTTCGACTTCTTGTCCTTTCGCTTGAATAGCCCGCTAAGCATTCCTGGCTTCTTCTCCTTTTCTTTCTTGTCTTTCTTTTCCTTCTTGTCCTTAGTTTTGTCTGAGACAAGATCCTTCTCAAGTCTATCGAGGCTCGGCCTCTGCTTCTGTTTCTCCGAGTCATTAGATGTCCGAGTTGAAGTGCTAGAATCATCACGAAGCAGATTTGGCGTAAGTGTAATTTTTCGAGTTTCTACAGTGTCGTCTTTGAAGAATGAATCCGTGTTGCGTAGAGTACCATTCCTGGATTTGCTACCTTCTAGTTTTCCTTCCGATATCTCGTCGCTATTTCTAGCTCCGTCTAAGCTTGATTTAACGGCAGAATTGTCACGATCTGGACTTTCCGATTTCACTTCGCGTAGCTCAGAACGTGGTTTGAGCGGCTCTATTGCAACGATTTCATCGTCCTCAACGGTCTGCTCTTGTTGTTCACGCTGTTGCTCTTGTTGCCCGTAGAAATCCCCATCACCATCCTCTTCGTCAGTAGAGTAATCGACATCCGAAGCCTCGACGTATGTCGGTGCCGTAAAGGTCACAGTCTTAGCATTCCTTCGTCGAATTGCTTTCTTCAGGGGATTTTTTGACTTCTCTGCTTGGTCTCCCAGCCTGGTCGATGAAAGCTGTGCATATCAGTAAAGTGTCGAAGGCCAAGAAATATCACGTACATCAATATTCCTATGTTTGTTAAGTCTTGCTAGTCTTTCCGTTGGCGTTTCGATATGTTCTGCTGGTAAGTAACCTACCGTTGAAACTAATGTTAGCGGCTAGATGAGATGATTTGCCGTGTGACTTGCCTATACTACTGTCCTTGACTACCCTTACTAGCCACCAATAGCTGTTACTATCGTCCAGTAAAACCATGGTATCTCCCTTGGTGGCATTCGCTTGGCCTTCTACTGTAGCGACGAAGGTATGGAGCGCGTAGACGAATTCGAAATCGATATCTTCTGATTCTTGTAAGCACTCTCCACCCCATCCGGAATCAACAAATCTAGAGTCAGCAGCATATGGAATATCATCATCATCGTCGTCGTCATTATCATGTTGGTCTTCTTCGTCCTCGGAGCTTTCGTATGGTATGGTCATGGTCTCATAGTCGTAAGGATCGAAAAAGGAATTTGGGGCCGTGTCCTGGTCCGAATCATGCATCGCTGCGAGCTGGTCATGAAAATACTCTTCGTTGTAGTCCTGGTCTTGCTCTTCCATAGAAGGTCCATATTTTTCCGGGGTTACTGGTATAGGCGCGTCGGGATCGTAATTGGACGTAGTACTATTCGCTCGGTCGAGATACTCACCTAGATGATGATGATGATATTGAACTTCGTGAGCCACCTGGCTCAGGTCCATTTCTAGCTGGTCGCTCATGGGTTGTAATGGAAAGAAAGTGGGTGGCTCCACGAAAGGGGATGAACTTTCGCCGCACGCTTGTGAAAACGACGAGGAGCTTTCTCGGGAGAGGGAGTCGGACCTAGAAGGCCAATGTTTTGGAAGGAAATACCCACCATCGTCGATGGATGGAGAGCTTGAAATCTTGTCCATCATATCATCATCCATGCTATCATCCCCTTCAGCATCTGCCATGTCCCCGTCTTCGCCCCAAGCACCTCCCGAACCACCATTCTGAGCAATTGCCAAATCGTCTTGCTGATTGTTCCCGTTCAAGGCAGAAGTAACCTCAGCGGCCAAGTCGTCACTCGTAAAATCTTGTATCATTTGCCCTTCGCCATTGGCCCATTCCCTTGACACTCGCGGACTTCGATGCTGTTCATCCGCGACATCTGCGGCGGCTTCTCGCAGTGCTTCGGCCTGATGTGGAGCGGGCGGCCCAGTACCTAAAGGTGTTGCATCCGCCTGCTTCTTGGAATGGTCTTGCGCCGATGGAGCATTTGGGTCCTGGAGGTCAATTGAATCTATAAAATCAGTAACCATTGAAGAGCGGCAGTGAGGTAATCAAAACCAACCAGCGCGAATAATTTCCGGGCGCGTCATGACTCTATCGTATCGTGAGGTCGCAAACCTCGAAAGAATAATAAATCTGGTTCTGGCAGTGGTTTATTTAACTGCCACTTTATGAGATGATTTGTGACAGGCACGAGCACAGATTATGATTAACATCCAAATGAAATACAGCAAGATTGCTCTGCCACATCTAAGCCCTGAAGTGAAAGTCGTGGTGAAAAGGAGTGAATAGGGCAAGGCAAGATAGGTAGGTAGCGACGAATAATTGTTATGAAGTCCAAAAGTATTGAGAGGTCAAGAAGTTTTTGAAGGTTTCCGGGATTAGAGGCAAGACAAATAAATGAAATAATATGAAATGTGAAATGTGAAATGTCAATCAAGCCTTAGCACGGGGCTGATAGGAGGATCGACTTTCAAGCAGCAGGTCATGAATGAAAAGGCTTCCTAATGGGAATCAGGAAAAGGAGTGATTATTGGGAAGAGGTTAAGAAAGTCTACTAGAAGAACAAAATGGTTTGATCAGAAGTAAAATGAAACTATTGTAACAGTAGGGTAATTGCCGTGTGAACGAATAAATACTAGTATATCATGGTAACTCTTGGAGCGACTCTATGAAATTCTTGAAAGAGGTTGAACATTGTCAAAGATGTTTGTTTCATTTGATTAGATTACTCTCAAATCTTTCAAAGTATCTCAGTATGGAGTACAGACCAGACCGCGAGACGTACAACTTTTTATTTTACACAATTATGCAGCAATATTACCGAGCTATGGATGCCAAGACCTTTTCCTCCTGAGAATTGTACCGAAAATAGGTTTCTGTGAATGAGGCATAGGTAGATAGCTAATTGGAGGGCTGGTAGGAGTGAAGGAGTGACGGAGGGACGACTGAGTATGCAGTGAGAGACTTGGGTGATCTCTTTCCTGCCTCAAGATTACTGTCCAGCAGATAGATTAGTTCTCTCTCCATCATCCCTCATCATCCTTCCAATTGATTCGTCCCAACTAACCCCGCGTCTAAAAGATATTGTGTGCATTTTAGCTACATAGGTATTGATGTGCTATCATTGTTTGTGGGTATCATCATTGAGGATGGATGGCATTGATTGATTGATTGATCATTGCAGTAGGTCAGGGCAGCATGGTTGAATCTGCATTTCGTTTCAGAAGAACTTTACCCCCTGGTGCCCCTACCTAATGTACAGCGTAAGTCTTACCTAAATAAACAAGCCCATCTATTGGTTTGCACAAGCAGAATTGCGTTCGAGTAAGTTACGATACCATGAAGTCATCAAAAGGGCTACACTCTACTCCATACATTACTGCGTACATTACATTCATTACGTTATAAAGCATCGGAAGTGCTGCTTAAGAGTTAAAGGGGATTCAGAAGATACCGCAAGGAACAAGAAGGTTTATGTACCTGTGCCAGTGCCCATAATTCATTTCTCCTAGCCTCTCCATCAATTTTACTTAAGCATGTTTCCACACTTACCTCCTTCCGTACAAGTAATCTGGAACATTTTGGAACCCAAAAATTGATCAACCCGTGCAAGATCTTATCTGTGGCTTGACTTCTATTGTGTGTTGATTGCGAAATCGGATAAGAGACGATAAATCAATCATTGTAAAGTAATCTTTCAAGTGTGGCTCGAATAATCAAACTGAACCACGTAGAGATAGATACCTAGTAGATAAGCCTACGATGGGGATGGCTTCCAAAATCGAAGAAAGTCGCCTGTTTGGTTCTCTTTTCCATCTCTCCTTTATTCCTTGTCGACCGGTTGTTGTGAATACATTGTAAATCTTAACTGTGTAGAATTCGAAATGGTTTCTTTAAATTCTGCGATTTCTCTATTATCTTTCTATCCCGCTTATCCGTTCTCGTTGAAGTTTTCCAATCGCCCTCATGTGCTTATTTATTCATTCAGTATTAATTATTATGCTGGTATGGTGGCACTACATTTCTCTCGAAAATCTCTGTACCCCGTACTGTGGAAATGTGCTCTCCTACCATTTTTAGCTATGTACATATACATACATACAACCGGATTTATCCGGTGGAGAGGGCCATGCGGGACAGAGATGTCATTAATTTATGCTTTGCATGCTCGATCAAGTGACCATGTAATATCCTTTCCTGGTTGAATTTCTCGTCTACCATTTGATGGAATCATATACATTGTCAAGAGTCAAGACTCGAGAAGGGGAGAAGAGGCCGTTGTGAGGAAACATGGAAACAAGTTTTTGCCGAGTGCTAGTTGATGGTTAAAGTCTTCATTGGATTGGACCCCATCATAGGTGTCACATTGAAGTTGTAAGATTCCTTTTTGGTAAAGGAAGCTGGGCTCTTACTCTTCTCATCGATCTGACATCTCAAACCATGACTTGATGATCGGCTCCACGGTCCATTCGTTGGCAGTGGAAACACCAACTCTACCTGAACGTGTTGTAGTATTAGTTACCGAGATCCATTTCAACCGATTACCCCCAAATTCCCCAACTTTTTTTTTCGTAGCACCAAACCGTCCCCCCAATAGCTTAACAGCACCAAGCTTTTCCCCAAGGCACTTCCAAGGCATGTAACCGTTACTTGGCGATGAGATGAAGAAAAAGCCACGGTTCTACAGTTCCTCGAACATTTTTTGAGGAGAGATCATCTTAGGATTTTCCGAACTTTAACACATTGGAACTTTAATTAGATTCAAACAATGGTGAAGGGGAAAGAAAAGGTCCTGAGTGAGAGCAGAATGAGAGCAGAATGAGAACAGAATGCGGACATCAATGTGATTCCGACCGTGTTACGAAATTTCTGCTCTTTGATACTTATGGTAACCATATGTGGGATAAATCGAAACGACAGGTGGGAGAATTTCAAGCCATCGCAAAGTTTCTCACCGGCCACGATAGCACAATACGACCTTACTCGAAGTAGATGACCTAGATTGCTTTAGCTTTGGCTTTAGATTTAGATTGACTGGTTAAGTATGGTTTGTCGGCTGTATTCTGGCCCGTCACTCGTGGCGAAGCGTAGTACCGGACATCAAGAGTCAAGAAAAGTAGGTATGTACGAAGTATAGCTAGAGCAGATAATATAAGCTGATGCGAAAGTAGATTGGTCAATTAACACATGCTACATGATAATTGGATAGATACACTTGACGATGACAAGGCCGAGTCCGAGTCCAATGCATTCTCGTGTAGGTAGAAGTCCAAACAGGTTCTACATAATAAACTCACTCATGTTCATTCGATGATTACTACCACAGATTTGGATTTTCGATCGAATTGGAAAATATGTCTAGACATAAGCTATCTAGTATGCAGTATACAGTATATAGTATATACAGAGTATATACAGACTACTCACTGTCCAAATTATTAATATGGAACATTCGAGCGTCGGTGGAAAAAGAGGGGAAGGTGGTGTGGGTGAGAACGGATCAACTGGGTGTAGGGTGTAGCTAGTGATGGGTAGATACAAGGTAGGGTCCAGGTAGGGTCGTTAGTTTATTAATTGAATATTCAGAGTATTCTCAGTATTCTGAAATGAGAATAATAATGAGAGGATTCGAAATCAACAACAAATCCTAGAAAGAAAAAATAGAAAAATGCACGTACAAATAAAGTTAAAATCATTGTCCCATCAGCAACTGCATTGCATTCATTACACTACCTAGTCCTCTGTACACCAAACACAGCATCTCTGTCTCTTTTAATTACCTCTTGCGGACCACAATCCATGCCTAGGTAAGGTCCCTAGCAGTGTCGTATCCATTATATCAATCACTCGGACACCCTGTTACTTGTGACTTGCCACCAGTTTAAGCAACAACCTACCTACCTACCTACCTACCTACCTGTATGAATGAAACTGACCTCGAACACTTCATGAATCCAAACATAAACAACCACATCTTCACCTCAAAATACTTCGATCCTTTTTGACTTTGGTTCCCGTTTTTATTGTATACATTTCTAAGACAAGTTGATGCGTGAGCAAACTCTATTTTATTATCAGTCATCGTGATTTTCATTCGGTCTTTCAATCATCCCATCCCTCCCTTTTCCACATTTTGATTCTCGAATTCAACAAAGCCTGAGCGACTCAAATACTTGGTTGATCTTCATTTCCGTTATTCACAAACACGAACATCGCAGCGCAAATAATATACATACACACACACACACACACACACACACATATATATATATACATAATATATATCATTTATCCCAACGCAATAACAAACTTCATTAGAGAACCGAAATATTCTTATCATGACGACAACTTCATATTAAGTTTATATGAGCAATTAGCGGCCGGGCCGCCCCCAATCAGTTGAAAATGGATCGCAGACAATTAATCAACAACCTGAAGCCTTCGCCAACTCAATCTACAACCGTTACTCGACCCCATTGCACACCTTTCACCCTACCCTCCAATGGCGTTATCAATCTTGGTGGACCCGAATATTTCACCCTCACAACCAATGCTATCTTCACTCCAGAATGTACAGGTACGGCCGATATTGTTATCACCAGTGCGAACAGTCCTGCGTCGTTCATCGATCTGCGTGATCCCTTTTACGCTTCCACGATACCGGAATGTTACGCCCTCGCTGCCACAACTGTAATTGCATACATGCTAGTCATAATGCTTTTGATTACCCCAAGAACATTCCTGGTTCAAGGCGCTGTAGTATTAGGACGACGCGGATTTACGAACGGTCCATCCGGCAGTGACGCAGGCATTGGCATTGGTGGAAGGCCTTGGCTACAGAAGGTTGCAGCCTTGACTGTTGCAGTCTCTCTAACTATCGCGACGGCAGATACGTTTCGTGTCGCCGAAGAACAATACGAGCTCGGGTTTATGAATGCAGGGGCCTTACAAGACGAAGTCGATGGTGGTTTGGAACTCAAGATTATTCGTGTTATATCGGATACCTTTCTGTGGCTCGCGCAAGCCCAGACTCTGATAAGATTATTCCCACGACAGCGAGAGAAAATTATAATCAAATGGACGGGCTTTGCATTAATCACACTAGATGTTTTGTTTAGTCTCCTCAATAACTTCGTCTACAAGGGCAATTCGCGACCCCGCTCTTTTACAGATGCTGTACCCGCCTTAGCTTATCTCTTCCAACTCGCTCTAAGTCTTCTCTACTGCGCTTGGGTCATTTACTATGCTATTTCAAAGAAGCGCTACGCATTTTATCATCCGCAAATGCGGAATATATGTCTTGTGGCATTGTTGTCGCTGGTATCAGTGTTGGTACCCGTGGTTTTCTTCGTCCTTGATATCTCGAAGCCTACACTTGCTGCATGGGGTGATTATGTCCGGTGGGTTGGTGCAGCAGCAGCAAGCGTGGTGGTATGGGAGTGGGTGGAGCGAATTGAAGCACTAGAAAGAGATGAAAAGAAGGATGGAGTGCTCGGAAGGGAAGTCTTTGACGGGGACGAGATGCTAGAGGTCACCCCAACATCGGATTGGGCTAAACATTTCCGCAAAGACGGAGGTGACAAGGGAGGGACTGCTACGGGTTCGACCTGGCCAGCAATGTCTGGGTTGGCTAACCGTTATAGGCCGCGTGCTCCGAACGATCTCGAGGCCGGGCCGGGTTCCGATCAACGTACAGGAAGACATTTATTAACGGCCCGCCCTCCATTATGGCCTACTAGGCCCGAGCCTATTGCGACACCCATCAATAGGGCAGATACTGCCAGCGCTGAGAGCACTGTCTATGCAGTGAGGTATCATCCCATCAGTGATGCGACTCCGCCCATTGTTGGTACTAATACAACTCTCTCGAGAAGTAACAGTGAAGCTATATCAATTAGCAGGTCCATTAGCAATGAAGAAATTGACTTCGATAAGCCAGTCATCATTGACCAGGGGCAGAATGCCCCTAAAGTTGCAGCGGGTGCTCAGAATTGGCATTGGAATGCCCTCAATCCTTTTCGGCATCGAGTTCAAGGGCCTCCAGCAGAAGTTTCGTTGCATACTGCAAAGCCTGCAACAACTTTTAATGGTCATGAACCCTCGAACCGGTGGGACATGCGCGCCCGAATTGAAGGTTTCGCTGCTGCCCAGGCAGAAAGGTTGCGTGAAAAGACACGTCCTACAGTCAATACAGGCCCTCTACCTCTCACTGTAATTCCAGCACCAAGAAGACGTGCTAACGCGTCGGAATCTGAGGAGTCAGATTCAGATTCAATTCAACCAGCACCTGAAAGGCCATCTCAGATAGAGAGTGAAACCACAGGACGTGATCAGCATACCAGAACAAGTGACCCTTACACTCCAGATAGTCTTCAACGACATTCTATCACTCATCGTGGTAGCATATCATTTGCGACGGCGGTGCAACCAGAAACAGACCAGCGATTTGAAGATACAACCACTTCAGGGACTCTTGTAAATAGTCGTCAGACTCCCAATTTTTCGAGTTCGCGAAGCAGCCCTGTCCAAGCTCGAAGTACTGTCACGCCGGCTCTCCCCGCAATCATAGATGGTTTACCAGTAAAAACTATACCGGCACCACCACGACGGCCTAGGGTGGGAGATTCTTGATATAACATCTATGGTACGATTTTGATTTAAGCATGAGCGTGGCGCTGGGACTTGAGCATTTGTGTATTGGTACATAGGGACATCAAAAGGAGTTCCAAAAAATTACGACGGAGTATGGGAAGGAAGGAAAAGGATATGGATATAGATACCACAACGCAATGCACACGAACTACGGGTGCATTGTACATATAGTAGTAATCAAGACATGAGACCACGAATTCTTCTGGACGAAAATTGCGTCAGGCATAGCATAGCATTAGCCAGCTGTATATTCAAATTATACCCCCTTTATTTTACGTTTGCCAAGCATATATCCACAATTGACTTGGTAGTTGAAAACTAAGAGCCAGAAACTACGAACGAGGAGTCGAAAGATTGGAAGCCAAAAACTACGAGTTCAAAAACCACGAGCCGAAAACCGCGATACGACCAATGAGTGATTAATAGATAAGGGATTGAGTAGAGTAAATTCCTCTCATGAAGATATACTACTAGACTACAACAAGTAGTGGTCTTCGATAAACCAAACCTCAGTGGATGAATGGCTCTTTTAGGATCAATTCATTCCTCTCCAAGCATATCTTGGATTAAAAGTATCGTTTGCGACTAACCAAGCTACTATTATGGCATTGATGATGTAAATTCTTTAAAGTGCATTGTTCTGTAGTTGAATTACTAGGTACGTATTCTTTGATGAATGATGACAGGGGAATGAATGATGATGTTTGAAGGTAGACGTGGATGGTGGGTATGTATGTCCGAGAATCCCAGATGAATTTTAAGCTCATTGCTGTTACCGACTATTGTTAGTCCGACGTGCCCACGGCTGATAAAAAAGTTGAATGCCCCAAGTAAACGATATATATTTTCTACATTTCCTACATTTCCTTTGCACCATTGTATGCCTCTTAGAATCATTGCACCGCGATCCTTACTTCTATTATAATTGACCACTTTTTAATAATCTCAGGAATTGCGAACCATTAAAGTTTCCCCATCCATTGTTTCACAAGATTGGTTGTTCGTCGCGTCTCCGAATATGGCTATGACCGAATCTTTCCCGCAGCTGGAATCGACAGCAAAGCAGGATAAATTAACGCCTCTCAATGCGCCGTCTCGTATTGACAAACCGAAAATACGACGTCGTTCTAGTGGGTTGGGTGGAGAGATCAGGGCTGGAGACACGGGTGCGCCGGCTTTTGCAACTGTTGATATTAGACCGCCTTCATCTGGAACAATTAAGGTCAGTACTATCCCATCTTTTCTCCGCAGACAATTGCTTGTACTGATGGATTTGATGTCAATTAGGCCCAGGCAGATAGGGATCGAAAGAAACCATTTTCAAAAAGGCGAAAAGCAAAGACACTTTTGCAGCAGTATAAGAGATATGCATTGAAGCACACTTGGGTTACACCTCTAGCAATCATCGCAGTCATCCTCTGCCTTTACGCTGTCAACCCAACCAAATCGAATCCCGTACACTATTTCATTTTCCCTGCTTATGAACTCCCTCCAACGGCAGGTGCTGAACCGGGAGCACCAATTCAATATGGCAAAGGACCGTGGGATTTTGCTCTGGTTTCTTTCTACATTGTGGTTCTATCCTTCACTCGAGAATTCATCATGCAGAAATTCCTCCGGCCATTGGCTCGCAAGAGTGGACTGAAGAGTAGGGCAAAACAATCGAGATTTATGGAACAAATGTACACTGCTATATACTTTGGTATTCTTGGTCCTTGTGGCTTATACGTCATGAGTCGAACACCAGTCTGGTATTTCAATACACGCGGAATGTACGAGGGGTTCCCGCACAAAACACACGAGGGGATTTTTAAATTCTATTATTTGTTCCAGGCTGCATACTGGGCGCAGCAAGCTCTAGTTTTATGTTTGGGTTTGGAGAAACCTAGGAAGGATTATAAAGAGTTGGTCGGACATCATATTGTGTCTTTGTTCCTTATTGGGTTGAGCTACCGTTTCCATTTCACATATATGGGATTGGCAGTTTATGTCACTCATGATATCAGTGATTTCTTCCTAGCTGTATGTTCATGGTTCTTTTACTCAAGCACATTTAACTCGCGCTAACATTATTTCAGACATCCAAAACTCTCAACTACTTAGATCACCCTCTTGTAGGGCCATACTTCGCATTCTTCATCGCCGCGTGGATTTACCTCCGACATTACCTTAATCTCAAAATCCTCTATTCAGAATTTAACGAATTCAAGACCGTAGGACCTTATGAATTGAACTGGGAAACGGAACAATACAAGTGTGAGCTCTCGCACGTCATCTCTACAGCTCTCCTTGCAAGTTTGCAAGCTCTCAATCTCTTCTGGTTATTCTACATCCTACGTATCGCATATCGATTCGTCTTTATGAGTATAGTCGAGGATGATCGAAGTGATAATGATGAGAATGAGTTAGCGGAGGAACAGAGATTGGATGAATTGACCAGACAAGGAGTGGATGTTGTGGCTGCTAAGGCGATTTTGTCGGAAGATGCAGTGCCAAAGATTAAATTGAATGGAAATTCGATTAAGGGGAGGAGTTCAGGGATGGAATTTGAAACGGATGCCATTACGAATAGAAAGGAAAATGTTAAATAGACTCTTAAGTTGAGTCGTGAAGCCTTTCCTAGAATCCGAAACCCGGTTTTGGAGGAAATACATTGGAAGGGGTCAGAAGTTGTGGGTTATGAGTATCCACAGGATTCTTATCCTCAATGAGATGGAGATGAGGATAAAGATTCTGACGAGATATATGTGTACTACGTCTCATGATTAACGCAATGTAAAAAAGGGTAGCACGCAAATGGGGCTTCAACCGCTACCTACAACGGCATCAAAGATCACTATATCTTATGGATGGTTATGGATGAGTGATGATTGGAACGGAATGCGTGTGTATATTACTTAACTAAAGGAAATTTCGCGGGAGAAGGAGATGAAGATGGAGATTATGGCATATTGATTGTACATTCGATTTTTGGGGGGTTCGCTTCTTGTATTGATTGATTGGTTGATTGAATTTGGTTTTGGGCGGGATGAGGGGAGGGAGAGAGATTTTGAGAGTGAAGAATAGGTTGGTTTGGGATGGGATGGTTAGATAGATATATTTGTTTAATTAATAAGTAGGGAGAAGGGTGGTTATTCAGAGTATATTATTTTATTATTTGTCATGTTG